TGTGAAAAAACATCTAACTTTTTACTGATGAAGGGCTGGTGTTGGGTTGTAATTTTCAGAATCAGTAAGGTGTGATTTTGGGCTTCCTACAATGATAACGGTCTTGGCTGCAGAATGTAAAAAGAATAGATACAGCATTTGTTTCCTTTCCTAATGTGAATATGTGTAGAAATATAGTATGATTATATGTGGGCATAAATAGGGAGTGTTTCACTATGGATTTACTTAGTTCAGGTTGTTCTTGCTAATTCAGATATGTTGATTGCTCTATTTTTTCTTCAAGGTACCGTATTTCCTCTCTGTATCTTTTACTTTATGGTACTGGTTGTAAACCCAGTGTTCCTGCATGTGGTTTCATAGGCTAACTATCCACAGGGAACAAGGGGACTTAGAATTCCTCATACTGAATTTATACAGCACAAATATATCTGCTTGATCTAACAATAGTTTAGAGACCTGGCTGGTTCCCATTATTGTATATCTAAATTTCAGTGAAAGTTAATATTTCACGGCTATAATTAATAAGTTTTTTATATTGACAGGTTGCTCTTCTTATTTATTCTTTGCACAGTCTGAAATCCATTGTATCTTATGAGGATCTATTCAGTTATCCTGAGCCTGAGGGAATATGAAGCTGCAATGAATTGACAATTAGTGTAAGGGTTTATAGGATTTTTTTCAATATTTTAAGATGGATGGACCAATTCTGAGATTGAGCCATTTTGTGTCCTGAATTTAGAGCAGGTAGGTTTCATGTTTTGGAGCTGTGATCCAGTCCCTAAAATTATTTTGACAGAATTCTCTTCTACTAGTATTTTGGCTGTGTTCTGTTAGTAACAGTGTCAAAGTATTTTCGTGACTCCTATGCATGTATGTAGTCATACTTCCCTAATTGGTAAGCGCTAGCAATAGGCTTACAGTATTTGATCCTGCTTGAACTATCACTTAAAAAAAATGCAGTCAGTATGTTAATGTTTTTGTTTTCCCTGCTTTTGAGAAGTGCATTCAGTTTTCTTGGCAATGTTGGAAAATTGATTATTTTCACATTATTACAGAATAATTGAAAATCCATGTAAATAATAACTTTTCACAATGTAGTGCCCGCTGGCTGGACACTATTAAAGATGACACTGGGATGACTGTGGTGGATCTGAAGGAGGCGGTACGAGACAGAGGGGCATGGAGAGTGTTAATCCATACAGTGGTCGAGGGGCAGACACGACTGAATGGCTGATGACAATTTAGTGCTCTCCACTTTAGTTGGATTCCAGTTCCCATAATTCCATAATGATCAATATTCTAGTCCAACACATTTAGGTTTAATTAGATTAAGGAAGATACGTTTAAATGATTGAACAATACCCATATGCAGTTGTCCGTTCATTGTTCTTTTGATTTTCTCAGCAAAAGTTATCTTCCTCATATATCAGTCTGCTTTTTTTTTAGTACTAACTTATATAACAATGCAAAATACTTTTACTGAAGAACGAAGTAAAAAAACAAATTAATCTTGCTTCTGCATCCCACAAATATATCCTTGGCATTGTTTAATGTAGCTATTGTTTTTGGCTCAACTTTTTTTAGTTTGTTTAAGACCTGTGCTTAAAACATACCATGCTTATCTTAACAAGGTGAACTGACCTTCCTCTGTAGTCAACTTTCTTATATTCAATTATTTATTTAAACTAGTATCTTTCAAAATATTTATAAAGGAACAGATGTCTTCAATATATGAGCCCTGATATTTGTTTTTTTCTGTCCTTTGGTATAGAACTTGATAACTTCTACATATTGCAAATCGATCTCCAGTTGCCATTTGTTCTTGAATATCTGGCCTATTTTAACTAATAGTGAAAAAGCCAAGTAGGATTATAAAGATTAATAAAAGGTTATCAGAAAATGCCAGCTCTGTAGGCTACATTGGGAAGAAATGAGAAGGAAGGCAACACAAAACATTTCTATATTGTTGGCACGAAAACACAGATATATCATCATCAAGAGTCAAGGGCAACTTGAGGAAATCTTTGATTGAAGTGTTTTAATTTTATTTGAGCTTAATGCTATATCTAGGATGTCCACATGTTCCTAAAATATGGTCTACAGTAAATTTGCTGCAACTTGAATGAAACTCAGAATATCTGCTTCTAGCTAATTGCTACCTTTGTAGTTTCTACTTTGAGCCCTGTGATTCAAGAAAGCCCCAGATGGTAGATTTAAGGGCGGTACTTATTTTGGTACAGAAGTTCTGCAGTGATGCAGTGTAAGATGTTTCCGGATAATTTCAGAAGGTTAGACTTAATTTTTAAAACCGTATCAGTGAGATACTGTAACAATGACAGGATAAATGAAGCCTATTCTATATTAAGGCTAGGAGACACACTGAGAAATTTTGGATTTGCTTGTTTAATAGTAGCTTCTAATACTGTTTTCTTCTAGTGCTTTCTAAACACACACACACAAAAAACAAAAACCAGGCACTAGAACAGTGGTTCTCAACCTTTCTAATGCTGTGACCCCATAATACAGTTCCCCATGTTGTGGTGACCCCCAAATGGGTGTGGCCACCAATAAGAGGGAGTAGGACAGCTAGGGAAAAGGGAAAAAAATGGCGGACAGCGTGTTTTGGCGACCCCCGTGAAATGGTCGTTTGACCCCAAATGGGGTCCCAACCCACAGGTTGAGAACCACTGCACTAGAAGAAGGTGAGGTAGGACCCAGAGAACTGTATGGTGTAATGGACTGGATATTGTGAGATGCATAGTTTTCTTGTTTTTCTTGCCTTTGGTTTTATTCTGGAGCCATCCAGAATTGTGCTTTATAAGATGGGCATTTGCATAAATCTTTTAAATAAATGAATAAGTAGTGGCATAAATCGGTAAAAGAAACAGCAAGGAGGGGCTCCTTTCCCCTTGCCTTTACCTTCAGAGGAATTATTCTGATTGGACACAAAGCAGAAGGCAAATTATCCTGATTGGACACAAAGCAGAAGGCAGATAATAATAACATTCTGGAGAGAGGACCTGCTTCAGGCTGGGGGCATGGAGGACATATTATCAAATAGGTGACAAAACCTGCAGACAGCACTCATTTAGAAATTCCAGTGTAGATAAATATGATAAAACCAAATACTGGAGTGCTGGTCACTCACTATGGAAATACGCATGAATTGTTAGCACTATAGGGAAAAGCGGTTTTAGGATTAAAGACAGGAGGGGAACTAGATAGACCTCATAGCAGTTCGTAGACCACAACACACACATAGAGACACTATTTTCATTTGGATCCAAACGTACATAACACAATCATTTTATGGGTTAGCTGCCTAAGTCACCATATGCCTGTTATTTGCAGAGTATAAGGCAGGTGCTTTCTTATTTTAAAAAGATATAGTATTTACAAATCATTCCAATTTCTCAGTTTCTACCATCCCCAACAACATGATATAGGTATTACTTAAACATAGTGTTGTTTCCAAATTTGGCCTCCATGCACAAAAAGCTTTGTACCATTTTGCAAAATAATACAAAAATACTCCTAAGTTCTGCCCCCTGAGAATTGAAACCAGACCTGGATACAAATAGTTCAAATGGAATATTTCAAGAGCTTAAATCAAAAGCCTTACAGTGGAAAAAACTGTGGGACCCATATAGACTTCTACCTTACAGCTTCATCTAACAAACAAGGTACTCTATATAGGTGAACATTAGTCCCACCAAACCATTCTTGTAGCATCCAAATAGATGCTACCTGCAAGAGAGAGAACAGACCACAAACTAAATTCTACCCGTTCTGGGACTGTTACATCATTTTGAAAAAATGGAACAATAAGAATAAGGAGTCTGTTTTTTTTAAAAAAAACTTTTAATGTGCAAGAAAGAACAGCAACAAAATAAAAAATGGATGGTACACAACACATAAATATTATTCTCTTTTAAACTTTCAAGTAGCAGTTCATAAATTTAAGTACCATTACATTGTTTGTTTTTTGTTACATAAATTGCAAATGTATTGTTTCTATAAGGAAAATTAACAATAAGTGCATTTTTGTATTTAATAACCTTAAACTTTGATGAGATACCAGCCATCATTAACTAATTAAAATCCAGATGGCAACTTGAATTCATACGCAGCCCCCAAAGTATCAACTACATGTCTTTGATCTTTATGCTTAAAGTCTTAAGCAGATAAAACAATATCAGGAATACAACATATACCTGCAGTAATTACAAATGTGTTGTCTGATTTGCAGATTAATCTTCCCCCAAATCCACAGTTTTAGAGCAAAATGTACAGTCCCAACAATATAACAACATATAAGAAGCCCAAGGAAGGAAAATCTGAATATGATTTCAATTAATGAACTAAGGGGAAGGAGGATGGGAAGTCGCTGACTTTCTAAAGTTTGGCTGCATCAACCCAACTTTCTCACTCCTGTCCCAGTAAGCAATGCCATATGACTTTGCGTAATCCATTGTTTATAAAATAATAAGACAATTTCCGAAGGTCTTTCTTGGTCCTCAAGTCAGTACTGTAGGGGTAACAAATACCAGTGTCTCACATAGGGAAGTTATCATTATGATGCCGATTATTTGGTACTATTGCTAAGGGAGGTAAGGGCAGCTAGAACAAGAGAAAGTGTGGCATAGAAGTCTCTACCTGCCATTCTGTATTGATTTTGAAGAGTAAATAAAACCTAACCTTTCTTTTTTCACAGACCTAAAGCCTACAGAAAAAGTCAGTTTGATGTACTGGTTAAAGCACCAGACTAAACTTTGAGTGGTTGACTTTGGGCCGCTCTCAGCCTAGGAAACCACTTCCAAAAACTTTGCGAAGAAAACTTCAGGGACTAAACCAAATAGTTGCCAGGAGTCAACACTGACTCTCTCTCTTTCAAAAAACCATCTACACTACTATAAAGTTATGGTCTTAGCCTTCTAGTTCATATGGCACAAGATCTACAATAGCCTTTTTTTACCATCACTTTTCTTTTTTTTTGTTAGGACACGGAGAAGCGCACTCCACTTCATGTTGCTGCTTTCTTGGGAGATGCAGAGATTATTGAACTCCTCATCTTGTCCGGTATGTATCTTTTCTGTTTGGCAATTATGAATGCCAAATGATTGAAATGCTCGTAAATGCTACAGAGTTAAATACCTCATTTTGTAATGCAAACTAAGAGGTTTAATATATGTAATACATCAGTTACTACATCAGCCTTTCCCAGCTTTGTACCCTCCATATATATTGAATTTCAACTTCCACACCAGCTGGGATTTACTAGAATTGAATATGTGAAGGGCACCATGGTAAGAAAGGCTGCATGATGTGTCTGGGTTTGTAACTGTACAAAGTTACTTTTTTTGTTGAAAGTATTCTAAATACTACTTTTTCCATGTTCAATCTGTAGCAACTTGACACTGTCAAATGTTAAGTTTCTCTCAAATACTGCTTTGGCTCACAAAATGGTTTTTGTAGATGATTACCTATTAATGCCAGAGTGTTAGTCATATAACTTTTAAAAATGAACAGTAATGCTATTTTTTCATAACCTAATATAAAGACTGAATATGGTGTTATGAAGGACTCAGTAGAAAGCTTATTTTACTTAAATCACTTTGAAAAGTTGGCTATATTCTCTGTTGCTGGAATGCCTTGAAAAACACTGTGGTTCTGAAAGCAGCTTTTTGCAATATTGGAGTTTGGATTACTGATTACATTACTCTGAGCTACTGTGGCTCCCTTAGGTGGAGGTTTATGGAATTGTTGCCAGCACATCTAGTGGGCATAAGGTTGCAATCACCTGGTTAAAGAGTAGGCTTTGAGACAATTGTTCCTTGCCCTATTCAAGTAATAGGTGCCAGCCAAATATTTCTGATGGCATTTAACTCTTAATAAATGACTATCCCCTTTCCAATATCACTAATTCTAGATCCTTTCTAGAGGTCCAGAATTTTGTACGATACCTATGTCTAAAAAATAAGGAATGTTCCATTATCACGTAAAAAGAAGACAACCATTTGTTTCCAGTGTATAAGTCTGAGTGCTTCTGGTTTGTAATCAAAACAGGCTTGTAATCAAAACAAGTCAGAAATAGGAAACACAAGGTTTTTTAACAATACAAGAAAATTTTTCTTTAACGTATTAGATCTAAGTGGGCATTGTAATCAAGACAACTGCCCCGAAAAGTCTAAGTAACTATTGAGCTCCTGGAATAAAGACTGGAAATGGTGGTGGGGGTAGGGAAAGTGGTGGGGAGACTGAGAAAAGAGATATTGAAAAGAGTGCCCCAAACAGCAGTTTACTTTGCTGGAGCCTTTTCTTAAAATTAGGGAATTTTGTAAACTTCAGAGTAAACAAGTACTACATGGGGCTTCCCTTGAACACCACTCAGAAGCTTCAACTGGCCCAAATGCAACATCATTGGTATTCCTTGATATGCCCATGTAACACTTCTGCTTCACAAGTTTGTTTGCGGGTTTGTCTCCAAGCAGGTGTGATTCAAGGTGCTGGTTATCTATGAAGCCCTACATGAGCCAGGTTACTCTGTCTTCCATAGTATCTGCCCAGCTGATTTGATCTGGTAGATTTGGCATGCTCTGGGTATCTTTGTTTAAACCATACCATCCGACACAGCACCTGCCATCTGGAACAAACCTCCCTCGAGAAGTGGATGGTCCCCACTCTTCAAGGCTTGGGTTATTGCATAAGCTTTTTGCAAAGCCCTTTTAGATTGTGCGGATTTGATTTTATTCCTGTCTAATCTGCCGCCTTTTATTCCTTGTTCTTGCTTATTATTATATTGTTTTATTCCTTTTAATGTTCCCTTTAATGTTATTTATTTGCAGAACCTCCCAGAGTCATTGGAAATTGGATAGTATCCATTAGCCAAAGTAGGCAATTTTCTTACAGTAGAGTGCTGTACAGTTTAAAAATGTATATATTTGACCTTGGAGTCTGTAGGTGTGTTGCTGATAATGCCATGAGGCCCAATTTGGAAGGTTAAGAGTTGAGTGAAAGGTTAAGAGATGAAGAAGACCCCATTTACTCCTCACAACTTTCCAATTTGGGAAAATCAGACATTGCTGAGATCAACCATTACCCAAAAAGACATCTGAGAAGGCAAGATGCCGGTTGGTCATCCTTGCTTTATGTAGATGTAGCTTTTTTCCAGTTCTTATTATTATACAGCATGGTATCACATGAGAAATCTTGGCTGGAATTTTAACATTTAGATGCCTTTATTCAATTCTTGCAGATTCCAAATCTGCTGATTGTGGAGACAGGTAATTTCTACAATGTCAGATTAATTATAGTTCCTCCAGATGCATAAAAATATTTTTATTAGCTGTCAAAACTCAAGCCATATGTTTTTTAAGAGGAAAAAAAATGTTTTGGGGTATTTTAGAATGAAACAGGACTTGTGAGCCTAATCAGCGCTCTGTATTTTTTTTTTAAGGTTTGAATAAATGAAAGTTTTTTATATTTTACAATTAAAATAGTAATATTAAAAACTTAATAACATCCTATCAGCTTTATAAAAATCCGTGTTGTTACTTTTTTCACTAATGAGCCAAGCTACTTAATGTCATTCAAAGGAGATAAAATAACAGGAGAAAATGAATAAAGAAAATTAAGCAATGGAATAGAAAATCTATATAATTGGGGGAGCACCAACATTTTTTGTTAAAATTATTTCTTCCCCATTCTGAATAATTAATATGTGGCCAAAACGTCTTCAAATAAGAGCAGATACTCAAAACCAAAATCCAAAAATTAATTCTGTTTGTGAAAACACACAAATCTACTTAATAATACTTTATTGATTTGCTATTAGGTAGCCCTTACAATGAATGTACTTGTATTAGCAGAGCCCCAGAGATAGAAGACCTGATTTTATGACATTCTTACTGTGATTGTTAAATCATCCAATTATTAAGCAAATCATAGTCGTTAAGTGAATCATGCTGTTGTTAAGCAAATCTGGCTTCCCTTATTGACTTTGCTTGTTGGAAACTGGCTGGGAAAATCACAAATCATGATCACGAGGACTATCTATAAGGGTGGGTCATAGGTCATTTTTTTTCAGCACCATCATAACTTCAAACCACTGTTAAACAAATGGTCATAAGTCAAGGGCTACCTGTAGAAGAATCCACATTCCAGTTTTTTCTCTTTTCCTCAGCTTTCCTCCCTGACTCTTCTTTACTGAATTGATAAAACTGGCCTTTCTCCCATGATAGTGTGTAAGGATGATGGAGATAATGAGTATGAACCCATTGGGAAGCTTGAAATATGTTTTCTGGATGTCAAGCCTTGTATTGTGCTTCAGTATTGTTGCAGACATTGGGGAAAACATTGGGATCCTATCTTCAAAATCAAAAACCTATGTTCGAGGACTCTTCCTTCTAAAGTAGTAATTTAAGTTATCCTCAAAGGGAATCAGTGGCACACAAATGAAGTAAATAAAATAACTAATTAATAAATATGTATATCAATAAATAAATACACCTTCCCTTTCTGAGCTAGCAGTACAGCCCAGTCATGTTTTTGAGGTTTGGGCAATGCTAGCTTTTTGTGTTTGTGTGTGTTTTCTGGCTGCTTTTTTCTTGCAAAACTCTGAAGTGCCATTATTTATCAAGCACATCATTGCTTGTACCCCTTTTGAGTAATACAAGGTTATGACTCATAAATTACTTCGCTGTAGTGCCCCAATGGATGGGAAGCAAGCTCCTCTCTATCAAACTAATGCCATTTCGTTTGTTAAAAAAAAGGTCTACATTTTGGGTGATGCTTCATAAAGGATGGATTTGTTGAATACTGATCAGCATAAACGGCAGAGAGCGAAACTCCTCAAATCTTTTCTGTTCATTTTTTATATTTAAAGTAATGCAAGAAGGATTTATAACCTGTAGCAATCCTGTTGGGGAGGCTAGATCCTGCAAAAAGAATTGGCCCATTGAATTTCCCTCAAGGCTCAGGAGAGACATTTGGTGAAATATGTTCATAGTTAGTCTTGTGGCACATGAACTGGTGCACCAGCAGTACAAATAAACATAGCGTGTAATGAATAAAGCATATGTCCTTTGCATTGAGACATATCAGGAATGGGCCTCTGGGTTACCATTAAACAAAAATTATTCAGAGTTAATGCAAAAGACCAGCAGCCAGATGTCTCAAAGCAGCATAGTGAAACTGTAGCCAGCGTGACTGTTTATGTAGGTTGAAGCTGTCAGATTGAGATTGCAAGGATTTTGGAAATCTTGCCTGAATTTATATGTAGCCGAATCACAGAGCCCGTGTTCTCACACCAGAGATTTGCGCTTCAATATCTGAACTGTATAACATCAAAAGGCCCCCACCAAAAGTTGCTTGCTCTCTATGGCTAGCAGCCGTTTCTGGAATTTTTAAAATTGAAAACCGTTTGGGCGAGACAGATATCTGTCAGGAGCATGCTGCAAAAAGAGAAGGGCTACCCTTCTCCCCTTTCTGCAATCCTGTCAAATATAGCTCTTGCTTAGTTTTGGCACGAAGGAGACTTCTCCTTCCCCTCTAATGTTAATTTATTTATGTATCTGATTAAATTTTTATGCCATTAAGGGCCACAGTCTCATAGCGGTATAAATCTCCCCTCCATGTTTGCTGTGCCCCTGATGAAATCACCCCATCAGCACAGCTTTAAATTTAATAAAGAACCATGTTATGATATGATTATTAGCTACACAATTCAGAGCAGATTAGGTTGCTTGATTCTGGATAGCTGTGGGCCAAAGGCAGTGTTCAGCAGCACAGCAAACTTCAAAGAGAAGCTTGGTTCTTTGAAGCTGCTAAAATGAATGTCTGAGCACATCTGCAGGATGCTTAATATTGGTTAGGACTGTGTTAGATTTGTTAAAGGGTGAACTGCACAGTGACATTTCTACCCAAGAGTTACAAGAGCTCTGATTAGTATAGTCCCTTCTCCCCAATTCAATACTGTGCTGTCAAATACAGAACATTGGCCAGATGATCAGGAAAGAGAACTTGGTTTATGGATTCATGCTCTTCTGTCGCCCAACACTTTGGGAGCAGTAGACAACCTTGTGCTCGTCAGATGTTTTTGAAGGGCAGGTACAAGTGGCAGAACCCTGAGAGTTGCTGGTTGAGACTTATGGAAGTTGTAAACTAAAATATGTTGCCTGAGAGTGGTCTAGAGAGGAATTTCATGTAACAGAGCCATGTTCTTTGAGCCAGCGAGGCTATAATATCAGATTCGTATGACTTTCAAGTGGGAAAGGTTGCATTCTTAATCAGACATTCTGAATAGTTGCTTTTAAAATACATTTAAATACATCAATGATGTGCAGATAACTTCTCTACGTTAGATAAACAGCACCTTGAAAATTGGCAAAGGCAGAGGATGTGGAAACCAGATCTGATTAACATAGGCACCTATTGTACTTCTGTGGTGTGCTTAGAAATGTGTTTCATTTCTGCCAACCTTGTGGCTTAGCAGCCCCCAGGAAAATTTACACCTTATTTTTTCGGAGATTGCAGTCAAGCTATCAGTAAAATGTGAATTCCCTTTTTTAAAAAAAAAAAAGAAAAAAGAAAAAAAAGAAAAGGTATTATATCCAAACTATATATTAGAATATTGGGCTTATTGATGACAAAAAGATTTCTTCCATCTTCTCTTTAAATCTTATTAAACAACAATAGGACAGTAGAGATAGAAAACACAACTGGAAAAACAGAACCTATTGACAGAATGGAAAGGATTTGGGTAGAATGAAGAAAATAAGTAGTATTGATAAGTTCTTTTGTTTAAAAAATAGTAGAATGAGGATTCTACTAATAGTAGAATAGGAAAGAGTCACTTAGCTTAGATGGGCAGGTATAGATATTGAATGAATGAATGAATGAATGAATGAATGAATGAATGAATGAATGTCTAGCTTATTTTAGGTCTTAGACAATGAATCCAATAAAGCAATAAAATGCTGTCTCGGTAAAGCTACAGTATAAATACTGGACCTTCCCTTCCCCTGCTTCTCCGCTTTCTCATTTGCTCCATGTTTGAAGGGCAGTTGGCCAGGGCACATGGACTTAATTTTTGTATACTGTGAGTATGGATAGCTACAGAATAGGGTGTGTATGAGCAGCATCAGTATCAACAATGCAAGTGATTGAACTGTCTGACCTTTGATAGCATTCCAAGCAAACTATTGGTGCTTACCTGCAGATGCCTCTCATGATTTTTTTGGTAAAAGTGTCAGGTTAGAAACTGGGAGACCATGAGTTCTAATCCTGCCTTAGGCATAAAAGCCAGCTGGGTGACTTTGGGCCAGTCACTCAGCCCAACCTACCACACAGTGTTGTTTTTGTGGAGAAAATAAGAGGAGGAAAGAGTATTAGGTATGATTCCCATCCTGAGTTATGTATAAAAATAATGAAGGCAATAAATAAATGAATAGCTTTTATTGCATTTGGGAAGCCTTTGATCATTTTTAAAGTCATTATTCTTTGGATATTTCCATCCATGGCCTCACTAGTCTTTCCTACTGCTAGTTTTCTTTTTCTGTAGGCGGTATTAATTTCAGAAAATCAATCCTTTTTGCTTCTCTTTCCTGCCCAACTTTCCAGGATTATTTTGGGAGTCAGCAAGGTTACTTTGCCTTTGTTAGCAGCCATCTTGAAACAAACACCCAAAAAGGGGCAGTATGGTCTGGAATGCATTCCATATTGCATGCGGTTCTCTTTACCAAACATCAGTTTTGGGTGAGGTGATATTTAAGAGATGTCCATTTGATTTGCAGGAGCCCGTGTCAATGCAAAGGATAACATGTGGCTGACTCCTCTCCACCGAGCTGTTGCTTCAAGGAGTGAAGTGAGTAATACAGCCAATGCTTCAACAATATGTGTTTCACAGGTTTCAACTTAAAAAAAAAGATGCACTACTGTTACTTCGTCCCTTATACACACATCCATAAAGGAACAATTCAATATAATTGTCTATGTAATTCCAAGTTAAGTGTCTTGAATAATGGGCCACTGTGTGTATTTAATGTGTTTATTTAGTAGTCAACTGGATCAGGGAATCAAAGCTGCGAAGCAGATACATTTGAGGGCTGGGGTGGGGAGAGGAAGGAAAGGAGGAAGAGGGTATATGCTGCATTGCAGGTTATGTGGTATAACATTCACCATTATGTCTATTGTGTCATGTACTGTCAACCAATTCATGTGGGCCAGGAAGATGCAGCTCATTTGTATCTGTAAAACCCCAATAAACATTCTGTCTTTCTGTCTTCCTGAGACTTCCAAAGGGTTTATAAATAAATTAAATTACAGCACAAGCTTCTTTACATTAACTATTTGGTGACTAAATGGAAACATAGTAGTTGTTTCCCAAAATTCTTTGTGGCCCTGGTAATGATTACATTGTATTCTTTGATCCGGTGATCATTTTTGTCTATGACACAAATGAATAAAGTCTGACTTTAACCTAAAGAGGCTAGTATGCAAAGCTTTTGTGGTTTAGATGGCCATACTGCATCTGGTTTACTTAATGAATTTGTACCATGAAATATAATTCCATGGTCACTAATAGAAAGCATAAATATAGGAAATATAAAAACTTACTTGGGAAGAGAAATAAAATTAAAAGTTGATATCGCATGCTGATCCAGAATTCCGTTTCTGGACAAGCCTAAACAGTAATAAACACTCACCAAGTTCCATTGTTGCTAGCAAGAAAATTAATTGAAATCTATCTGAAAGTTTTAAAGTTTTCAGAAGTGTGAAGAACATAAACATCTTCAAGAAACAGAAGCTGAGATTGTATTTCTTGCATAATTATGAATCCAGTAATTGTACTGGATCCCAGCCTTCACTTTGCCAAAACAACAGAAGAGAAGACAACTTCCATTACCTTCCATTTACTTTGTTTGATCACAGGGGCAAGGTTTGTGGATAAGCTGCAAATAAATACCACTTAAAAGGTAGCAGGTCTAAGAGAAATGTTTGGCAATGTGATTACAAAGCACATTAACTTAATCAGTTCAACCTAACCTTATTTTAGACCAGGGGTAGGCAACCTTGGCTGCCTCAGGAATTCTGGGAGTTGAAGTCCACGAGTCATAAAAGAGCCAAGGTTGCCTACCTCTGTTTTAGACAATGTGGTTACCTACATTGCAGTCAGTGTCAGAAAGAGAGATACTCTCTCTTAGAGCACACTCGATTCTTTATTTCTTAAAGCAGAACTATGTACTTTCTAAACTACCGTAGCTTGATGTAGTCAGGTCGCTGACCAATACTGTCTTGTTACTAGTGTTGAAATAAGATTGCCAGGACTACCTGAACTAAAATGAAGAAATGATCCACAATTTATTAATCTCTGTTTTGGTGCAAGGAAAGAAAACAAGAACCATAGTATCTTGAGCTAGCGTTGCTTATGATTTATCTCCTGACTTGTATTTGGAGAGCACAAGTTGTGCTATTAAAAAAAAGGGAAATGGATCCAACCCATATATTTGGTAAAGTAAGAGAGACTATAGAGAATGCTTTGCAATTGTTTTAGTGAACGGTAGCTAAAATTCAAAGGAGTTTGGTAGCATCTTTTTCAACCATCACGTTTATTAAAAGGCCTCAGCTTTCATGCGTAGTAACTCATTTTATCAGATCAAAAAGGCATCTGAGGGAGTGAACCGCAGTTCACAACAGCTTATTTTTTTAAAAATAAAACTTATTAACCAGTAAAGTGCTATCAGATTCTGGATTTAAAGAGAACGCTGAAATTTCAGCAATATTGCTTGGTTTCTCTTGAATGAACAATCCAGGAGAAACAGTTTCTGTAACTCTCTCTGATGGAGACAGAAACTGGTTGAGGAAATATTGGAGTCTCTAGGAATTAGCTTCTGTCTAGTTTGCTCTTATGCTGGTCTCAAAATGGAATAGAACCAGCATACAGTACTGAGATCTCTTCTATTGGTTTCAAACCTCTGAAACAACCATTGCAATGCCATTGGTGAGCATCCTCTTTCAAATACCAGTATGCTCTGCAACAGTGCTGTTGCCACAGCAGGGCAGTAGGCTTCTTTTCCCCCATTCTTTCCCCCTTCTTCTTTCACAGATGAGACAACTACAACTGCCTGCCATCTCCCCTCCACTGCTGTTGCTTCTAGGGTTTCTGGGAATGAGCCAGTTACTACCATCACCACCTGGCTGAGCCCTGTGCTTAAGGCCTCAGGCAGGTGGTCTCGCACAAGAGAAATCTACTATGCAAGGAGCCATTAATTCCACTGAACAGGGCAACCAGAGGGATAGAGGGAAGGCGGCAAAATGTCCACATTCTAACCCATTTCAGAAGCAGAAGAAATGACATATCTGCCTTTGTTAATCGACCACTTTGCGAATCTTGGGGTCAGAGTGAAACTTATTTTTAACATGCTGATTGATACATTTAAGTCCCTAGTGATTTTAACTACAAATAGAATTAATCATTCATAGCGTTCTTCACTTTAGCTAGCGATCTTCTAAAGTCAGACTCCCTGTGAAGAATGAATACTTTTGCTAAAAGCAATTTCATTTTTAAAGACTCAGGAATATTGTCTCACTGCCTTCTAACATCCTTGCAGAAAACATTTGCATTTTCCTGTAACAGGAAAAGTTATGTGATGGGCTAATAAAACATGGTGTAACTTTATCTTTAATGGAACTTTCCCAAGAGATTAGGACACCTGCTAAGAACAGGACAATATTAGAAGGAGATAGCAGTGTGCCAGAAAGTAATATCATGAAGGTTTGGTTGTGCACATTCTCCTCCCCCCATCCAGTCATCCCTTATCAAAATATTGAAAATGATGCACAATCCAGCAAAACCTGTTTGACAAGTTCCTTATATGTCTACTGTCTGCAAGTCAATTCTATGTTATCCTATCTGGAGTTATTTTTTAAATAGCTCAGAATGGTATTTTTTATACTTTAAATATTCTATCCCTTCTTTCTTTTTACTCACTTAAGACTTAATAAATGAGAGAAATAACCAGGAGTGGCTAAGTATTCATTCTAAGCTGCCATTTTGCTGAGTGTTTTCATTTTCCAAAGTTGGGTCTACACAATGCATGCCAATGAATTGGCTGTTGAGAAAGTCTTTTTAAAAAGTTGCCAGCTTGGCATTTCTCCCAAGATTGGTGGAATTGCTTTTGCAACTATCTGGGTCCTTGCCAAGCCTAAGGGGATGATTTTCTAAACTTGAGCATTCTATAGCCACTACACTAATGGAGTTTCCCAGCTGCTGGCTTTTGGTAAAAGTCCACTGAAGGGGATTTCTAATACATTACAAATCCTTGAAAAGAAAGGAAGGTGGATAGAAATTGCCTTTCCTTGGTGGCATAATTTAACATCAATCTCAAAAGAAAAGTGATAAAGCTACAAGCTTGACATAGAAGGTGTTGGAGTTGTTTTACCTTGTCAAACCTGTTGATTTCTATTGAATGTGTTTAGATCAGGGGTGTCAAACTTGCAACATCACGTGATGTATCACGACTTTTTTTGCCATTACCGGCAATGGGGTGAACGCGGTTTCACTGTGATGCATCTGGCCTGCATGCCGGCAGTTTGACACCTCTGGTTTAGATGGTTTGTAATCTGTGTCATATATAATTGAACAGTTAAAAGTATTCACATGGTTTTTTTTTTGTTTGTTTTATGCAGTTATATTTCTGTAGCTCACATATATGTATGTGTAGATTGATCATCATTTTGCTTTAAGCATATAACGAGTCTGAAGGGACAAGTAAAAGAACGGTGGAGCCACACTGTTGGTACAGTTCTGGAAGCTGCATGGTTTTTCACTATCCCCTTGTCACCCATGCATTGTGGGCAGATGTCTGCTAGTCAAAAGTCTTTATGTAGTACTCTCAATCAGTGGGGAAACTACATAACTATATAGCCAAATAATGTCCATGTGGATAAAATCATTGATTACAGATGATTTCCCTAGGTTTCCCAGATTTTCTCAAGCTGAAAAGCACTTTCTACTCCTCCTTCTTCTCTCCTTAATAGTTTAGTAAGATGCAAGTTTTTTTCCAGCTCTTTCCATGTCTTTGATAGCAGGTTTACATACTGAATTCTTGGCTTTCAAATCTGGCTTGTTAGAATGAGAAAAAGCCAGAATTCCCCAGCTGCACATCACATTAAAATACACTAAGAAGAAATTATGCTGTGGTTTGTTTAATCATTCACAATGGCAGCAGAAGCAAAGTTGGAGTGACTGAATTCATTCACACTAGGCCAGAATTCTTCAGAAGGCAACCACTGTGAAAAAGCTAACTACTATATAATCTAGATTAAACCAGTAAAAATGTACTTTCACTTTGCCATTTCCACCCCTCCCCTTCAATCCCTTAAAAAGGATTTGAAGTAACCCATAACTTTCCGCACTGCTTCTGCCTCTCACACTGCAGGGAAACCTTAAGTATTCCTTCAGCTGATCAATCATCAAGCAGCAAACACTGTGTTCAGTCAGTGCCTCATCTCCCCTTTTCTTTTTTATTTACATGTTGTATATATTTGATTGGTAATTTCTCCAAAACAATTGGAAAGTTATCTGGTCAAGTAGAGGGAGCTACAAAGCCACCAAGGCTTTGTCTTTTGATACTTTTTAAAAAGTTAATAATAGTGCATCAGTCCCAAGTAATGACAGCTGATTCTTTGTGGGAGGAGGGAGAGGCTAGATTGAATTAAGGCATTTGGAGGGAGGTTAAACAGAAGAATTCCTACCAGTGGAAAATTGACAAGCTCTCCAGAACTGTTAGCCTAGCAAAAGAGAAACCATTTTAAGTGTGATTTCATATACATATACAGCCCAACCAGGTAAACATCAGCTCAGCTTACAACTCCTGCCAATGCTGTGCGATAACAGAAGTCTTCAGACTGGTGCAGAGTACACATTTGAAAGTGTTTTCAGTAGCTTAACAGTCCAAATCTAAGCCTACTGATAAGTAGGCTCCACTAGGTTGGATTTAATTTTGAGTAAACAGGGTTTGAATCGCTAGGCTGGGAATGATGGAGTTTGCAACCCTACATATCAAGTTGGAGAAGTATGATTTACAGGAAATCATACCAGAGTATGAATTTATCTCACTGTAGGATGTCAACAATAACATTTTCTTAATGGTTGAAAGAAATATTAATGTTGGAGATAGAGCTAAAACCTGAACTCTTTTTATTGGGCATAACCACAGATAAATATGACAAGGGAATAGTCTATTTGATGTTGCACATCTTGACTGCTGCTAGACTGGCTTTTGCACAAAAATGGAAGAACAAAGAAACTCCCACAGATGAAGACATACTGCATAAAATACTATCTTGTGCTGAAATGGACAGGCTTACGATGGAATTGAAAGATAAAAGCGGATCAGAATATTTTGAAATCTGGGATAAATTGTACCATTGGTGGGAATCGAAGAGGACTGTTGGGGTTATAGATTAGCAATAAGATGGAAATATATATATTCTTAGGTTAGCAAATAGAGAAAATGTATTAAGTATTGTATAAAAAGTTTATATATACCGTAAATGCCGGCGTATAAGACGACTTCTGCGAGCGCTGAAATCGGCACCAAAGACGGGGGTCGTCTTATACGCCGAGTCATCTTATACGCCGGAAATACTGGTAGTTTCCGGCGTATAACACGACGTTCTAGGAATGCGGCCCGGCTATAAAGACGGGGGTCGTCTTATACGCCGGGTCGCCTAATACGCCGGCATATACGGTATTTATAGAGATAAAGAATTGAATTTAAGAGGAGAAATAATTTGATAGAAATGTTCAAACTGGAATGTTACATCATGTCCAATGTTTTCTTTTTTTTAATTGTGTTATAAATAAAAAAACTTTAAAAAAACAATAGCATTTTCTTCCATATTGAATTTAAACACTTCAGTCAAGCTAGAGAAACATTTCTATAGCTATTCAGTATGTATAAAGGTAATGGCGTCCATTTTACTTTACAGGAGAGAATATATATATATATTACTAATATATAATATATTACTAATTTCGTTAAAAACACGAATCCTGGGTAAAGTCATATTATAAAAACAAACAAACACGAACACCAGGAAAATTTTTTAAACTAAAAGCATTTAATCTAGTGCCAAGCTTTTGTCGGCCAACTGCCGACATCATCAGGGCTTAAAACCAGTCGATGAGAGTCTCCTTTGTAGTGCTAGTCAGTTTGTGCACACGGCTCCTGGACCTCGTCATCGGTCCTACTTGATTGGGCTGCATGTTGGTTATATTCCTGATGTTGATTGATGCTACTGCTCCGTTACCTGCTCTGCTTCTTCCACTCTCCTTCTTTGTGCGTGTGTTGTTATCTATCTCCTCACTACAGGCTCCTGAGTTTGGCATACTCCTTCCCCCCCCTTTTTGGCCATTCGTTTCCTCCGTGTTTTCCCAGTTGCTCCTCCTCCATTGGGCCACCCCACCAACTAACCCTATATGCAAGCATAGGGCCACGAGAAAGAGGGGTGTAGGCTCAAACACACAATGCAACAATACCCCTGTAGAGAGGGAATGCATATGACCCACATTAGACGAAGGCAACGGATTAAAACGGAGACTGCAATGCGATGATCGGGGCGATGCGAACGTAATGAGCATCGGAGACGAGGAAGAGGGGTGGAGACCATAGGAGGTGATGTATGCGTAGGACATGGCCATGAACATATGGGAAGGATAGCGGGGGGGAAAGATGAGAGGAGAATACCCAGCGCACGGACCAATGGAGCGAGGAGGAGCACTTTTAGTTTAAAAATTTTTCCTGGTGTTCGTGTTTGTTTTTATTACACACACACACACACACATACACACACACACACACACACACACACACACACATACACACCCCACTGCTCAGTACAAAATTTGTAAATATAATCTATAGTTTCTAATAAATGCTTTCCTTATGATTTAATTGTGTGATCTTCTAGGAAGCCGTACAAGTATTGATTAAGCATTCAGCTGACGTCAATGCCCGAGACAAGAATTGGCAGACACCCTTACATGTTGCAGCTGCAAATAAAGCTGTGAAGTGTGCTGAAGTGATAATTCCACTTCTGAGTAGTGTCAATGTCTCTGACAGAGGAGGTCGGACAGCATTACACCATGCAGCTCTGAATGGTCATGTTGAAGTGAGTGCCTTAATAAAATTGTTCTTTTACTTTGAAATCTGTCTGGTCTGGTCTGGCAAAATCATTTTCCTTTAGGTGATGTGAGCTAATAGACTCAGAATTGTTCTATTAATTTGTATCCAATGGATTGGGTAAATGAATAAATAATAAATCAATAAATAAAAATAAATACATTTGTGAAGTACAAATCAACATCAAGTCAATTGTTGCATGGTCTATAACTATTGACTGACATACATTTGGGGGCCGTTTGCTTGTTTTAGATGGTGAGTTTACTTTTGGCTAAAGGGGCAAATATTAATGCGTTTGACAAAAAGGACCGAAGAGCTTTACATTGGGCAGCATATAAGGGTAAGAAAGTTTTTCTTTTTTTCTTGTTGGCAAAATGTCTGTAACGTGATTGGCAATAAGTAGCAATAGTCTAATTACAATACTCAATATCTCCTTAATTTAATAAGCATATCTCATGTAGTGCTTTGAACTTCTTCTATTGTTTGATATATTCTTCTAATGCTGATATTTGATAATTTATTTCTGTTGTTGTTTGTATCGTAGGGTTAAATAAATCCCTTTAAAGCAGACATGTCAAACTCGCAACGTCACGTGACGTCGTGCGACGTATCGGAGCTTTTTCTCCATTGCCAGCAATGGGGTGGGCATGGTTTCCTGGTGACGTGTCAGGCCCACGGGCCGGCAGTTTGACACCCCAGCTTTAAAGGTTTATATCATATTATAAGGAGAAAAAGTTAAATGTCTTTAAATTAAAAATAATACTTGGCCACTGTTCATTTGAATATTTTTTAAATATTTCAAACTAAAGTGTTTTTTCAGCTTTTGTATGGTTCAGAGTTCATGTAGTGATAAATAAAATATGCATTAGAGCCATTGCAGATATCAGTGAAACTTTCTGTGGAGACCTTAGCATCTTCCTTCAGGGAAAGGTAGGCTCATTCTTACCAGTAAGGTCAAACATTAAGCATTAAATTTTACCAACTGATGCACATGAAAACAGATGACTGACACACAGTCTTTAAGCAGAAAGGAAAATCAAAATGCATTAGTCATAAAATGATACAGGTATATAATTTATCCAAAATAAAGCAAAAAAAGAATTAAAAGAATTAAAGCAAAAATGACTCGGGACATAATATCTGGGTCAAACTGAAGTTGACATATGTTATCAACAACTGAATTTTTTAAGAAGAACTCTCAAGGATCCTAGCTTTGTGAAAATCATGATTTCTTTTTAAAATTACAGTATGTTGAAATCACAAATAGAAATGGGACCCTATCTTTGAACTGAATCATATCTTTAGTTTATATCAGAGAGCGCATGTAATTTATTATGTATAGAACTTCATCTTACGAGATAGCTAAGGAACCTATTCTTTAGAAATATTGCTTTCAATTACGTATCTTTTTTGATCAGGAAACCATATGGTGGCTTACAAAAGAGTTCTCTGTATGTTAGCTGAAAGGCAAAAATGTGTAAAACATATGGGAAAAGATCAAGGTCATTAATATATGGAGCTCATCCTTTAGATTTAACAACCATATTCTGCTGCACAAGGAAGACTTTTGCTCTTAATTGACACTTTTTCTTTGCAAAGCTTTGTAAGCAAGTCTGATTGAAAATGGTTGGGACAGTTTTGCAGGAATTACTGATACAAGTTAGATGTTGTCATTGCCCAGTGATGCTGGTTCAGGAACTGCAGTTTGCAGAAATTCAAGGCGATCTATCTACAGAGGCAGACACTCTTAAAAATAAGTGTGGGTCCATTGTTCAAAACTATCCTCCAGTGTGTGCAATATTAAAATAATTCATTTCCTTCTGTACTTGTAAGTCGAATGTAAGTGTATTTTTCTGCTTTAATTTAATTCCCTGTAGTTCTAACTTTCCCAGCCTATGGTTTCTTTTAAAGAATTCAAAATAAAAGCTTTTTGCCCACAGAGAATTCCAAAATCTTATTTGAAATCTACTTGAAACTTTCCAAAATCAAAGTTTTAATCAGCCTTTTGCTGTTTATTAAAACAAATTAAGTCCTTAAACTTGTATTTAAAACTTATTTAACCAAGGTGGCGCAGTGGTTAGAGTGCAGTACTGCAGGCTACTTCTGCTGACTCCCGGCTGCCAGCAGTTCAGCAGTTTGAGTATCTCTGGCTCAAGGTTGACTCAGCCTTCCATCCTTCCGAGGTCAGGAAAATGAGGACCCAGATTGTTGGGGGCAACATACTGACTCTATAAACTGCTTAGAGAGATCTGTAAAGCACTGTGAAGTGGTATCTAAGTCTAAATCTATTGCTATTGCTATTTTGCTAAGGATTAAAGGAAACTCACCAGGTGTTTTCAGACTTGTCAATCCAATGGTTCCTTATAGCTGAAGAGCAGTTAACCAGCAATTTTTAAAAGTGTTTAGCAAAGAAAGTGTGAGAACCCAGTTTTAAAGTTGCCAACCATGGTTTAAGCAAGGTGGCCCTTCCCTTGTCTCCCAAATCTCTAAACCCATTGGAGATTGCTGTCTTGCAGTCTCCTTCGAAGGTACAGCTGTATTGAGCACTTGTCGGCAATCGTAAATTCTTTCCTTGTCCAAAGAGGACTTGCGAAGAGCCAATCTGCTTGCTGGCTCTTTTATTTTGCTGTGCTTCTTGGCGCCACTGTTAGTGGAGCTTTTTTCAACTCCCCATTTCTTCCCCAGAAATCCAAAAACCCTGAATTCTCAGTCAGCCCCATCTTTAAATACTTATGTTTATAGGATATTTGAAAATGGGATTACTAACTAATAAGCATCAATAGAGTTAACTGCAACTGTTAAGGACAAGAAATTAACATTTATCTGCTGTATTGTGAAATTCAACAGAACGATTATCACATATTAATGACCCTTTTTTGTAATCTTTTCTTTTGCTGCCAGGTATATGATGGTAACTTGATTATTATGAAAATAATTCATAGCACAACTATTCAGCTAGTTAATAGCAGAAAGTGGACTAATCAGCATTCATACTTTAAAAGGCCTTTTCATAGATTCTTCCCTATGAAAGTGAAAGACTCACAATTGGAGTAATTATGTTAGAAGAAGTGTAAAAAAAATACAATTCCTTAAAAACAGCTGTTCATGTTCCTTTATCTAACTGAAAAAATGCAACTTTTGAATTATCTTAGAAATGCAAGTAAGCCCAAAGTAGAATACAATGGAATTAAAATAATTTCTTTTTTAAAAAGGGGAATGATTTACATGAAGATCTCTTCATCTTCTGATATCCGAAAACTGGTATTTTGGCATTGTCTGTTGTGGCTTTCCCTTTTCTTTTTTCAAAGGGCTGAAGACAACTTGAAGGGTTATAGATATATATCTCTCTGTGTGTGTTACAATTAAATTTCCATCTTCAGATAGACAGGTTTTATTGCTTTTATTGTCTTGTCCAGGAGCAACACTCATCCAGGATTTTTTATATTTTATATGCATCATATACAATTAGATCTCCCAACTTCCTTCAGTTGTCTTAAACACACACACTAAAATAATAATAATAATAAAGTTGGAAGGGACCTTGGAGGTCATCTAATCCAACACCCTGCTCTGGCAGGAACATTTCAGACAAATGGCTGTCCAGTCTCTTAAAAACTTCCAGTGTTGGAACATTTACAGCTTCTGGAGGCAGGTTGTTCCACTGATTAATTTTTCTAACTGTCAGGAAATTTCTCCTTAGTTCTAGGTTGTTTCTCTCTTTGGTTAGTTTCCATCCGTTGCTTCTTGTCCTGCCTTCAGGTGCTTTGGAGAATAGCTTCACTCCCTCTTCTTTGTGGCAGCCCCTGAGATATTGGAACACTGCTATCATGTCCCCCCTCGTCCTTCTCTTCATTAAACTAGACATACCCAATTCCAGCAACCATTCCTTATATGTTTTAGCCTCCAGTCCCCTAATCATCTTTGTTGCTCTTCTCTCTACTCTTTCTAGAGTCTCAACATCTTTTTTACATCGCAGTATTCCAAGTGTGGCCTTACCAAGGCATTGTAAAGTGATATTAATACTTCACGTGATCTTGATTCTATCCCTCTGTTGTCTAATGTGATAAAAGTTGTCTAATGAATGAGCATCTTTTTGTTTGTGATTCGGTTATGAACTTAGAGTGGCATGCCAACAATGAGGGCCTATTAAATTGCACTGCAGAGATGGACAAGAAATACTACAAATTTCCTTTTCTTTTTAGGCCATTTGGAAGTTGTTTCATTATTGATCAGTCATGGTGCTGAAGTGACATGTAAAGATAAGAAGGGTTACACTCCACTTCATGCTGCTGCTTCCAGTGGCCAGATCAGTGTAGTGAAGCATTTGCTCAATCTTGATGTAGAGGTAAGAAGTTAATACTACAAGCTAATAAAGATTGAATTGTTATAAATCCTGGCTGTGGAAACTTTAATTTTTCTATGAAATGAACTTTTTACAATCTTTTAAAAACGTAAACTGTCTTTGACAAGGCTGATGAAGGAACCTTTGTTCTGTTCTTTGGATTATAAATTATTTTAATCATTCTGGATCATAATATTAAATATTAATATAGCTGTTGGGAATATAGCCACAAGTGTAATTCTCCAACTTCCTCTGTCCTTTAGATATGATGTAATAATAAAAATATAGAGGTGCCACTGAAGTATATGATGTGCAACAGACCATATGCACTATTTATACTGAAATGAGGATAGAGTAATTGTTCCTATATGATTGGACAAATTTTCTTAATTTATTGCATAAATAATTTGTTTTAACACTGATAGCTGTAACATAGGTAACCATGCTATTTTTGATCTTTCCTTCCTTCCTTCCTTCCTTCCTTCCTTCCTTCCTTCCTTCCTTCCTTCCTTCCTTCCTTCCTTTCTTTCTTTCTTTCTTTCCTTTTTCTGCTACCAACTAACATATGTCCAAGTTTGAATGAATCCAAACAAAGATAAGCATTTAAGAGCAATATGCAAGATTTTTGTGCAAACCTAAAACCTGGGAAAAATGCAATTTCTTGAAAAAAATGCAAACCTGTTCTTTTTTTAAAAAACAACATTGTTATGTTTAATTCACAGTTTCTCCACGACTCTTTGAGGAGTCCAAAACAGTTTGTAACAGAACAATAAAACAACATTAAATAAAGTCATCAAAGATCAAACCAACAATCTTAAAAGAATAACAATATAACAAGGTTCTTTTTAAAAAATATTTTAAAATGCAGTCAAAAAAAGCCAGGCCGTGGAATTATCCTATAAATGCTAAAGCAAAATTTCCAACATTGTCTTTAATATCACATTAAAAAAACTACATGGAGACCAGCCATATTTCCTTTGGAACAAATTTCATAGAATTGGAACACAGTGCAAAAGTGAAAATGCAGTGCAGTATCTGTTGTCTCTCTTTAAGTGACAATGTATTTTTCCAATATGGTGCTTTAAAAAGTCAAAAGCTAATATTTTTAATACTATAAAGTATATTTTTTGGATCTGGATCCATAGTTCTGCAAGTTCCTATTATCTCCCCTGCTTAAATCCAAATTAAAATAATCTCATTTAGCTTCTTCAAGGCCTGCTTTAAATGAATGGCCATATTTCCACTATTTTGTTTATTGTTGGTTGTTCTCCTTTCTTCAGAGTTTGATATCAATATTATAAGAACAAGTTCAGGAGCAGACATCCTCGTGGAGGATATAACTTTTTTTTTGCTTTATTCATAAAATTGAATAATTAATTTTGTAGCCATAGGAGGGAAATTGTTAAGTTGAAATTATTTTTTTTCATATAATGTTTTATGTAGTCATGTGATATTTAGACCTTTTGTTGTACTTTTTCTGGAAGAAATGCATTACCTTCTATTTGAAATATTAAGGACCACTTTATCCTTACTGGAAACTCTTTTTCTTTTACACAAACTCATATGGCATTGTTAATATTTTATAGTTATAATAGTTAGATTATATTTTGTTGATTAATAACAAACCATGTCCTGCAATTCTCTAGCTAAGTCAACATGCAATGTTCTCTTCTACTGTGCTAAGTCGGAGGTCAACACTTTTCTTCTTCTTCTTCTTCTACCCCACACTCTCTCCTCTTCTCTTTTTCCTCCCCAGTTTCCCATTATTTTCATTTTCCTTTGTATTTTATATTCTGATAAACTAATAAAAAATTGAAATGAGACATGAGTAGACAAAAGTAATGCCTTAATGTGAGTGATTTCACGTGATCTTTTGCTCTTGCAGATTGATGAAATGAACATCTATGGAAATACTGCCCTTCACATTGCTTGTTATAATGGCCAGGATTCTGTGGCTAATGAGCTAATAGACTATGGAGCTAACGTCAATCAGCCTAATAACAGTGGATTCACTCCCCTCCATTTTGCTGCTGCTTCTACTCACGGGGCCCTTTGTCTGGAACTGCTTGTGAATAATGGGGCAGATGTAAACATTCAGGTAAAATTACAGGTTTCACATCTCTTCCTTTTGATTTCCATTTCTTACATCTTTAAACAGCGGATAAATGGAATGGAGATCAGGTAAGTGAAGGTTATGTGTTACACCTACACATTTAAATGTTGAGCTTTGAGGTATACCTGTTAAATATAGAGTACATTTCTTTTCTGAACAGTAAGACTATTGAAAGAGAAAAATATTTTTAACTTTCCAATTCAGACATATTCTTTTTGTGCAAAAATCGCTTGGAATGGATAACTGTTACATTAAAGTTTCTCTGGATAGCAAGATGGGCAGCATATAAATATAATAAATAGATAAATAATAAATAGATATGAATTTACATGGAGAACAAAGAAAAATGAGGCAGTGTCCTTCACATGGTTCAGAGGGAAAGAATTGAAATCAAGGCCTATTCAGTTTCTCTTAAGATACTGCCTTCATTAAACACGTAGACACATCTTGTCCATTATAGGTATTCTGTATATCACAAATGGGATCAGAAACAAAATGTTCCTTTCTTGCTCCATCCCTTAGCAGGATTACTTCTAACTACAATGGTATAGTCTGAAAATGGAGACATGTTTCTTCTTCCCCACGTTTTTTTGCAATGTTACTTAGAAGTTTGGCAACCATCCCTGAATCTTTTTGTTTTACTATCACTAGATAATTTAAAGTTGGGAAGAAAAAGATATTTGTGGGGGGAATGTGATTCACTAGCCCAGAGGTCCCCATACTTTTGGGCACCAAGGACCAGTTACGTGGAGAGAGGTTTTTCCACGGACCAGAGGGGGTGTGGTTTTGTGTACTTCCTGCATCCCACGTATGAGACTTTGCTTGTTTGTGTGACCCAGTTGCTGGCATGCCGCAGCCCGGTACCGGTCCATGGACTGGGGATTGGGGTCCCCTGCATTAGGCTACTGCTATGCTGTCCCTTCTTAGAAGTGTATGTTAATTTCTTCTTACCCATCTGTTCTCTATATTTTAAATCTTTTCAGATCATGAATCCAGTTATTTATAAACGGCCTGATCAAGAGGCAAACACAGTGTAAAAAAACCTTACCTTTATAAAGTCTTAGAAGCTCACCGAGCCATGAATGTTGAGGTGCTTTGAATATGATTTTAATTGATATACAGAAAGCCATCTTTTTGTATATTTAGGAAGTGTCCAATGTTGCCGTTTTACATCTAAATGTGGGGCATCGAGAGCACCTTAAAGGAAATAGGCACATCACTACCAATAGGTGTGATCTGTGCTATGTTTGTTTTTTTGTTCGACAGAGTAAAGACGGGAAAAGCCCACTGCATATGACAGCTGTCCATGGGAGGTTTACACGGTCACAAACTCTCATTCAGAATGGTAAGCTAGTATTTTTAATATTGTATCATTTTAAAGCGTCTTTACTAATTTTGTCAAGTTTTAATCTTTTAGAAAATGAAGAATTGTGTGTATTTTCTTTCTTTTGGGTATACAGTCAAAAGAAGCAAGAGTGAAAAATAATGGAATTAAGAGCTTACATTTCTGCATCCGTTCTGGATGCAACAGCATTTTTAGTTTCTTGTTATCTTTTTAATGTTCATTAAGTTTGCAGACAGTTGCAGAACATGTCCAAAGAAGATATAAGTGGGGCACAATTGGAATATCCACAGATCTGGTACAAAACTATTATTTCTTGATTTCTTAATCAGGTAAAAAATATTTGGACCATGGGAAAATAGTAGAAACAATAAATATATATTTGACATATGTTGTAGGTATGCATACATATACACATAGATATCAGTTTAAAAGGAAATACAGCCACAAAATCACAGTGGGAATTTAGTCCACTATATAATTTATCACTATGAATGATCCAGAAAACCTACATCAAACACCCTGAATGGATAATAATTTCTCTCTCTTTCTCATTCTCTTTAGCTTTTTGTCAACCTGTTCTGTTCAGAGAAGGAACAGATTGCTCTTATCCAAAGTCTTTAAAAAAATAGATCTCTTATACTAATCTATAGGGACTAAATATTTTTCTTCGTTTTACTAATATTTTTAATTATAAAAATATTGAGGATGGTAGAAACCTACAAGCTTCCTACTCAAATTTTTTCATCAGTTTGGCGTGGAACTGAATTGTGTAATAAACATAATCTCATTATAGTTTAAGTGTAATTGACAAAGCAATAGGAATACTAACAAGCTAAAAATAGGCTAATGAATTTCTGAATTTCATTAGCAAAAGTTTAGTTAAAAAAAAGAAAAAGAAAAGCAAACATATGTCGGACAATGTGGGTCAGCTAAAAATTCATGGGAAAATTTGAAGATGAACTAACTTATTTAAATGTGTGGTAAATTAATTAGAGGAACTTCTAGATTGGGTTCGCACAAAATGCTAGCCTTAGTAAAAATGGAGTTGGGTAGGACCAGATTCTGTTATATAGATTTTTATTGATTCAAATTCACTTTTAATATTATTGTCTTACAAGTTCTGACTTTATAATTTATGTTGTAAAACAGAAGCATTCCAAATATGCAGTTGAACAGTATTTAAGGGTAATATTTTGTACTACCTGTAAATGCAAGGCACACATGGAACATGTTGTTCAAAATGCACAGAAATTGGCAATATCCCTGAAATCTTTGTGATATTCTAAAAGTGCATAATTCATGTTTGCTGCAATAAAATTTTTGGATGGGGTTAAGGCACAACTTCTGTGCAAAACCCAGTTGGAATCACATAACTTCTTCACTACCTTGGAGAGGATGCAGCCTAACTCTTAAGGAAGATATGTGTTTTTTGTTGTAAGGCCAGCCTAGCCTAACCTGAGACTCTTATCCTCTCATATTGATTCAAACTTTTCCCCCTCCCCCCCTTGTCTTGGCACTTTTGATTTCCATTGATAATTTTGTTTCATTTAAGTAAAATATTGTATGAGAAATTAAAATGCCACCCACGGGTTTTCACCTGATGGAATTGTCTTATTTTTTTTCTTTTGAATTGGTCAATTGGTCAAGTCCTTGAATGATGGAATTTGGTACTTTGTAGTTCGTAATGTTCCATTGCCTTAATGTGTTATAGTGATCAAGTCATCATATTAAGTCATAATGTGTTCTGTTTGTGTTAAGGCTTGTTAGCAGTTTTGTGTATCAGTATCAAAGTTGTATAGTAATAATTTTATGTACTTTGGTTGCCCCTTCAGAATATATAGTACCAGATCCAATAGTGCAGAATTTCTTGATTAGTAATATATGATATAATAATTCAATAAATTCATTGCTAATAATTTCATATTTGTATCTCAGATAATATAGTGTATATAGTGAAAAGACAGTTGTATAATTTCTTTTGCTGGCTTGAAACTCTCTACTCCTTGCAAATAATGTGTTAGGTTTTTTTTTTGTTAAATTGCACTTGATTCTTACATAATATTTTCATATTAAAATGACATATTCAGGAGGTGAAATAGACTGTGTTGATAAGGATGGCAATACTCCCCTTCATGTGGCTGCAAGATATGGACATGAACTTTTGATTAATACCTTAATAACCAGTGGAGCTGATGCTGCCAAGTAAGTTTCTGAAGAAGTAATACTCCACATTATAGAATTATATCATTAACTTTAGAGTGTATCATCACCTTGGATTGGGAAGGTGGCCTATTTAGCAACAGTTGGTAATATCTTGTGAATATTTAAGGTGGATTAATGGTTGCTGAACCCTTTTTAAATTTGTTTTTAAACCCAATAATTCTGTATGACACCAATAGCTTTGACTAAAGTCCATAGCAAGACAGGATCAACAAATTAATTATAGTTGCAATTAACAGAAATTATATTTTTATTTCAACCTTTACGATTTCTATATCTAATATTATGATTGGAATGTATAATTCAGAACTATTGCTATATTTTCTTTCTGGTAAAAAATACCACAAACTGTTATTAGAAAAGAGGTTTACAAGGATATGATCTACAATATTCTGGGCTTCTTTCTATATGAATTTTAATCCATTCTTTTTCTAACTGATGAAGACAGAAATGAGCATCAGTGAGAGAAAAGGGTTCAGCAATCCAGGTTATCCACTCAAAATTTCTATTTCATGCTTCAGTGACCTGTATGTTGATCAAATAAAACACCTCTGTCGGTGCCTGAGATGTCCAGTGAAGTGAGAATCCCGCTTGAAATAGGTAGACATCAATGTCAGGATGGGATAATATATCTGGGATCTAAAATGAAAATTTGAATTGTTTTTTGTGAAGATCATTTTGTGTCCTTCCAGATTGACATCCAGAAGCAGAAGCTTTGCAAATAGAATGCTCAAAGAAGTAAAGTCAAAGGGCATTATTTAAGATAATTATGTGTAGGGGGAATGAAGGAGTAAATAACTAAATTTGACTTATTTATATTGAGATAGGAAAATTTTAAGATGTAACCTGGAAATTGTTCTAATGAATCCTAATAGATTATTCTTGGACATGTACAATCTGTCTGATAACATATTTGCATGACAGGGAGATTACAAATTGGTTCTGGAAGGGATCGTTATTTAGTAAGCAGGAAATTTTTGTAATGCTTTACCATATATCACTAGAAAACATATTGCCGTCCTATCACTCTGAAATAACCCCTAATTTCCCTGTAGCAAATAGATTTAGAAGAAAGACATATACAGAGAGAGGTCTAAAAACTTTATTTGAAGAAATGTTTATATCAGAGGTTGGTTTGTTTTGCAGATGTGGTATCCATCGCATGTTTCCTTTACACTTGGCAGCACTTAATGCACATGCTGACTGCTGCAGGAAGTTGCTTTCATCAGGTAAGCAAATGCAAAAGAGAATATAAAACTAACCTTGTGAATGAGCTGTTTATAGGTCACTAATGTATGTCCATGTACTTAGAAACTGAAGGCCTTACATTTTGTTTCAAACACACGCTGTTGTATGCTTATATGTGCAAATCTACGTGTTCCTATTTGAATGTATACACAATCCTGTTTTATGTATAGTCTGTGTTTAAAGCATGCTGAATGCTGTTCCCTTCTTTAATGACCATAGAGAATGGTCATTTGAGCACCCGTTATAGAACATTGTACTATTTCTGAAGGAAAAGAGGGGGGGTGTTTTTTGTCATTTGCTGTTCTATCTGTGGAGCCTTGCAAAATCTACAGGCAGGGGGGACAAGGTGGAGAGCAACTCTATGGGTCTTGATTGTGGGTGGAGGAACACAGCTGCATCATTGAACAAGCCTTTGTTAAACTGAATTCCTTTCTATGAATCAAAGGAGCTTTTTGTTTATGAAATAACCATCTGATTACCTGGAAATAAGCTGGCTCGTTCTCAATAATTTGCCACAAGGTAAACCAGGTTTGTGTGGATTTTGGTTCTTAGTTATTCTCACCACCAGGAATTTACTAAATCCACAGTTGCTTCTGCTTATCCCCTCAAGTAAATTACAATGACTTCTGTCAGTCAAAATAAGATTAATTTTACATCCAAACCTAAACTGCAAAGTTTGAGAGGACTCATAATTTATTTACAATTCTGGCTTGTTAGAGGATTTGCAGATCTCACCAATGGTAAACTTTCTATGGCTGGTATGTTTCTGATTATTTTTCCATTCTGGCTTGTAGGAGGTTTCAAGATAGGAATACTTGGGAAGTATGTACTAGCTTGCTTGACTGTTACCTTTAATAAGCCAGAATTCTCAACAAATCTAGTTTAATAATAAGCCAATAGGACATACTTTAGAGTAGGGCTGTTTTTTGGTTCCCAGGTACATGATAAAAATGTAATGCATTGTATAAACAGGAAATCAGGTTGTTCTCTTTTGTAGCCTTCACTTGTTTTTTTACTATATCCTTTGTTGAAAGCTTAATCTTATTTCAAATTTCTAATTTCAATCTCATTTGGTTTTTATTATTGAATTGTGTGGCACTCTGCAGTCCTATAGAAATACGTAAATAATAAACTGGATTAAAGCAAGCTACATACAATTATTTTTGTCTTGTAAATATTTTTGATATCATAAATTAAGGCAATTTAATTTGACTGTATGAGAGGATCAAACTTACAGCAAGCAATGCTCAGGGACTCTATGTGCAATTTTTTATCACCATTTTTGATGAACAATAATGGTGAGAGACAATAGAACTAATGGCTGTTTTCACTATCCAAGACCAATATGCTAGTCTTTGATTTTGGAATATCAGTTTCCCACAATATGGGCTATTCCAAGTGGCTAACTACTTGTTCTCCAAAATTAGTGAAGCAGCTGTCCTTTGATCTGGCCTACCAACTAGGCCTTGTCCTCCATTGGGCAAAATTTGCCATCAGTTCTAATCCTTACAAGATGCCTTTCTGTAGAGGGAGCATCTGTTATTTTGTCCATTAATGTTAAAATCAGTACAGTATGGCAAAGGAAAGATAATGAAAACTGGTTTGCAAGTACATTTCTAGACATTTTTAATAAGATAGTCATTGCTTGCATTTTCAAATGCTCAAGATTAGAGTACTTGTATTCTCTAGGTGGATGAGATTGCAGAAGTGTGGGAAAATTATGATGAGTCTCTTTAATCTTAGTTTTTATCCGTATCATCATCATACTAAACAAACGTTAAATCTAGTTTCAGAGCCATAGAACATCTTAAGTGAAGCTTAAGTTCTTTTTTTATTAGTCACTTCAAACAATTTGTGGCCTTGGTCATTTTCCTTTTCTCCATCTCTCTATGGCAGAAGCCCCCATCAACTTCTGGTGAAGGAATGAGATGGGGATAATGCAGATAAAGAAGCAGTCAGAAGTCAGTTTGACATCCTTGTGAATCCACTGTCTGTTGCCTTAGGGAAATGATAATCATTTCTCCTTTTTTGCAATTTCACAGATAATCCACCCCCTCCTTAGCTGTAGTTCTTGCTGCAGTAAAAATGTGCTGCTCTCCATACAAAATATCTGTCCTTCTCTAGAAAGTCATCATTTCCTGTTCCTGTGCAAAATCTGAAGCCATTAGTAAATAAAACTCTTTTTGATGCATGCTGAGGCAATTCTTGTGACTTCCTCATTTTCCTCACAGAGGTCTCTGCCTTCATGCCTGCTGTCACTTCTCTTGAAAGTCTGCTCCTGAAATGCCTGCTGCATGATTTAAATACTTCAATAGCAATGGGCTGGATGTGAAAATAGATTCTTTTTGGCTTTATGGTTCTTTTTTTTTCTGTAGCGGCCAAGCTTGAACAGACCCTGTCCGTTTCCATAACAACCTTTTGCTGACTACAGTTGTGTCTTCATTCTGAATTTTTTTCTTACTAACTGATTTTTCTATCTCTGCAATGTTTCTTGCGGTTTAACTAGGACAAAAGTATAGCATAGTGTCCTTGTTTAGTAATGAGCACGTGCTGTCTGCAGGCTTTGAAATAGACACCCCAGATAAATTTGGAAGGACGTGCCTCCATGCTGCTGCTGCAGGAGGGTGAGTAGTTTTAAAATTACAACTGCAATAGATATATGTAATTTTAGCTCTGTGGTTTCCCTGCAATTCCCCCCCCCCCAAAGAGGAACAGCAAAATGACACAAAAACTACTGTAATTTATGAGGCCTCTTTTGTGGAATGCATGAGTGCACGCAGGCACACACACACACACACACACACACTTACCTCACTTTAGAAAAAAAAACTCTTTTTGCACATGACAAACTATGTTTTGCTTCAGTTAAGTAGGTACCATTGTTTCCCTATCACAGACTAGGCTTTCTCACCCTCAGCTGGTTTTTCTTCCTTTTTTGGTCATTGTATTCCTAACCCATCACACAAGCATTGCAGTTTATCAGGCTGAAAACCCCATCTGTAACAATAAATCTTTACAAATTAATGGTGGGTTCTGTCTCTTGCATAAAATGTTTTGATGGGCCAAGTAATGTGGGAACAGTGTAAAAGAAGAGATAATGAGACCCAAATTTTGAGCCGCTTCTCTTTTGCCCTTTTTTATCCACTGGCATGTGGGGAATCCTTTCCAGGGCCTAGGGGCTGTTTCTCTTTACCATTTAATAGGGCAGATTTCCCCTCACCCAGAAACGGAGGTTGCCCTCCAGTGTATTGCAAGGAATTGGCTGCTGTGCCATAAAGGAAAAGCAGGACAGGGGCAGTGTGTTCACATCCATTCCTATACTGAACCAGAATTATTTCAGGTTTCTACACTTGCAAATTTGAATTAGCCCAGATAGCAGTACACACACACACACACACACACACACACACACACACACACACACACACACACTAAATGGACATGCATTCAAGGACAAAAGTTACATTCTAGGTTTGTTACTTTCTTTCCCAAATGGGTAGGATTTCTCTTCGTTGCACATTCAGGCTAGACCAGACAAGCCCATACTTCGTTCTATAATATAGGCCAAATTGTAAATTACTGTCCTGGAAAACAGAGTTGCCAGACAGGAAAGAAAATAAATACTCATAGTTCTACAGCCAGATCACTCCTTTTAATAGAGTGTGCCTTCCCTTGTATCAAAGGCAAGCTATAAAAAGGAAGGGTGAACATCTACTATTCTAAAATTTATGCATCTGAAGACTTGTTTTAAGGGATAAGAGAGAAAAAAGCAGGCCATGGACTGCACAGTAACACAATTCTTCCAGTCAAGAGATTGATGGAAGAAGAATATAAACAATTCTTTTAGTTACACTTGAAAGAGCCGATGCATCAAATTTATTTCAAGGTTTCTTAGCTCATTCAAGACATTTCTCAACAGAATAGTCCCCTGCACTTTATAAATGTATTGAAATGATCTAAAGCTGTGCTTTTTTTGTCTTTTTCTGCTGTCCTCATTCATCACAGTAGGCTGTGTGCAAGATAACTTCGAGTCAAAGGGTCTTGAACAAATTAAGCCGTGTTAAAATGAATTGAATACAGTGTTCTTCCTGACTAAATTAATGAGATTAAATTTATATAATTTGTTTAAAAAGAATGCTCTTGTTATTCACATATTTAACTAAGAATTGTCTAAAGGTTCAGGAAAAAAAAGATTCCTTAAGGGTATGTATCGTAATTCTGAACATGACTGGTAAGTATTAGTAATAGAGAACAGAGCAATCTCAGTAGATCTGGGAAGGATCAAAGTGCAATGTCTACTTCTCTAGCCAGGAGAAGGAAGAATAGTGAGACTAAGGAACTTTCTTCCTTGAATTGTTCAGCTATTCATATGTCCTTCCATACATGGAAAGGAAACAAGGTATTGCAGCTGTAGGCCAGCTTTTTCCTGTTCTTGCCTAACTTTCATCGCAATAAGCATAACTAGGGTCCTCTAGAACAGGGGTGTCAAACTGCCGGCCTACAGGCCGGATGCATCATATTGAAACCGTGCCCACTCCATTGCCGGCAATGGGGAAAAAGTCACAATATATCACGCAATGTCATATGATGTCGCGAGTTTGACCTGCCTGCTCTAGAATGAACCTCTTGTATGCTGGCCATATGAGAGGACCAGTTTGCTGTAGCAGTTAAGGTACTGGCCTAGAAATCAGGGAACTGATTCTAGTCCAGTGGTTCTCAACCTGTGGGTCGGGACCCCATTTGGGGTCAAACGACCATTTCACGGGGATTGCCAAACAACGCAGTCCGCCATTTTCCCCCCCTTTTCCTTAGCTGTGCTACTCCCTTTTATTCTATTGGCTTTTGAAAGCCAATAGAATAGACTCTCTTGAATAGAGTCTAATTCTATTGGCTTTCAAAAGCCAATAGGAATTGTCCAGGCTGTCTCTGCCCTGCTGAGCCCGCCAAAAGTCCCATTCTGCAAACAGTGATGCACCAGTTGAGTAGTCCTCGACTTATGACCAGTTGGGGGTCACGGCATTAAAAAGGTTGAGAACCACTGTTCTAGTCCCACTTTAGGCATGAAAGCCAGCTGGGAGACTTTGGGCCAGTCAGTCACTCTCTCCCACAAGGTTATTGTTATAGAGAAAGGAGTATTATGTATTTTTGCTCCCTTGAGTTATAAACTAATAAATGCAGATAAAAATATAATACATAAATAATAAATAAATATGCTAAATACAGCTTGTCCTAGGGTTATATTGCTAAATATGTTTAACTGGAACTAAAGTTCTCTGAGTTTTGGTCGGATGTTCTTCTAAATAGACATATTTGCTTATGTTGCATCCCTCAGTGAGGTTTAAGTACTTTTTTTTTTTTAAAGACCATTCTGGTTTGGAAACCTCCGTATATCTGGAAGGTGCCAGGCTAATCTAACACACGATAGATTCTTGTCTTAACAATAAAGTGCTTTACTGTCATAGCAACCTTGACAGGTGTATGTCCACAAAATATTGTTTTGTTTTTTTGTTAAGTAGCTATTGAAAAGGACTATACCTACTCCATTGTTTCAAGCAAAACAACTCAGCATCCATTATGTTCAATCAGTTGTGAATGTGCAATGAGTAAAGACAATGAAGCTGAGCCTTTACAGTACTGGTTTAAATAATTATTTTTGGAATGTCTTTACCTTTGAACTTGCAAACATTCATACTACTGTATCACAGAGAGGAGAAAAGTTAGAATGTTTGAATACAACAGTGAAGTCAGTATTCGGCCAGTCACAAAATATAGTAATAATATTTTTTCCCCGAGAGTTAAATTAAAATAATATGGTACACACATTTTTACCATGTTCATCCCACTGAAGAACGTTTTTGGCCAGTTTTAAGATTCTCAAGCCACGTGAAATATGTATTTGGTATGTTTCTATCATATCATCTTCAACAATTTTATAACATATAGTTTTATGGTTGATAAAGCTTTAGAACAGATTAATTGTAAATTAGCAAGTCTGTTTTTAATAGTGCAGTGCTGGTACATAAATTTAGATGCTGCTCTCAATTTGAGCCAAATATTTTTTAACCTTGTTCAGACAGCAATTAAGACAGCACATTGGGATCCCTATGTGGAAATTTTCACAAGATTGTTGCCTTGGAAAATGCTTGATTTCATTTGTAATGATCAGCTCAGAGGCTCATGTATGCAGGTGTGAATTCTGAATCCTTCTTTTCCAAGGGCTGATTGCGTTGTCATCTAAAATGAGCTCTGGTACATTCTGATACATTCCTATACATGCTAACCAGTACAAATGATGTTTTAGAGTTTGAGGAAGACAGGGTTACACACTATTTTCTCAATTTCTTTTTTATTTATTAATGTTTTTGCTGCCCATCTTACCATGAGGTGACTTTGGGTGGCTTATAAAGTTAAAAAGAAAAAATCAATGCAACAATATGTATCCAATAAGAATAAAACACTATAAAATACAAATTATCAGCTATAAGATCTCTGGTGGTGCAATCCTGCAGGCTACTTCTGCTGACTCCCAGCTGCCAGCAATTTGGCAGTTTGAGTCTCACTGGCTCAAGGTTGACTCAACCTTCCATCCTTCTGAGGTCGGTAAAAGAAGGACCCAGATTGTTGGGGGCAATATGCTGACTCTGTAAACCTCTTAGAGAGGACTGTAAAGCACTGTGAAGCAGTATATAAATCTAAGTGCTATTCTTCTTCTTCTTGTGCCATATCCGTTATCGGACATTGGCGATCATGTTGGCGATCCTGTTTTTATCAGCAGCCACACGAAAAAGTGCTGCTGAGTTTTGTCTAAACCAGTCCCTTAGATTTTGAAGCCATGATGTCCTTCTTCTGCCTGGACCTTCAATCTTTCCCTGGAGGATTAAATGGAGTATGCCGTATTTTTCTGGGTGTTGCATCACATGTCCAAAATATTCTAATATTCGTTTTTTAATTGTTTTGATGATTTCCCTTGGCTTTCCCAGGCGGCTTATTACCTCCTCATTTCTGATCTTGTCAACCCAGCTTATACGTAACAGCCGCCTGTAAATCCACATTTCAAATGCTTCTAGTCTCTTCAGGTGGCCTTCTGTCAGAGTGCTATTGCTATTGTTATAAATAAAAGATGGGAAGGCAGGGAGTAGGACGAGTGGGGGAGAAGTGGGATCTATTATTAATCTATCAACCACTTCCAGTGTGACGTTGCCCCATTGCCCAACTGGCAGAGCCAGGTCTTCAAACCCTTGCAGAATGTCAGGAGAGTGGGAATGTCAGAAGAGCAGGCTCTTCTCCTGGACCCCATCAGCTGGAATTCTTTTGCTGACACAGCCTGCAGCATTCTTTCTCTGCTAGAACGTGTAGGGTGGGCCAATCCCAGTGGGATTAAACAGTTCCTGAAGTAACCTAGACCCATGTCATGAAAGGCTAATAGTTACTGTTTTACTCATATTTTATGTTATAGTTTGTTCTTCCCAGTTCCTGAATGGTTAACCATGTTTTTTTTTCAACTTTAGATTTTTTTCCCCCATCAGCACTATTTTATTCTATTTATGCATTCTTTTCTTTCTGTATCTTTTCAGCAATGTTGATTGTGTGAAACTCTTGCAGAGCAGTGGAGCAGATGTAAATAAAAAAGACAAATATGGAAGGTTTGTAACTTACAAAAACTTTAAAAATCAATGTGGAAATCTAGATCTCAGTTTCATGATACTGGAATTAGCTGAGCAGGATTAAGAGGAGTTCATGCTTGGCTGTCATACTTCATCTTTGGAAAACATCTATTACAATTCTTAATGCCAACAATGTTCTGGAAAGATCAAGAATATCATGTAGGATGTCAGACAAGACTATTATTGCTCAGTTACTTATCCTTCTTTGTTCGTGGGATTAGCATTGAATTCAGATGTGAACAGTCTCAATTTGTAATCCTCCTCTGAGGAAATCTGTCAGGGAGAAATATATATATATATATAATGTTTACACAGTATTTTTTGACCGATAATGCAGGAGACCTTTCTTTGGCAATGGAGAAACATGTTGCTTCCAGACTGGGAATCCATTGAAGGATATAGGTTAACTAGCATCCTAAACCTGGGATGATCTCCTCTCCTCTCCTCTCCCCTCTGCTTCCCAAAGTAAAAGCAAAGTTTGAGATTATGTAATAATAACAATAATACATTTACTTATACTATACCTACTAGGTGAAGTGCAAACATAACAGGATAGAATTAAGACTCAGACATATGACAGCAATGGCTATGTTTATTACAGTATAAGGTTACAACTTCCTTTATAGGAAATAAACCTTTCCTGTCCAAAGTGTAATCCTAAAAGAGACAGATATATGCTATATCAATGGTATATTCTTTCCCCTTTCCTAGTAAGATTTGAATAGTTTTGTTCTATATTATTTTGCACCAGAGTTCATCTATATGGCTGCCTAGAAATAACGATTCAGTATAAAAAAATTAAGTGTAGAATAGGCAGTTGCACTGTCTCCGTTATCATTTAAGCAGCTGAATCAGGAGTTTTTCTAAAAGGTACCTTTCTTCTAGTCACTCTATCTCTTGTATTTCTGCACTTTAACTAAGCAACTTTTAAACATCTGAAAGAAGAAACAAAGCTCCTACCCTACCTTCTGAACATTTCTACCCTAAAATTAAATATTTTTTTACTAGGCACGCAGTAAAAGCCATACGAGTATTTTGTTTGCTAACTGCTATAAAGACAACAGCTTAGATATCTTTCTGTATGTGTTTTCCTTTCTAACAAATCTTATTTATTTTTACACTAAGCCAATGGTTTATTATGCTTTATTCTTTATAGTTAGCTGAATAGCATTTCATACCCTTTTTATTGGTTCACTTCTTAGCCATTTCTTGTATGCTTATTTCAAATCTTCACTGCAAAAGAACGAATATGTTCTGCATTCAATTAAATACTGCTGTTGTACCTTGAAATGGGTTCTCCCTATAGTAATGTTGCTGTCAGAAACAATTAACATAATAGTATCCTGTTACTCAAGTAGTGCCTTGGCTAATATGTTTCTATTTATTTTTCAGAACACCTTTGCACTATGCAGCTGCAAATTGTCATTTTCAATGTATTGAGATGCTGGTAACTGCGGGGGCCAATATTAATGAAACTGATGACTGGGAACGAACAGCTTTACATTATGCTGCAGCCTCCGACATGGACAGAAAGTAAACAAGCTTATTTGTATTCCTTGTTTCTAATTCATTGCTAAGCCGGTGTCATTTCTATTCTCTTCATCTCATTTAAGCAAAAACTCCCCCTTTGAATCAAATATCTCTTTAATGTCCCAGCTACTAGAATTGCTTTCAGTAACTACTTGCTCCTGCATATTGAGTTACTTTTGCAATTGCATGGTTCCTTCTAGGTTGCTGATTTCTGCATAAACCAGCTTCAACTTCTTTATCTTTTATTCCCTGATTTGTGTTTACCTTGCTACTGCTTTTCACATGGTTAGATATGGCATATAAATGTTTAATCTGTTTTCCGAAATGTTAACAAAACTACTGAACAACAAAAATGATAGTTTTTTTAAAAAAAAATCATTATTTTTTGCATATAAAACTATCCAGTTGCTCAAAAATCCTCTAGACTGGTATTAAGCTTTTTTCTGAATATTAAATTTTCTTGAATTAGAGGAGACATTCAGAAAACTCTTGTCATATGAAAATGTAAAATAGTTTTAAGTTTCAAGCAATGGGATAAAAGTTTGTAAGGAGCATGACGTTATGATGGAGTTAAAATATCCTCTTTATATTCTTAATGCTCCTGATCCCTGTGATTGAAACTTTACATTTTCTTTTAGTTTGAATGAATGTTGAAATTGTAAGCATGTTGTGTTCCACTATGCCACAATATTTCTGGCTTTGGTGCTCATTTCATAATATAGTTCTTTATATCAGAAGCACAAGATTTCTAGCAATATATTCTTTAAAATGATAACGTTAAATGAAGTATTTCTCTATAAACTGGTTCTCAAAATCTAAATATCCTATAATATGTAAAACAATTCCATCAAATTCTGAAGAAATCAATTTTTTATTATGATGAAATTTAGGGAGTGGAGAAAATTTATAATTTCATGCATTGAAGGAGTAAATATGTATATTGATACCATTTGCATATATGGGCAGCTGCAATTTACAAGGACAATCTCTGCTGTCCTTGTAAATTTATTGTCTTTGGTATCTGCATCTGATTTATAGTTACATGTATAAGGCTTGCCATGTTGATGTATCAAATAGACCTTATGAACTGAATCTTTCCTTAGTATGCCTTAAGAAAAATATTAGTCTATTGTGAAAGGAGTTTTGTCTTCAGTTAAAAGAACAACTCTACCATAGTGAGTGGATAAGTAATATAGCTCATGTGTACTTTATTCTCCCCTAGTTTAATTAGCCAGGACCCCAATATTCTCCTATGCCAGGGGTGTCAAATTCGCAATGTCATGTGATGTGTTGTGACGTATAGCTACTTTTTTTTCCATTGGCAGCAATGGGTGGGTGCCATTTCGCCATGATGTATCTGGCCCACAGGCCGGCAGTTTGACACTCCTGTCCTATGCTGATCTGAAGTGTTCTCCAGTCTCCTAAAAGACAATTATCCTAACAATCCTATCTTTTTATCCCAATGTCAGCAGGACTTCACTGAACAAACACACCCACATATGGGAATGCATAGAGAAACATATACATATGTATATCTATCTATACCATTTGTGTGACTGTACACACATTGTTAATTGGAAAACTGAAATCGGAAAGAAGCTTCTGGGGCTCAGCCAAGATTTGTGCTTATAAAACAGAATGGATTCATGATTTATTCATATTTAAAAATGATAAACTTCATGCACTTTTGCCTCTATTACTGAGAGCAAGTAAGAATATCTTGAACTCTGGGGAAAGGCTATAATTGAATAGCTGGTTTTTTGGGAGCTATGAATTTCCATACAGTTGAAATAAAAAAAATAGGTTCATCTTTCCCACTGGAAGTTAAATTTTATATAATTTACACATTAAGATCATAAAAATTCCCTGGTGGATCATACTACTGTGTGCCATCAAATCCATGACCTTTTCTCCAGTAGGTTATTAGAAAAATGTTTAACTCTTGATAAAAAGATTTATTTGAAAAGTGTGTCTGAAGATAGAGAATTATGATGGATGACTGAGTCAATTCCCCCCCCCCTTTAGTCTTATTATTGAAAAATAAAGTCATGCATAGAAAAAATACCTAGTTTAACATACTGTTACTTGGAGCTGTCTTGATAAACAGATTGATTTAGGGCAGGGGTAGGCAACCTTGGCTCTTTTATGACTCGTGGACTTCAACTCCCAGAATTCCTGAGCCAGCATGGTTCAGCTTGGAAACCTCTCCCTTTCCCCTCAGCATGGCTAGCTCAGGAAGTCCACGAGTCATAAAAGAGCCAAGGTTGCCTACCCCTGCTTTAGGGGAAAAAATAGTTTTTGTAATTCTAAGAGCTACACTGTTCTGCAGACAGTGAACTTGAAGGGACATATGCAGTATTAATTAAACATTTAAGGATGATGGAAGAACTGGTTTAGTAATGAGAATAATACTGTATATTAACCAGAGATGCAACCAGTCAAAATTTAAAAATTCCATGTTACATCATTTTCCAATTATTTTGGGTGGATTTATGAAATCTAATGAAATAATGTCTCACATATCCATGGTATTTATATTGTGTTTTGAAGACAATATTATGTGTAAAATTATTAATAATGCTTTTAACCACAAATAAATTAAATCCCAGTTCCATACAGTATATTGCAAATTTTCTACCTGTGTGTATACAGTTGTATACATAAATTAAAATACCACTTGTATTTCTATAATTGCATGTATTGTCCATCACTGTGAATACACACGTGGTGTTTGGTCATTTAGATTTTTTTTTTTTTGCCATTTTCGGTAAAATTTTTTGTCTAAGTTAAAATTAAAAATTAACAAACCAATTTCAGAAGAATTTAAATGGACCACAATGTTTTTGTTAAACATTGGAGAGAAACTATGATGATGTTGTCTTACTGTTGTTGGCTCATTTGTCAGTTGCAAGTTAATAATAATAATTATTATTATCATAATTATAATTATATTATTGATATAATATAATATAATATAATATATATTATATAAGAATTCAAACAGACAAGCACCTGCAACATAACACCCCAGACTTAACAATTGTCGATAAGAAAGACAAAAAAGTCTGGATAGTGGACGTGGCAGTGCCTGGAGACAGCAGAATAGACGAGAAAGAACTGGAGAAGATAACAAAATACAAAGACCTACAAATAGAAATAGAAAGACTGTGGCAAAAGCAAGCAAGGGTAGTACCAATAGTAATAGGCTCCTTGGGTGCAATCCCAAAACAACTGGAGCACCACTTGAACACCATTGGCATTGACAAATTCGCTATTAGTCAATTGCAAAAGGCGGCCTTATTAGGAACTGCTTCCATCCTGCGACGATATCTGTAATACCATCAAACATCCACATCTGCCTATCCCAGGTCCTGGGTAAGGACTCGATAGGTAGACAAAATGCCAAATCGAGTCTGAACATCTGGCTGACTGTGCAATGATCAATAATAATAATAATAATAATAAAGTTGGAAGGGACCTTGAAGGTCATCTAGTCCAACCCCCTGCTCAGGCAGGAAACCCTATACCATTTCAGATAAATGGCCGGCCAGTCTCTTCTTAAAAACTTCCAGTGTTGGAGCATTTACCACCTCTGGAGGCAGGTTGTTCCACTGGTTAATTGTTCTAACTGTCAGGAAGTTTCTCCTTAATTCTAGGATGCTTCTCTCCTTGATTAGTTTCCATCAATTGCTTCTTGTTCTGCCTTCAGGCACCTTGGAAAATAGCTTCACTCCCTTTTCTTTGCAGCCCCTGAGATACTGGAACACTGTTATCATGTCCCCCCTCGTCCTTCTCTTCATTAAACTAGACATACCCAATTCCAGCAGCCATTCCTTATATGCTTTAGCCTCCAGTCTCCTAATTATCTTTGTTGCTCTTCTCTGTACTCTTTCTAGAGTCTCAACATCTTTTTTACATTGTGGTGACCAAAACTGGATGCAGTATTCCAAGTGTGGCCTTACCAAGGCATTGTAAATTATTGTAATTTAAATGTAAATTAAATTTAAATGTAAATTAAATTAAATTGTAAGTTAAATGGATACATAAAAGGCTTCTGTATTGAGGAAGAATATGACTATAATAATGAACATACTAAGATCATCATCAAGATGAATTACTAACATAATACATTGCTAAGATAGCAATTATGAAGCTGTAGGCCTCATGACTCCTTCAGTGAATCAGCAAGCTATTGCAAACAGTGTTTTATAGATCTTTGTGCTTACATAAGAAATGGTGTGTGGATTTAGAGAGAAAGAAACTATGGCTGTCATTGTTACTTGTTCTGATTAGCTACTCTGGGTGTTTCATCTATACTTTTACCAATGGGAGAATATCTTTAAAATAAGAATAATACTTTTATACTCTAGTATTCTCAACATTTTTTTTATTATCCACTGTCTTTTGATATTGGTATCACAGCTAATACCAATTCATATTGTACCTGCATTGAATTAGACATGATTGCAATTTCTGCCATTGCAGAAGCCTTTTAGGAAGGGTCTAGAATAGAGAGGATTCTGGAGGAGTTGAACACATAAGTAGTATTTGTGTAGAGGATCCAATAGAACATTTCTTATAGATGAGATATATTACTTTCTCCTTGCAAATAGGTAGTTTCATGAAGACTTTTATTGGTGAGGGACAGGTTAGAATTGGTGAGGGAGACTGTATCTAGCAAAGACGAGATGAAATGATAAATATCAGAAAGCAGTTCCAAAAATACTGTAGCTGAATGTGATGCTGTGGTGTAGAATGAGGACCCTAGAAATACTTCCCATTTCTGAGTACTCTTTATGACTCCTGCCATATGCCAATCTGTGAAACATTTATATTAAAAAGTTTCCTGGTAGCACTCATAAATGTATTTACTGTTTGAAGTGAAACGATTAAGAGTAGTTTATACCAAAGAATCTCAAAATGAGTTGCCTTTTTCATTCAGAAAGAATATTTTGGGTAACTCCCATGAAAACTCTGAAGAAATTGAAAGATCCAATGAAAAGAAAGAAAAAGAAGCTGCATTGTAAGTTTGGCATCAGTACAGTGCTTTGACCACATCTCTGCATTACGCTTCTCCTTCTGTGGGCTGCAGTTATGTCCATTCCTTAGTTTTGTTCTGTCTCTCTGTTTAGTGCTGGATTTGACATCTGAAACCATAAAATGCTAACCATAGCATTCTTGTGTATTGATGTAGATATATGTTTATGTGTACTGGCTTATTTCATATTTAGCTACTTTAAAAGTTACATAGCCATCTGCAAAATGATGAAAGCAATATCATGACACTGGCAGGGCCTTCTTTCATACAATGCATGCAGAGCTAAAAAGAGCAATGCTTACAGTTTGAGGGAATAATATTGCTTTAATCATTTTGACTGAACCTGAGTCACTCATTCACCTAAATTGATTAACCGTCCACTAACAGAAATCCATCTTGTTTGGGCTGAGGCTAGATTTACTGACTTTTATCCAATAGACCACATTACTGAAGAGTTACACTGACTAATCTTTACCTGAAACTGATAAAAAAGTACTACAGAACTGGCATATTATCAATAAATTGATGGAACTTTATTAAAAATTTCATATGATCTCCCCCAACAGTTTAATGTAAACATTGAACAGCATGGCACCAAACCATTTAAATGATATAGCCTTGAGCATAAATTCCCCAGTAGCACTATCTAGAGCACGGGTGTCAAACTCGCCGCCTCATGTGACATGTTGCGATGTATCACGACTTTTTTTGCATTGCTGGAGCTGGGGTGGGCGTGCCTTCCGTCTGATGCAACCGGCTCGCAGGCTGGCAGTTTGACACCCCTGATATAGAGATTGAGCTAACTCAATCCCTCCAAAATAATGGATTGTATCAGAAACACCTGGAAGGTCCTGTAGAAGCAATTCCACATTTCTCTGCATGTAAAGTGAGGGGATTATCCCACCACCTAATCAAGGCACATTTAATGCCAAGACCAAGGTTTACTTCTGTTAAAAATCAATTTTATTCAAGACTGTCTGGATCTGATTATCTACCAACAGCTCAAGTACCTTTCCCTGAAAGATGTTTGCCTGCTTTCTTTAATTAAGATTGTACCATTTCTGAAGAAGAAGAAATGTATAAACGCCTGGATCTAGCTAAGCACTCCCTTTCTATTACTTGAATAAGCCACGAGAAGCAAAGTTTTAGCAAATAAGTGCCTGTTTGAACTCTATGAAGTTCCTTGAACATATTGTCATGCCTTAAAGCTGTCCTGGATTCCTCTACTATCTAATTGTCAAAACTGCAGAATCCAAGTCAAGATGATTACAATAAATTTTGCTCTCAAAGGATCTTGATTGGCATGTCACATGAAACTACCTTAGGTTCTCTTCTATTGGATGAGAACTCAGAAGTTTCCAAGTCACTTGGAGAAGTTCACTGGATATCACTAAAAGAATACAGTGGTGGCGGGAAAATGTAATAATGAGATCTTAATAGTGACCAAAAACTTTGAAATGAGTTTTGCTGCAGATGTCTCTACTTATTTCAGCTTGGTACATGTCAAGGATTTAGAAGAAGTTCAGAAACAAACGTCTGTTGTCTATGCCAGAAAATTTCCCTTTATGCCACCTGGAATCAACTAGAATTCATTAATTTTCAGAATCATAATCTTAACTCTAACAGATTTCCCCACCCCTACAGCAAGTAATAATTGACAGAAGTCTAAAAAGTTTAGCAAATTTGACCTTTGCAAGGAATAGATTTAAAGTCCCCTAATTTCAAACTGCTATACTCTTTCCTGGCACCGCCCCCCAGAAGTCCATAGAAGATAGTCTACATGTGTTGACCTAGTTATGTCTATGTATGTCTGTGTTTTTAAAGATGTGTGTGTATATGTGTGTTAGCTGCTGCTGTAGCCTTTTAATAAGGCTTGAAGATTGGCTCTGTTGTCTTTATGTCATGAATTTTGTAATCACTACTGTAAGAAAAATCTTCTCTTCATAAACTTGATACTTTGAGTTGGTATCTTTCTGATTATTGTTGTAGATTTTGTTATATCAATAACCAATATCTTGAATATACATAATAGTTAGTGATGTATCAAATCTCTGTCGTAAAAAAAATCCTAAAAAAAGTAACATAACAAAAGCAATTGACATTAAAAATTAGTCATTATTGGGAACTATGTTAGACTCCAATATCCCAAATAGTTTCTTCAGTTTGAGTAGCTGCATAGCAAATAACATTTCAATAGATAGTCATTGAAGAGCTAAAGTGACAAAAGCATTTCTCATTATCACTGTGTGGTTATTTGAAACACAAAAGCTGTCTTTGGCTGTATAGATAGCAACTTTATTGCTGCATCTTGGAACCCTCAGTTGAGAAAAATGTAACTCAAATCTGGCTAAACCTCCGCATAAGAAAACATATTTAATATATGGTTAATTCACTCATAGAAACTAAACATTATAGAAAATGGTATAGTGGAAATGCTTTTAATTGCATCTTATAGCAAATATGTAATTTCCAGGCCATTACTATTGTACAAAAGCCCAGTGAATATGGCAGAACTGAAGATTCAACAGGTACAGGATTCAGTTAAGTAGAAATAAAAAGTTAGTATTAAATATTTTAACATTAAGTGGATGTTTATCTTGGTATCAGTCATTACATATATTTAAATGGTAACATTTTTGTTTATATTTCTAAACAATCCACAGGTGTCTAGAATTTCTTCTTCAAAATGAAGCAAACCCTTCAATCCAAGACAGAGATGGCTATAATACTGTGCACTATGCTGCTGCCTATGGACACAGGCAGTGTCTAGAACTGGTGAGTAGGTCTGAATCACTGCTGAGATGTTGCATTGCAAAAGTGGCTTCCAAATTTAACATGTTCTTAAATTTGCAGAGCTATTACTATTATTTTGTAACATTGAACAATGTTACATTTGTAAATTTGCCTAGGATTATGGCTATGCGGGAGACATACAAACATTTTCATTACTTTACTACTCCAACATAAAGTTGATAGAGAAACGAGGGATAATTAGAATTGACTTATGAAATTCTTCTGCATTGCAAGTTCAGAAGCCTATGGAATATGTAGTGATGAGGAGATGAAAAAGAAACGCTCTTGTCATGGTCAAAACAGTCTTCCTTTGGGATATGTACTGAGAATGTGATGGGTGAAAATGTTTGGGGCTAACTTCCTTGATAGTCTACTCAATGTACGTTCTACATTGTTTAAGAACACCATTGATTGATAGTTAACTACCAAAGTAAACTAGTATTTTCCTTAATTTGTCAAGAAAAGTTGAATCATTGTGTTTTGTTCTTTGTAATCCACCCAAGCAACTATCAACTCTACCATATGCTGTGCAGTTATTTAGTTGAATTTCATACCTGCCTTTGTTTAGGTTCCCCATAGCAATATACTTGATGAGTACAAGACTGTTTGTGAAATTAGTTAGATAATAGTTGTTTTGTTACTATTTTTTTTAGAAGATGCTGACCCATAGGAAAACAGGAGTATTTAAAGCTGTTAAATTTGTAGCTTTTGACAATTTACAAGTTTGAGTTCCCTTTTATTATCATGGTTCAACTTCTTTACTTTTAAAATAAGCATGCTGACCTGACCATCTACCAAATGTCAGTCCAGAAGTAAAAGTAGTTGTGCTCTCATAATAATGTCTCAGTATGAAAAGGAATGAAGAGATTCTTGACTTTTACCATCTCTTTCTGTAGACAAGCATTCATAAAATATGTGAATGACAGAGCTAGGCATTAGTGGATGAGTGAGCATTATAGTAGTCTGCTTTTACTATGTTAAAATTAGTTTCATTTTACAATGAATTCATTCTTGATTGTGCTAATTCTTTTGAGCCTGCAGTGATCAGAAAAAGTAAGTGTGATCATTCAGTGATATTTCACAATCATAAGATGAAGGGCTTTCTTTCAGGATAACCAGCATCTTGAAATGCACCCAGAAACCAAGTATCAGCCAATGTAGTTTACAGAGCAATAATGTCACATGGGCATTCCGATGTGTGCCCATTACTCTTTGCATCTCTGCATTGTGGTCTAGTTGTAGTTTCTGAATGGTCTTTAAGGGCAATCCCCATTTAGAATGCACTGTGGCAGTCCAATTGTGAGATCACAAAGGGATGTTTGATTATTTTGAGGATCTCCTGATGATCAACAAGTACAAAGACAGTGCCCTAGATGAATCTTTGCAAAGGCCTTCTTGACCATAGTTGCCACCTGCTTTTTTGAGCAGGAAATATGAATCCAAGAAACTCCCCAGATTGTACACTAGTTTCAAATGGGGAAGTACAATCCCACCCAAGCTGAAGACAGAGAATTCCCAGAATTGGGGGATCCAAATACACTGTCAAGATAGAGCCTGAGTCTGTTTCTCCCCAGTCAGATTTGCACATCCTCAAGCATCAGGAGAGAAACATCAACAGCACTGCTTGGAGGGGGCCTAGGGCAAAACCTACAATATATTGATGGTACTAGACCCTAAACCAGAGAGCTCTAAAGTCTTCAGCATGTCAACCCCTTCATGAGGTTTCAGATTGTACAACTACCCCTATATATGACATGAAAATAATTTAATACTACTTTAGTTAATATTACTATGAATAACAACATTCATAGTTATATTGATATAATATATCAACAACAATAACAATAGTGGATAGGCCCCTCAAACTTTGGGGTTGATATTGATCACTTTGTGGAATCCTGCCCTAAATTGATGGATGACCTTTCTCAACTGTTTCATATAGATGTTAAACAGAAGGGTGAGAGCATCACCAGTGAAACTGGCAACTTACTAGTGCTTTAATATGCATAATATCAGATACCTAATTTGTGTGATTATAGTTGCAGATCAAACACAGAGGACTCAGAGTCATAACTGTACGCCCCAAAGGCACATTATTCCTTTTTCAAATGTGTCAGTAAATAGATATTATGAACTAATGTTGAGCCAGTTTAGTCTAACAAATCCTGTTGCCTGGAGGTATTTATACAGAAATTTGGCAAAAGCATTTTTCCAGGGCATCAATTTTTATAGTACCATATAAAATTATACAAAATTCCCATGGTAATTTATCTTCAATTAGTATGAAGAAGTAAGTTTGTTAAGAGCTAGAAAATCATTAAAGGTTTTTTATGTTTCATTTTCTTCAGTTAGTTTGTCATTGCCTATTTTCTTGCAACTGAAAACCTAAAGAGCTCTCGGTTTTAACTTTGTGTTTATGCTTGACGTTACATCAGATATTTTTCAGCAGCAAGCCAATTAACCTTTATTTACCTGTATCTCATTTGCTTTCTGATTAATAGCTTGATGATATTTTAAAAAATACTACCAATTTTTCCCCCATTAAAAAATGACTATCTCTCATCCTTTTTCATTCAGAAATCAACTTGTCGCTTTGTACAAAAAAGATTTCTAGTGTTTTCATGTTGATCCTTGGGTAACTGAGTCATATTCATGGATTAAGATAAAAATAATCAGAAATAATAAAATTTTATTTTTATTTTTATTTGGAAGGCCTTTTGGAGAATGAGCAGCAAAGACCGAGAACAGAGATTAACATAGTCATAGCTCATGAAACTGAAAACAAATGGTTGAAGTACTATACTCATACCATGCACTGGCAAAAATCTAATAAAATCTATTGCGGCTGTTGCCGAGGTCTGTTTCTCTTGACATCTTAACTGAAACACATTAAAAGAATGTTAAAAAGACAGTGGCATCTGCCTTCCAATGAAGGTGGCAGCTTGTCTGTCTCACACAGATTGAAAAGAAATATACTGTAGTGACAGTCAGCATTCCATTCAAAATGTTCAGTTCAATTATCATTTCATGTGTCAGTACATTGCACATACTCTAGTTGGTGTCACGCAGGCAAGAGTGCATAGCCTCTAGATTAGTATTCTTAGCTTGAATAGAATAGTGTGAGTGTGCTTGTGCTTCTGGTGAACAGGGCTTTGATTGAATTGCTGATATCCTATATTTGCTAAATGTGCTGATATTATTTTTACTATTTGTATGGAATTTGCATGTGGCATAGCTACAATTGTGTTAAGTAATCTGGTAAACTGATCTACATCTGAAAAGTATTAAGTATATGATCAAATCAAATCTTTATTACATTGTAGTCCAGCATAAGATGGGTAGGATACAATCAGTATAAGGAGTATAGGGTACATTAAAAAGCATAAAAGATATTTTGAAGTCTAATTTAAAAAGAAAAAACCTTGAACATATATGTTATGTATATATAAAACAAGTCTAAAAAAATCTAAAGGGTTGGAGTCCAAAAAAAAAGTATGTTCCCCTACATCTACTTAATGTTGATATTCTTCCAGATATATGTGAAATAAGAAAACAATCGACAAAACTAAGGTTAAGAGAAAGAATACATAGATCTGAATGCAAGTAATCTGATCTTGTGGAGTGATGAAAAAGTTAAAATCATGTCAGAAAATATATAGCAAATTGATACAATCTAAGTCAGACATGTCAAACACAAGGCCTGGGGGCTGGATGCGGCCCACGAAGTGGTTTCATGTGGCCCGCGAAGCCATCCTGGAAACAGTGAGGGAACGGCCCCTGCTGCCTTGGGCCTGGCCCAGGCCGGCCGGGAGGGAGCCAATGTACAATTTTATGGTGGCCATCTATGCTGAAACGCATTCAATCTTAGCTCCATAAGGCCGTCTGGAAACAGCAAGGAACCAGCCCCTGCCGTGTTGGCCCCACCCCCTGGGTGAATGCTGGGAGGTGTCATCCTTTGTGAGGAATGAAGAAATGCACCATCGCCTGGAAGTGGCCAGCAAATGGCCCTCGCCTATTTCACATATCTGGCTTGATGGGCTCTGCCCTGGTCCCACCCCCTTTTGCCAGAGACCCTCAGATCTGTCCCATTCCTGCCCAGGCCCCCACAGGCACCCTTGACGCGAATGATGTAGAGCTGGCCACAGCCACCCAGTCGCATACACCCACTCCATCCACGCCCACCCAGTCAGCCGCACTCACCCTGGCCACACCCTGGCCCCCAAGGGCAACCACAATGCTGATGCGGCCCTCAATGAAATTGAGTTTGACACCCCTGATCTAAGTTGTTCTGATTATGTATGAAGTCAAAATCCATAGGTTGGTGATAGTTGCATGTTGTGTTCCAGTGAATGGTGGTAATATAATAACCATAATAGTTTGGGGGGAGAAATTACAACATTCAAAATTACAACATTTTGAATGAATGCAATTTGCTTGAGCATTAATAACAATGATATATTATTAACCACATAAAAGAATAATTGCTGCAAAAAACAATAAAAGTTTTATAATGTATATGTAGACAAAAACATAATTACAAAGAGTGAAATAAAAAAATCAATTTACAGTTAAAATGTTAAAAGGCAGACAAAATGTAGGGTAATTCTGAGAGAAATAAAACATTGTTTTGGAAGTACATGAAGAAGCTAAACAAAGAACTTCCATCAGAATGCATGACATTAAAAATAGAACTGATTTAGTGATTAAATGATTTGGGGATGAAACTAAAATGAAAGAATGCTGGAAGGAGTATTTTAGAGATTTATGATTTGTTCTTCAGTAAGTTATTGAGAAATACATGATTCGTAATAAATGTTAGTCAATTTGTGTGATGCAGTGAAAAGAGTATAGATCTGAAAATTAATGTATCAATTATACCTAAATAGTTAAAAATGAGAGCAAGTAGATGACTTTGTCTATTTGATAGAATGTTTTCTTAAAATGGGAAAGTTGTTGGAAAAAGAGGAAGCATAAAAATAATGAATAGTACATGATCTGTTGTAAGGAATGAATATTTGTCAAAAGCAATACTTTTTATGTATAGAAGAGTGTTTCTGGACTTTTTTTCTGGAAGTGAATCAAATGGGCCTGGTATGTCAGAAGAAACCTAAAAAGAGTTGAATACAAAAAAATAAGAAAATACAGAGTCAAGAAGATATGACTGACTGAAGTGAGCCAGCACTACAGAAGAAATGCTTTGAAAGGTTCTGGTTAAAGAGAGAATGAATGAGGATATAATTGAGTGGGTGAAGAGAAAGGAAAAAAGAGGAAGCCATAATTTGGTGGTGTTGATATGATTTGGAAAAAGAGGTGGGAAATTTAAAAAACAAAAGATAATTAACAACTGAGAGCCAGTTTGGTCTAAGGTGCTGAACTAAAAACTGGAAGACAGTGAGGTCTCTTTTGGCAAGAAAACCATCTGGGTGATTTTGGGCCAGTCACTCTCAGCCAACCTACCTCACAGGGTTATTGTTGTGGAGAAAATAGGAGGTGGGAGCATTCTGTATCAAGCCTTGAGTTGTATAAATAAAGATGCAATGTAAATATTGCTGTTATCTTCCTTGCAATCCCTGCATAACTTCCCAGATGTTCTGAAGAGTCCCCAATGTTTCAGAGCAAATTAGAAGAAAGGAAAAGTTTTAGGGAGGACCAATTCACAAAAATCCATTCCTTTCAATCCAGGTTTAGTATCTCTTATTAATTCAGGAGATATATGTTAAATGTGCATGTTATTTGCTTTACCTCTTCACCATAGATATAAATGGTTTCCTTCTTTTATTTGTTATAGCTCCTGGAGAAAACAAATAACTTTTTTGAGGAATCAGATTCAACATCAGCAAGAAGTCCTTTGCATTTAGCTGTAAGTATAGATTAGGATAAATGCTGTTCTAACAAGATCACATGGCTTTCTGTTTCTTATCTAAAATCTATTGGTTATTACTTGTTTTTCTTTCAGGCATACCCAAATCTCTCTAACCAAATTCATGGGCCAAGATACCAAGTGAAAACATTGCTATTGCATGAAAGCCAGCACTTTCTAAAAAGCAGACGCCTCCTCTTAGAGATGGGAAAGAGTCAAAGTCAGATTTATTTAAGCTAGTTTTGGGGCTGATCTAAATATATTACTGGTTAGATAACAAATCCAAGAATTGTGTGAGGATTTATTTCTTTGCTATGTCCAAATTTTTCATATAAGGAATATCTATAGATAACTAAATTCTCAACTGGTCAAAATTAAGCCTCTCAGGGCAAAATGTTTTCAACCAAGGTACCTCAAATGGGCTAACTTACAAAATGCTGGGACCTATTACTACAAAGAGAATGAAAATTTTATTTATTTATTTGTTCAATTTCTACGGCCACTCATTTCAGTCAATGACTCTGGGGAATCTGTGGCTGCTTCAGCATTGCCAGGGTTCTGCCGCTTTAGTGCCACTATCACACTGCTGTGGTCATCTACCTGCTCTTTGAGAAGGGAAAGGGGAGGGAGGGAGATTTCCAATGCTCGCTACCAGCTTCCCACAAGGAAATTCAGTGGGGAAGCTAATAGGAAGTCATAACTCACTCCAGCTCCAACTGATTTTTTCCCCACCCGTGGTCATTCTGTTTCTTTGTTTAGTTAAGGCAGTGGTTCACAATCTGTGGGTCGGGACCCCATTTGGGGTCGAACGACCATTTCACGGGGGTCGCCAAACAACACAGTCCGCCATTTTTTCCCCCTTTTCCTTAGCTGTGCTACTCCCTTTTATTCTATTGGCTTTTGAAAGCCAATAGAATAGACTCTCTTGAATAGAGTCTAATTCTATTGGCTTTCAAAAGCCAATAGGAATTGTCCAGGCTGTCTCTGCCCTGCTGAGCCCGCCAAAAGTCCCATTCTCCAAACAGTGCTGCACCAGTTGAGTAGTCCTCGACTTACGACCGGTTGAGTAGTCCCCGACTTACAACCAGTTGGGGGTCGCGGCATTAAAAAGGTTGAGAACCACTGAGTTAAGGAAATATCGCTAAAATGATGACTCAATGGATCACAGGTTCTCTAGTTAATATTAAATGTAGTTTTGTGCACTTAAGAATTAATTTCAGGACATCAATTCAGCTGCAGCTGCACATACTGAGAAGCAAAAGTGGATAAGCAAGTAAAGCAAGCAAAACCATGCTATAGTGAACAATATTAACTGTGGCCTTTGCTTAACTACCATGGTGTTCGTACATACTGCCATGTTCATTTAACGATTGCTGCAAAAAAGTCATAAAATTGCCATACAGGTATATGACTGGCTCCATGAGGCGGTAACTCGAGGACCACCTGTAAAATACTTTTTATGGAATCTGAGAAACTTTTGAAGGTTTAAATTGAATTGTTTATATAAGTTATTTACAATTAATTTGCCCATTGCTGAGTTCGGAATGGGACAACTCGCCGCAGCCAGTTCGCCATGGCCAATTTGCCATGGCCAATTCACTGTAGAACAATTCACCGTGGCCTACTCATCAAGGTACAACTTGCTGCAGGACCATTTAACAATTCACTTTCATTATTTAAAATAATTTTAAAAATTATTTTAATTTCTGTCATTCACATTTCATTTTGTTCCTCCTTTGGCATCCTTTCTTTCATGATTCCATTCTACTATTTCTTCGATATTAGTGTAACTCTTGTCCCGTGGCGAGTTGGCTGTGGCGAGTTGTCATAGACCCTGCTGAGCTCCCGCTCAAATTTTCTTGCAAAATAGTTGGCTAATATTCATTACCACGTGTACAGAAATACATACACAGAACAGCTTACGAAGTACTCTCCCTCCAAACTATGTCCAGCTTCCATTTTTCTGTGATTATGTAAACTTTTCCTTCAGCTTCTGGTCCAGCTGACTGACTGTGGCATCTACCTTGCCTTTGATCTAGGACTTTATCTTAGCTGTGTGGTTATTTTTACTTGTTGATGGTTCTTGGATTTAAGTATTTATTAGTATTCCATTTCTCTGTTTTCTTTTTTGTTTGATGTTATATGCCTCCCGGGTTTCTTTTGGATTGGTGTGAGTTATAAAAACTTTTTTTTAAATATATATATATATATATAAATAAAAAAATGTTTGTCACCCAATTCAGATTCTTTTCTATTGGGATACACATGTTACTTATTTCCAAAAATTATTCTTAATTCATTTAATTTTTAATAGGTTAAAATCCCTATGGGGTTAGTTTATGTCCCAGTTTTAATTATCTTTTTAAAATGCAATTCCAGAAGAAAACCCTGAAAAATATAGTTTATTTTGAAGAGATAAATATCACATTGTGAAACTTCACCGGACTAATGAGATTTCTTCACTGTTCAGTTTTCATATCAGGAGAAATCTTGGTGTATTCTCAATGTTTGAAAATCACTGGTCTTAAATAGCTCATTTTATTCCCTAGGCCTATAATGGTCACCATCAAGCATTAGAGGTGCTGCTTCAGTCATTAGTAGATCTGGATATCAAAGATGAAAAAGGACGTACTGCCCTGGACCTTGCTGCATTTAAAGGACACATGGAATGTGTTGAAGTGCTCATCAGTCAGGGTGCTTCTGTCACAGTGAAAGATAACATCACACAACGAACCCCGCTCCATGCCTCAGGTAGGTGAGATGCTATTATTTTGAGACACTGACTACAGTTAAAAAGAACAGTATGTAGAAAAGCTAATGGGGATATCGGCTATGACAAAGTCTGGATTCTTTTTAAACAGAAAAACCTCTTACCTCCTTAGTAGTGGGAGATAACTGCAGCAAAAATTGCAAACTGTAGTTTACATCTATTCCCGTTGGTATGCTGGGGTCATTTTGTGTATTGTATGACCTCAGAGTTCTACATAATAATTCAAGTTGAAGAGTGAAACAAATTATAGCCATTTTAGAAAATTATTATTCCACATGAGTTCTTCACGAATAAGAAAATATAATAAGAGTGAAAATCTCTGAAATTTGTTTCCCCTGTAAATCCTCCTTCTTTGTTAATGAGCTATGCTCAAAATGAATTTTTACTAAATCTCCAAAAATGAAGAAATAAGGTAAGCACAACTTCTTACAGCTTGTCTTTGATTTACTATTACAATTGGAACTGGAATTTCCGTATCAGCGATACGGTCGATAAGTGAATAATCCCATGATTGTGCCATAGATATTAAGTTAATAACTCTGGTCATTAAGTGAGTCACACTGTCGCTGAACAAATCTTGTTTTCCCCATTGACTTTGCTTATTGGAAGCCAGCTGAGAAAGTCATAAGTGGTGATCATGTGACCCCAGGACCCTGCAACGTGCCTGTTGCCTAGTGCCTGGATTGTGCTTATATGAGCATGGGATACTACAATTGTAAGTGTGAGGACCAATTGTAAGTCACTTTTTTAGTGTCCCTGTAATGTCAGATGGTCGCTAAATAAATGGTTGTTAAAGGACTACCTATATTCCCAAAACGGAGAGGATGTGTGATCAGATATCTATAATGAATCATGATCCTTGAATCTTATTACCAGTTCATCAAATTATGATTTATTGCAGGGTTGAGTAGTAATGGCTTTACAGATCTTCTGACGCTTAGTTGTGCATGATCATTTTGTCCAACCAAACAGTACCCCAACACTTCATAAATATATCACTGAAATGAAGAAAGCTTAGCATAACCAAAATTGGATTGGCCTATGAAGTTCCACTCAAGTTCTAGCCCTTAGAACAAAATTCCTGGGTTCGGAATTCTGCCTCACCTGAACCAGGCTCCTGTTGGTGATCTCAGCGTACTGTGTGAATTAGAGGTGACAAATCTGTTTCTCTGACTTGTACTTCCTGTTAGGCATTTTGAATTTAGATCAACTCATCTGTAATTGGATATACCTATTAGTTTTCCTTATGCCATAGTTTAGAACTGATGATATATATAGCTGTGTCACCATTAATTTTAGAGTAGTTAACAAATAAACCAAGTACTGTATAATATTTTGCATTGAAATGATGCATTATCTTAGCATAGCCTGATAGAGACCTCTGTTGGCTGAATATAGGTTTACATTGTCCACCAATAACAGTTGAAGCAGGCCATATTTGACTATAATTAGATTGGATTTCTTTATACTAGAAACTCAAAATTGCTGCTGCTGCTACTTGCCATATGTCTTTGGGTGCTACTGCAGTGTTGAAAACAATCTTGAAAAATATAATGCACATACAAAAATCTGAACGTCGTTTCTCAACTCTATATTTTCTCATCCCATCAAAGAAAATATGTATTTGGCTCTTCTTCCTATGATAGTCAATATTTTTGGAGAATAAGATTAAATAATTGAAATATTAATGAATATGAATTAAATCACCAAAATTCATATCTAAATTTACTTCTTATATTAGAAGATGAACTTCAGGGTGAGTATATAGGGATATATTTTTTCCTTGATGGATTATTCATAGACATTTTCTCCTAAATGTTACTTGATATAATGACTCCTTCATGGCTTTTATTTGAAAAACATTTAAAGTATGTCTTTCCCCTTTATAGTCATCAATGGGCATACATCATGTCTACGACTTTTATTAGAAGTAACAGATAACCCTGATGTGGTGGATGCCAAAGGACAGTAAGTTTGTTTCATTTTGTCATTTATAATTTGAGTGACCTTGAGAACATTTTAGGCAGTAACATTTAGATATCAATCGTGGCTATGTCCTCATTCAAGGATGTTCAGAAGTTAATTTAATATCTTCAGGTTAAGATAAGGATTGGCTCCCCATGCCATGGCAAGCCAGTTAATGGTGCTGCTATGAACTCTTCAGCTAATAACACTGGAGGCAAAGAGGAGAAAAGCAGTTGGACACAAGAGTTACAGCTGTAAGAAACTGGTGACGAAGGACAAGAATCATGGTTAAGTCTGTATGAGGCAAGAAATAGAAGAAGCAAATTTGCAGCGTTGCACTGCCAATGTACGTTCAGTAGATGTTTTTTCTGGGATTTCTGGTACAGAAAGCATTCCACCCCATGCCAGATGCCAGACATGTGTTCTTTATTTTACATATTAGACCAGGGTCTTCAAACTTGGCCCTTTTATGACTTGTGGACTTCAACTCCCAGAATTCCTTAGTCAGCATGCATGGCTTTCCCTCAGAACATCCAGCTGTGAATTGCTGAAGGGCAGAAAACATTTTTTTTCTTCTAGATTTTATAAACTGACTCTGATAATACTGCAGTGTGACAAAGAATTAAAATCCAGAGGCTGGTTCATAAATATAGCTATACGTTATGGACAATAGGATAGAATAGAACTACCACAACTTTTTATCCCTTCGTTTTTTCCCATAATGGACAAATTCAAAATGGGCAAATTCCCCAGTAGATATGGGAAAATGTTTCCATATAAACCTTTTTATGTAGACTCTGGCCTATTCCATAAATTGAACTTTACATTTATTTTTTTCAATAATAAGGTTAAGAATTAAGCATAACATTTTACAAAGAAACGATTCAGTGATAATATGGAGGCTTTTTAAATGCAGTCTCATTTCAAATAAAAATCTTAGCTACATACAATGGCTTTATTTACTATCATTAACTATAGTTTTATTTATGTGTAGTGTTACTACTATGTTTTGAATTTTTTTTAAATTAATGGTAGTGGGAGATATGTCTGGGATAGAAATTTAACATGCTGTTTTATTTCCATAATTGAAGGTTGGATTGATGTCTATTCCTTTTCATGTAAACAGAAACAATTAATTTAGGAGAAGCAGCACTAGGTAAAGAAATAAACATTTGCTGCTCATTTTTAGATAATGGACAAAAATTGAATATTAATGCTTCATGAACCTCCAATATTATTGAATCTAGCTATCTCTGGCAACATGGAGAGTAACTAATGAATATTACAATGTTTCGAGAAGTGGCAAATACTTTTGGATAATACATTGAATAAAGTCACAAATCCAGGAATATATGATGATAGTTATGGGCCTCTCATTTTTTAGAACTCCACTGATGCTAGCTGTGGCTTATGGGCACATAGACGCTGTTTCTTTGTTACTTGAAAAAGAGGCATCCGTTGATGCAGCTGATATCCTGGGATGTACTGCTTTACATCGAGGGGTAATTTCTCATTTTATCCTGTATTTCTGCTGTATTTTTTTCAACTGCACATATGCCTAATAATAGTAGAGAAGAATATAGAACGCTAAAGCTGACTTTGATTGTAACATATATCATGCAAGCCTCTGAATGCAAATTGCTTAGGACCAGCAACAATGACCTGGAAGCTGAAAACTGCTGGAAACTGCTCTATTAGATGCCTAAATTAGTCCTTAATTAATTTTTTTTTAAAGCAGTGTTTTATAAAAGAATGTTATAATATGTATCCTGATTGGAGAAGAAAATATGACAAAAGCTTTGCAGTACACAGCTATATAGCACTACCCTGGAGAGAGAGATTGGTCATACTATTTAGAGTTAAATATATGTTGGAGTTGGGAAAAGTACCAGAAAAATGCCTTTATGGAGATAGAGAGGCAGAATTTTGGTAATCCAGATTTTAATTACTTATTATCAAGGCTTTAAGGTTTTATGATGATCAGAAGAAAGACAGTTCTTTTTTGAGGAGACTGTGCTCATAGTTTTACACATCGGATTTGTCAAAAATCCTTCACACATAGCATAGTCATGGGTTCATAGTAAGATTGTATATGCGTACTAACGTATGTCAGTGCTTTATTTAGCATATCTAATCTAAGTTCCTCTATTTTTCAAATTTAAATAATGAAATACTTGGAACATGTTTTTCAAAGATACCTCATTCTTGTATTTATTTAATCATTTTTTTCAAGTAGCCCAATTTTTATCCCAAGAATGCACAGGGGAAAATTAAAATAATTCCTAGCAGTGCACCATCACCATAAACACTTTAGATTAGCTCTTGTGGATGTTTACTGAAAATGTCATTACTCCCAGCATGCTTGGAACACTTTTGAAACTTGTTGTGTTTGTACTGATAGTGATAGGAGCTCTTGGTCTAGAAGTCTGGAAGGAACCCTGATGGATATTTTTATAAAGAACACTAAAAATTATTTCCTTTCATTAAACTTTTAGAGAAGACAGAATCCATTGTCCATGTTTCCATATATGCAAGCTACTAAAAAAATCTTTGTCACTGACTGCCCAAGTAGAACATGTTTATTTCAGAAACAACCCCAAACGTTATCATTAATATTTCAAACAAGCTTTTTCAGTTAGTACAAAAATAATAATAATCAATTTTTGTTTATATTTATTTGGGATTGTTGATTATCTTGTGTAGCTTTATGGGATGAAAGGCATATTTTATTAAAATGAATCTAATTTTTAGTTTTTATTTGAAAAAGATTATGACAGGGCATGAGGAATGCATTCAAATGCTGTTGGAACAAGAAGTATTAATTCTATGTAAAGATGCCAGAGGCAGGACACCTCTACATTATGCAGCAGCTCGTGGTCATGCCACATGGCTGAGTGAATTAATGCAGATGGCACTTTCAGAAGACTACAATTTTAAAGATAATCAGAATTATACACCATTGCACTGGGCTTCTTATAACGGTAATCTTTTATGTGAAGCAGATATTTATTGTTGACTATTAAGTTTGGTATGGGAAACTGCATGCAAAGAGAGATTACAGAGCTTCTAAAATAAAAGGTATCTTGTATTTAAGAATGCCCCAATTTAAGGATGATCTTTAGTTAAGTTAAATATACAGTGATTCAAGTTAAATTCACAATAGTTCAATTCATTACACCATACTACTTAGACAGTATTATACAATAATGTTGTCCTGGCTTACATACAAATTTGACTTAAGGACAGACCTTGGAAATGGAACTCATTCTTAAACTGGGCACTATCTGTGTTTTGAACATATTGATGCTTTGTATTGAGCAATATGGTGGAGTTGTGGCAGCACTCCCAAACAGCAATCACAATCGCTTTTTTATATTACCGAATGAATAAAATTATTTTATTTAAAAAAACTGGGAGTCATAAAGCATATGCAGACTGTCTCAGGTTTAATAACTTGTATCTTCAGATCAACCACTTTGGAGAATTTTTTTCTAATCAGCATGAGCAATATGCTGACTAGAAACGGAGGGCACCATTTTGATTCTGGATAAAGTATCTTCATAGAATCAATACCAAACTGAATGGTACAATATAGTTCTTTTGACAATACTAAGCACTTTTTTTATTTTGGAACTTGAAATTATCATCTAATCTCTTACAGGAAATGAAAACTGTATAGAGGTACTGCTGGAACATAAAGCTTTTTGCAACTTTAATGGAAACTCTTTTTCTCCATTGCACTGTGCGGTGTAAGTAGAAACAACAATCAATTTCACTTCCTATAGCATAGGCTGTGTGCCAAGCTAAGCTGGAATTTAAAAAATAGTAAAGCTTTGAGATAATGCTATTTTTATAATATTAGTTCCCAATTCAAACATGCACACAGTTATCAGCAGTTAAAATGCCTTCTCAGCAAATTTCTGTAATAGGAAATGAACCATTTTCATTATAATTTATGTAGTTTTGATTGCCAGTTTTTCTGTACCATAAACTTTAATTTCAAATTGTGCTTGGAGGTTTTTAATAAAAGCAAAAGTAAAGATGGGTTTGACCTGAACTGAACATTAATGAGACATGGTCATAATTATTTTCATTTTTTGCCTGTAGTACAAAAGTAATTGGCCATTACTTTGAGGCTAATATGTTTAGCCTACAGTACAATATACTCTGTTGATCACCCATCCAGGTATTAAATGGGCACAGATCAGAAACAGGAAAAAGTCTTGGGACACTTTGATCATTAATATATTTATTACATAAACTTTTAGTGTTAACTCATGATTGCTGAGGGATGTTTGATTACTGGAAATAAATTGGAGAAGACGTACTTAGTGACAATGAGTCTGCATAGTGATACTATGTTAATAACTCCCACTCTCCCTTTAATCAATGTCTGGGGATGTTATTATCCTTAATAATACTGATGTAGTCAAAGTAAAAATGGGGACAGAGTATTTAGCTCCCTTGTCTATATTATTGTGGCTTTTTTCTGTTATTGCTGCTAAGTAGCTATGAAAGCAGCATCCCAGAGTGGCAGAGTTACGTGAACAGGAAAGCTATAATAAGAAACAAATTAAAAAATATATTATCTTGCTTTAAATGAATATCTTTTAAGGAAGTCATTTCACACATTTCTATTAAAAATTATAGGAGGTCTATATACTGTATGTAATATGTATAAAGGTTAAAGTGACCGTACAAAGGAAGAAGTGGGAACCGTCCTCATTCATGTTTTGATTCCCCATTCTGATCTCATATTCATTTATTATAATTCCTGAAAAAGCCAATGGAGTGTGATTTGTGTGCATTAGTGGTTCCTTGTTCCTGCATGTGAACATATAAGCAGTTCTAAGGAGAATAATATGTAAAGATCAGTTAACCAGTTATGATTTATAAATTATACACGTACTGTGCAGACTGTGCTATGGACAAAGCTATAAATCTAAGGCTACCAAAATTCTGGAGTGAAATGTAATGGTAAACCTGTATTGAAAATAAACCCAGGGAAATCCAGTTGAAGTATGCTATCAAATTAATGAAATAAATTACATTGTATTAAATAGTATCCTTCCTTAACAGAATAAATGATCATGAAAATTGTGCTTCACTACTCATTGGGGCATTTGGTGCTGGCATTGTTAATTGCAAAGATGAAAAAGGAAGGTAAGAATTACTTTGATGAAGTGTTATGCAGTCTATTAACTTGTTTTATTCATTAAATTTCTATGCTGCCCATCTCACTGATACAGTGATGATGGCTGGCTTATAATAAAAAGTAAAAAAGTGCTAGAAAACAATTAAAATCAGAAAAATTGAATAGAAAAACTAAAAATCATGATGATGGGCGCCTTGTGGTGAGGATCTTTTCTGTCCAGTCAGCCACCTGCAATGTAGTAGGCCCCTATTGGAGCCTTAGGCCAAGTAGCAGAGCCAAGGTTTTAGGCTCTACCAGAAGGCCAAGAATGTGGGCAGAGACCTCACCTCTAATATATAATTCTCGCCTCTAATATATAAATGTATATAATGAATTATAGTTCCATTTAAAAATGGAGACAGTGGTTTGTATTCATTTATTAATGGAAAATCATTTCATATGTCAGTAAAATGGAACGAAAAAACAATTTAAAAATGTTTCCTCCCTATTGAGCACCCTGTGGCCCACTTACCTCACCCAATTGTCCAAAAGAAGATTGCTAGAAGAAATAAAAGGAAGTCTATTTCCACTAATAAAGATTTTCACCGTCATAGATACTTGCTTCAGTGAAGAAATACCAAACTGATTGTATTTGATGGGTTGAAATATAACTAGTAAACCCTTAAAAAGCTGGGTTTACTAATTTCATAGAGGAAGAGAGGGGAGGGGAGAGGAGAGGAGAGGAGAGGAGAGGAGAGGAGAGGAGAGGAGAGGAGAGAAGAGAAGAGAAGAGAAGAGAAGAGAAGAGAAGAGAAGAGAAGAGAAGAGTTTATTGGCCAAGTGTGATTGGACACACAAGGAATTTGTCTCTGGTGCATAAGCTCTCAGTCAAACAACAAAGTGATAGGTTACAGATCATAAATCATAGTTACAATAATTAATCATAAGATACAAACAAGTAATAAATCATAAGATACCAATAGAAGAAGATAGTAGGATAGATGAGAAGATGATAAAGAATGAGAAATGAAAAAGATGAGAAGATGAGAAGGATAACAGCAATACAGCCTACTACATGGGTAAATATCTTTAGACCGAAGACAATGCTGTGGGAATTAGCAGAGTGATGGCATGGTGATACTGTTGATAATTAGTGCTGAACTCAGCTAAAACCAAGTATTGATTGCCTTAATAAAGAAATCTTCACAGAAATTTTGTAACAAAACTTTGTCAGTTGTGGCTCCTCGCCTTTTATTTTATAAGATTTACACTTGTCTCCTTTTAAGTAATTATTAAAACCTATCCATTTTCTTTAAGATTTGAAGGAATCAGATTTGTGTTGCTATTGAGCATCCCTGGTTTTTTGTGGCTTTTGTTCTGTGTCGAATTTTGTTTTACCTATGAATATTACTTTATTTTAAATGATAATATATTTTGTCCTGAAATATTACCTTAAGAGATGGATTAGAAATAAAGATAAATGATAGAAATAATAAATCACTCAAGTAGCCAAATGTTTCTATGTTCCGTTTTTTTCCTAGAACGCCACTTCATGCAGCAGCCTTTGCTGATCACATGGAATGCTTGCAGCTACTTTTAAGTCACAATGCACAAGTAAATGCTGCAGATAATTCAGGGAAAACTCCACTTACCATCGCTGCTGAAAAGGGGCATGTAGGGACTGTAGGTAAGGAATTGCTTCCTAGGAACTGAATAAAACTGATATCATTATATATCTTTATTGCTTCTGCGTATGACGTCTGCAGATCTTGCTATATCTCTCTCTTTTTAGGATCTCCTTAACTCCATCCAGCTATATCTTTCTCCATTTTCTCCTTCCTTTCATATCATTCCAATATCTATTTCTTTAGATATTTGGTTTGCAATTCAGTTTTATTAATTTTTTCTATATGACCAGTCCATTCAATGTATTTTCATACTGGCCATTCACTTTTGTATTCAGTCCACATTCATTTATCCAGCACCCATTTATTGTAGACTACCTCTTCTGGTTTTACCTCCTATATTTTCAATAAATATTCCTTGCAATATATTTATATCAGCAGTTGCAATCTTAAAATTCCCCATCCATTTACCTGTCTTTAATAAATATGCTATCCTTTTCAAGAGAAACTTTTATATAATCTATTCATATAATGTCATTCTTAAATAAAGTTTTAATTATTCATTATCAACTGGTCCTCTGAGTAATGTAAAATATAAAATTTCCATCATTTGTACTATGCTACCAGGAAAGAGCATATGAGGGAACACATCAGCAGTATAAGAACTTGTTACTTTATTATTGTGGAATAGTAGCAATGAAATGTTAAACAGTCATTTAAAGCCTGGTTATCTCTAGTCTGGACTACTGCAATGCACGCTACGTGGGGCTACCCTTGAAGAGCATTCAGAAGCTTCAACTGGTGCAGAGTGCAGCAGCAGCATGGGCAGTTCTTGGCGCTCCAAGAGCTGCACTATCTGCTGGTTCGCTTCTGGGTATAATTCAAGGTGTCGCTTATCACCTTTAAAGCCCTGCATGGCACGGGTCCAGGTTATTGAGGAACTGTCTCACTCCACTGAGACTGGCCTGCCCCATTCGCATCAGCATGCTGCAGGCCCCATCAGTCAAGGAATTCCAGCTGATGGGGTCTGGGAAAAGAGCCTTCTCTGCTGTGGCTCCTGTCCTTTGGAACATCTTACCCCTTAGGTTGAGATCAGCTCCCATCCTTCTGACCTTTGCCTGAAGACCTGGCTGTGCCAGATGACTTGGTGTACCAGACGACTTGGACATCCCGCTGGGGGATGGTTGATGAGTTAAGAGGGAATCCCACCTCCTCCGCTGCACAACCTGTTCCCTCCCTTTCCAACTTTTAACTAAAATTTTATTTTTCATTGTAATTTCCATAGTTATTATGGAAATATTTATCTTTTGTGACTTTAATGCTTTTAATGCTGTAAGTCTCCCAGAGTCACTTTGAAATGAGATGGGTGACAAATAAATTTAATTAATTAATTAAATGAATAAATAAATGTATCTCTAAAGCAATGTTGAAGAAATTAGGCCGCATATAAATTGTTTACCATACAGGCTTATGGATGTACAGAATTCAGAAAACATAAAATATGGAATAAAAATTGATTGTCTGAGCAACTGAATTTATAAGATGCCCCATTCCAGATGACTTTGGACAGCTTTACAAAATTCAAACAACAGTACCAAATAACCATAGCAATAGAAGTAGTGATCAAAACCCTCCATCCATATTCCTCATAACACCCGGAGCCCATTTATACTTCTAACCCAAGGTGATATCCTGGAACAAACATGACCCAGACAATATCATTCACCATATGTGATCCTACCTTTTCTACAGTTTCTTCCAGCATTTTTCATGTTACAGAAAATCAATTAAGAAGAAAAATGTAGAATAGTTGCACTGTGCTTTTTAAAATAGTAACACTAAAAGCCATTTGGGGAGAAAAACATTGCTTTTATGTTGCTACTTTATTGAATTTTGTTTTCATCTCTTTTATCATAGTTTTATTTTTCTTACTAATTTATTATGTAAACTTTATCTGAAGAGTTTGAAGATAATTGAACTGATGTTATGTATGTAAACTTACGAAATATTTTGTTTCTTTGGTATTTTAGATTTTTTGGTGAACAGTGCTAAAGCTGATTTAACCTTGATGGATAATGACTTGAATACGTCATTGCACTTGGCTAGCAGTAAAGTATGTTTAAAATTTGCTTGCTCTTTGTTAATTCTGAGAATTTCTAATTTCAGTATGAACCCATAACCCAAGATAGCTTTCCCATATATATCAGCTTCTGTTGAGTCTTCACTATTATATTCTTAAGGGAAATAATCCTGTAGACAGGGAGTAATAATCTGTCTTATCCTAGGGAACTCCTGTTCTTTGATCTTAGTTTTATAATTATGATTTTATAGTTATTTGTTTTATTGTTGTGAGTTGTGTTTAAGATGGGTGCCAAAAGAAATCTTTTAAATAAGATCAAGTAAGGTAAAGTGATTTTTTTTAAAAAAAAAAGCTTTATAGCAGTCTTTTTCCAATCCTTGGATTTTCTTTCAGCCAATTATTACTGAGCCAAACAATCATCAGTAGGAATGGTGATAGAGGAAGCTTACAGAACAAGGAAAACTCTCTAAACCTGAAGAACAATTTATGTCACTTTTTCTTTTGCTTGAATATCATGACTTGCTATAACTGAGTGTATTCCCCCCCCCCCATCTGCAGTGTGATGGCTTTGGCTAAGTAGAAAACAAGAGACAGGTGACTAAGATATAGGCAATAATAATGTGCATTTAGGAAACTTGGATGTTAGGTTGCCTTCCAACATTTTTAATTCCTTCTGTTGTAGAACTTGTAGCTTGTTTGTCTCCCCAACCCTGCAGTACATCACCGGGGGGGGGGGCTACAAGCTACAAGTTCTATCAGTAGAAAGAATGAAAAGTACCCATAAACTAACAAATGCATTTCAATCGAAGCATCTTGTTCTTTCAGCTCAATGCATTTCCATGGTTTTCAGATGGAAATCCCTGTTTTCACATCTGCTAGACTTCCTTAATAGCTAACTAAGATCAGATTAAAAAAAACATATGTGTTCTAGAATGTTACAAATATAGTTAGATATTGTGTATGTGTGTTTGTTTTCCAGGGTCATGAAAAATGTGCCTTGTTGATACTTGACAAGATACAAGAACCGAGCCTTATTAATGCAAAAAACAATGCATTGCAAACGTAAGTATATTAATTAATGTGTATTTTTTTAACAATTTTGATAACATCAAAGTGTCATATAATTTATATTTGTGCATTTTGGAAACAGAATTCACATAGTGTTTTAATGTAATTAAGCACTTGAACAAACTGTGCATAATATTATAGTAGACCAGTGGTTCTCAACCTGTGGGTCGGGACCCCATTTGGGGTCGAACGACCATTTCATGGGGGTCGCCCAAAAACGCAGTCCGCCATTTTTTCCCCCTTTTCCTTAGCTGTGCTATTTCCTTTTATTCTATTGGCTTTTGAAAGCCAATAGAATAGACTCTCTTGAATAGAGTCCAATTCTATTGGCTTTCAAAAGCCAATAGGAATTGTCCAGGCTGTCTCTGCCCTGCTGAGCCCGCCAAAAGTCCCATTCTGCAAATGGTGCTGTACCAGTTGAGTAGTCCTCGACTTACGACCGGTTGAGTAGTCCTCGACTTACGACCGGTTGGGGGTCGCGGCATTAAAAAGGTTGAGAACCACTGTAGTAGACCTTTTGAAATACATCAAACCTACTGAATCTAGATATTACATTTTCTAGACCTCTTCATATTGCTGCACAGAATGGCTTGAAGATGGTAGTTGAGGAATTGTTAGCAAAGGGGGCATGTGTACAGGCAGTAGATGAAAATGGTAAGTGAAGATATTCATATTATCATTTATGAACAATAAATGAACAATATATGAATATGTTTTTCTGAAATATTTTAAGCTTGCTGACAGTGGTTATTAATTTCCAAATTGTAAAAATAGAATTTGTGTTATCACAAACAGTTTTGTTTAAACTATTATATAAAAACAACTCCCATTATTATTTCATTTGAAGTATTTTGTTGACTATACCTTATGTAAAGTAACACAACTTAGAATTTTCTAGTTTCATAAAGACATCAGAACTCTGATAAGGAAGAGGGCTGCATTTTAAATGTATTGATGCATTCATTTTATAGAAGAATGCAAAGCCTATAACATAATTTTTAACTGTATCCTGATTCTTTCTGAAGCTATATTTCCTGTTCTGTTCACAATAAGTCACTGCCATTGTGTGGCCTTGGGTGAAATATAATGAATAATAAAACAAATATAATATAATGAATAATATTTAGACAAATCACTTTTCATCCTGAATTTACATATACTATTGCAACTGACATATCTGATCATTAGATGGTAATCTTCTAGGAAAAGTACACCAATCTCTAATCAACTATATCTCAATCAGGATCTTATGAGCTTGGCTTTGTAGACTCTGAGTGCTTTGGATGAAGGTTTCCCATAAGTCATTCCTATACTAAATTACAAATCATTGAGAGAAGTTTAAATTCCATTTGGCATGTACTGTCATGTTTGAAAGGAGATTTATATTAAATATGCCAAATGTTTATATGGATGTATGAAAGTCTTAAGGATATACTTAATATAGCTTTTAGGATTTTGGCCTTTGAGAGCTAAATATTAATCATATTAACCATATTCTTAATTAAATATTGGCCAGATATTGCACACTTGGAAGTAAAATACTAACTAGAATCCAAAGATAGAAATTGGTCTTTTGAAGAAAAGTTATATCAAAAAATACTGGCATGTTTTTATGAAGTCATTGACTGCTTCTTTCTGTACTTATTAAAGAAGAGGTATTTTTTTTAATATTCAAAAGTCCATAAAATTCTAAAGACATTTCATAGGGGAAGGAAGGCCCATTACTTTATGTATTTTTTTATTAAAAATGCTAAGCTAGTTCTTAAATAATTTTGAATTGTATGATGGCAGTTAAACTTATAACTTTTTAAAATAAGAACAAAGGACTGAAGTAAGATACACCCACACAAACATATACACACAAACACAAACCAGTCTTCTTTCTCAGTTTTTGGAGGAGGCATTTTTCGCAATTCTGTGAAATTTTGAAAAAGACATGAGTAGTTTCAATCTGTGACAATTCACTTAATGAAGGCAACTGGAAGTGCTGACATTTCTGTCCTTAAGCAGCATGGTCATGTGATATTGCATTTACGACTGTTGCTTTGTGATGGAAATTCTGGTCTCAGTTACCATTGTTAAGTGAGACTACCTTATAAAAAAGTACTTTTATAAAATATACACACTCCACCAGTGGTTTGCTGATACATGTATAATAAATACTGCTGCTGATACTAATTGAAGGGCAAAAGTCCCTAGATCCAATATACAAGTGAAAAGCCAAATTTATTGAACTTCGCAGGAGACAGAATACGAAGTTCTGCCCACTAACAGGAGGAAAGGCAAACACTTACATAGAGATTTTTATAATAGTACTCCCAGCAATTCTTCATTACTGGCCCTGATTCAGTTATTCAGAAAGCTTTGAATAACATTCAAGAGTCACCTTCCTTATTTCAGTAACCATTCCTAGAGGTTGCACTTTCAGCCAAATGAGTAACTTATTTGTAAGTTTGTGTGCTTTAAAGGAATTTATTAAGCATTATAATCATCCAAAACCATTGTGTAGGACATGCCGATTTACGTAGCAAGACCTAAATCAAAAAACTCCAGCTAGATTGGGTAGTTGCAAAGAGTTGGCATCCAGATTGTTTTCACAATTTTGAGATCATGCTGCTGTATAATACTGGCTTATATTGTCTAGCTACCCCAGTAGTTAACATCTCTCAAAGCCTCAAAGGCAAAATGGTTGGGAAAGGCTTAGCAAGCAGGTGGTAGGCAACCCGAATAAGATATATTTTCCAGTAGACATTATGCATGCACATTTGTTGCTCTAATTATGTGATACACTACATACTGTATCACTACATATCTAGTGCTGCCGCTGCTGCTCTTGCTGGAAGGTTGCAGAGCAGTAGTAACTGGTGCACAAAAGAGGATATGCTAATGACTTCCCTGAATCCCCTAAGTTAGCCTACTGCCTTCTCTGGTAATGAATGTTGTCTTATCAGTTTCAAAGTAAAGTTCAACTACCTTTCCAGTTAATATTCTACATGAAATAGGGTATGGCACTGTGTCCTTCATTTCCATTGGAAAATGGTTTTGAGCCATTTATTTATCTAGATATACTGTAGTATTTGAATTAGAACAGTGGTTCTCAACCTGTGGGTCGGGACCCCATTTGGGGTCGAACAACCATTTCACGGGGGTCGCCAAACAATGCAGTCCGCCATTTCCCCCCCCCTTTTCCTTAGCTGTGCTACTCCCTTTTATTCTATTGGCTTTTGAAAGCCAATAGAATAGACTCTCTTGAATAGAGTCTAATTCTATTGGCTTTCAAAAGCCAATAGGAATTGTCCAGGCTGTCTCTGCCCTGCTGAGCCCGCCAAAAGTCCCATTCTGCAAACGGTGCTGCACCAGTTGAGTAGTCCTCGACTTACGACCAGTTGAGTAGTCCTCGACTTATGACCAGTTGGGGGTCGCAGCATTAAAAAGGTTGAGAACCACTGAATTAGAATGAAACTGTAATTGCATCTGTATGGCTTCAGATCTATTCTGAAGCTTCCCTTTATTTTCACAGCAGATAGAAAACACCCATTAAATATCTTACTGCTGCATGGAAGTCCATATTCTAAATAAATTATTACTATAAGTGCAAAGGGTATCCATATCAATTTCCATATTAAATGTGTGTGTATAAAAGGCAATCCACTAATAGTAGAGGTATGGGGGGGGGAGATTCAGCAAATACATAGTTTATGAACATCTCTTATACTTTTACAGCATGTTGATGGTTTGCTACATGTTCTGATTTTTTTTAATATTATGTCTCAAATAGACAATCTAGCATTTAGTGCACCACAATAATTATTGGGATATTGACTGTAGATTGCCCATAGTATTTGTGTTTAGTCTTCATTCATTGAGTTAGTGAAATGGAATGAACCTATTCTCCCCCTGGGGCTGAGTATTCTTCCCATTCCCTGTCTAGCAATAAGGACTTCTGAAAAGTTCATCTGCTTCAGCAAGTGTAGTTTTAACTAATATTAAACATTGCTTTGGAACAGAAGTGAAAAAAAAATTATTTCAATTTCCTGACTATATGGAAAGACCTAACTGGGAAGCTAGTCTCATTTGCACTGTGTTTAAACTAAGGAAAGTATTGCCTATGCAGAAAAAAATATCTGTGTCTTTTTCTATGGATTATTGTTGTTGCTGTTGTTGTTAATACTTTATTTCTCTTATCTGTGGAAAGATATCAAGCTTCCTTCTCATTGCACAGTGCAAGACAGCTTATGAACAGGCTTTTTAAAAAGACACTTGTGTGTATGTGCATGTATGTGTGTGTATTGACATCCAATTTCTGTGATGCTATTTGTCATGGGATATCCAACAAGCTTCGCTGATATTCTGGAAACATACAAGCAGAAAGAAAGAAGTTGCCACTTTCTTAAGATGCCACCTGCTTTTCACTTTCCCTATGAGAGTAGATTTCTCTATCTCAATAGCCAATATATAGTAAAGAGCACATTGCTTGTCCTACAGCAGTGTTTCTCAACCTTGACAATTTTAAGGCATGTGGACTTCAACTCCCAGAATTCCACAGCCAGCAATGCTGGCTGTGGAATTCTGGGAGTTGAAGTCCACATGCCTTAAAATTGTCAAGGTTGAGAAACACTGTCCTACAGAGAGACTCAGCTGTCACATTTTAATAAACATGATTGAATTTAGCTAAAATTGAACATTTGGATTATTTATAGCTTGCCAATATTTAATTTTCTAATAGAAAATGTTGCAGAATTAATCATCTACTATAATAATGCTAATCAGATTATTATTTCTGTAAAATACAATAATCTATATTATTAATTTGTTTTCTTAAATATTACATAGTTTCTTTTGAGTGAAAGCCATTGCTCTCAGAATAACTGTTATATGAACTTCTACCTTGTGATTAAGTCTAACAGTGTCTTGGCTCATATTAATTCACATTGTCCTCCAGGACCGTGGTCTATCTGTTTTTATTTCATTTTGTGGAGATTTTAAGTTGCCTTTTGCTTTTTATTAAATAGTGCTTGTTATGAGAACCACTTTGTGAATTACATACCTTCCCAGCATGTCTAATTTTAAAAGTAACCCTGGCTTTGTCTGCTGTGATGGTGACTAAACATACATCTCCTAGCTATGATCTCATCTGGAGATGTATCCAAGGAATGCTCAGATCTTTTCCTAGTTCCCTTAGTACTAACCATGGCTTTGTCTGCATTTGTGCCCAGGTCATACACCAGCCCTGGCTTGCGCTCCTAACAAAGACGTGGCTGACTGCCTGGCACTCATTTTGGCTACCATGATGCCTTTTTCTCCTTCCAGTACAATGACGCCGCTCAACTTCGTTTCTTTTAAAAAAGACCCTTTGAGCAGGACTCTTCTCTGCAGTAGCTCCAATATGAGCAACACTCTTAATTCATATAGTAAAACCTTAATGAATGATGAAGGAGCAGAAAATGGATACAATGACAATGATTCTGATTCTGAAACATTTTGACTTTTTAACATTCAGTGCCCCTTTCTTGATTGCATTTGCATTTAATCTGAAATTTTCTTTAGAAACACCCGAATTCCTGATTTTCACCTGACCTTCATTTATGAATGAGAACAGCAAAGACTAAAATTTGCAGTTAAATAGAGCCTTTTAGAAAATTTAAGGATTTTTTTTTTTTAAAATGCACTCTAATTAATGTTTTGCTTCCGGCACTACTGTGCTTTCCATAAATTCTAAGGGCTCTTTTGGAAGTCTCTACCTCCTATTATATGCAGAAAAAAGAAGCTGCCTTTTTCTGTTTTGACAGCACAAGTAAACAGGGAACTGTTATGTTTATATTAATATGTTAGCTATATTATATCGCTGATATAAAATCATTTTTCAAGAAGGGTGTTTCTGGATTGTCAGAAGACCTTTCCATCTCTAGTATCTCTTGTATAGATATATAGTCTTCATTTTTAGGTATCTTTGTTATAAAAACCAAAGGTAAAGCCACAAATTTTGATTTGGGTTTGAACAAATACTGCCAATATCACCATTTTCTGTGGCAATTCAGACTTCTAAATTCATCACAGTAATACCCAATAGGTGTTTTTAGAACAACAGATATTTGCTGCTTCCATTTGCAATTTAAAATCATTAGGATCAAATCTTGTTTGCCTCAGTCACAACATACCCACCTGCAGCTGCAACAAAGAGATTATTGTAAAGGCAGATGAGATTTGCCTTATTTTTGTTACCATTCAGCACAAGCATGCGTGATTTATTTGCACTCTCCAAGTAGGGATCCTTGGGAACTTGTCTTACCTGTGCTGTCCAGCAATTACTTGTTTTAGGAAAAACCGGTTCTAAATATAATGCCTAACGCACCTAAATGTTTCACCCTGCTCATTTGAATTGACTTTTTGTTATCTTTATGTGTAATGTGATTTTTATCATAAGCATTGTCTGACTTTTTTGGAAAGTATACAACGAGATAGATTGCAGTCCTTCATATTTACCATTGCTGTGCTAAGATGCAAACAGGAGACAAAACCAAAACATAAAGTGGAAAAGTTAAGTAATCATACAAAAGGGAACTAGTTTGTACTAAAACAGTCCTGCTGGCATCAGTTTACTTTTTAAACATTTGCATTATGAATATCTACTCCTTCTGCCAAAGCTTCTAGGTCGAACGGACCCTTTTCCTCGCCTGAGAAAGGTGTACAGAAAGAAGAGTGAGACTCTTAAAATATAAAGAACTAACCAGCTATACCACGAGGACCAAAAGGCTTCAGAAGACTTTATTTTTTTTTTTAATAATGCAAGGAAAAAAAACAAGTAACTTTTCTAATCACAAATGCACAAATAGTGTTTTCTGTAATTAAGAGTCTTGGGTTATTTCTAGTAGATACTTCGACATTTGTAACCGATGATGATGTGTTGATCACAGTTTATTTTTCCAGACCAATGTTCGTACTTGTAATGTTAAATGTGTTTATATTTATTTGAAATGAAACAAGTGCCCAGAAAAATTGACCATGGTTTGTCCTCCTTCTTAATTCTATAATGTGTTATTAGTTATGAATTTAAGCAAATTTAGTGTGCTGAATTTGATGGAACAAATGCACATAGTTATTATTTTCAGCTCTTATATAGCCAATTGGAAATAGCTTCAAAAGCCAAGTGTTGTTCATGCACATTTTATCAAACGCAGTGGAGGAGTACATTGCACAATAACTGTTGGCAGAGCAAAGGGGAACATATAAAGAAAAAAAAGTGTGATTTAGTCTTTAAAAGGGGTTGAAAATTTGTCAAAGTTCAAAAGGAGAATTGTAGAATAAAGAGGAAAGTGTCCTTCCTCGTTTATGGAAGCAAAATATATTTTTACCTGAAATACAAGCAGTAGCCTGCTGCTTTGTTATCTATTCTACACAGGTATTTGAAATAATTTAATATAACCACTCATTGCTATATATCGAAGTATGTTGGAGACAGAATATGTGAATTTATTCTTGGATGATCAGTAACAAACAGCAGCACAACAGTTTCGCTCTGCTTCTATAAACAAGATTTGCCAGAAAAGCTTCCATCTTGAAACTGCACCTTCCTCTAAGTCAAATGTATTTTCATTCTGGACTGTATGTTGCAAAAAATAGACAGAAATAGATATCTTGCATTGTAATGGAATTTACAAATATTTCCACTTTGAAATAGCTGTTTCTGCACAATATTGTTCTGATTTCACTGAAAGTGTTCTGTTGCTGTACTGTACCAGTATTTGTTGAAATGTTACAAATTCAAAATGCTTTGTACATATCTAAAATGTAATCCTTGTAGGAGACCCTTTATTTTCAGACAGGTGACAATGTTCCTCAGATTTCAGCCATTTTGTAGTTACACTCACACACAAAAATGCCTGAGATGAAAAGGTATCATTAAAACTGACCAAAACTCTCAGTTGTTTCTTTTTTTTAACCCCCAGCCAGTATATCTATTGAGAGAGAAAATTCCCAGCAAATACTGCTGTGACAGATATGATATCTGCGAAATTTCTTTCTCAACCCCCACCAAAAGAAAAACTACAATCAGAAGTACTCCCATAAATCAATTGATCTTTCTGCCACATGGCTGATTTTTTTTTGTCCCAACTACTGATTAACATATTAGCAATTAATTTTTCTCTCACCATATAAATAAGCACAAAGTTATGCACTTCTTTTCTAAGAACATTTACTACCACAAGCTCTATTTGAATGAATTAGGGTAATAAAATATTCTCCAGTTGTTTTTCAATTTGATCCATGATAATTAACAAAATTCTCCATCACGACACACACTTTCAGCCAGGTCTTAGAAAAGTTTTTCATACTACAATTTGCATTCTCTAGCAATGATAAAATAAAAAGAGACTATTTTTCTTAAGAATGCAAGTGTGTATAAATTGTCACAGACCTCTAAAACACAAAACGGTAATTATGAATTTTTAAGTAAAAGGCAATATTTATGCACATATTTTGAAATTGCAATATTAGCATATATGTATTTTTAAATGATATTTGTATGTTGACTAGGAACTATAATGTAAGAGGCCTCACTAGTTATTGCCTTGATTCCTATTAAATATGGAGGATGTTAAATCCTGTTATGAGTTTTAAGGTATTTATTAAATCCTGAGGACTACTGGATGTTCCTTAAAACCCAGAAATAAAGTTTTGCAGTGAAACTATGGGTGTTTCCCAGCAGAAAGATCTTAATCATTTATAAAAAGTAGTTTTACAGCTTAGTTGATTTTGAAAAAAGAAAAGGAAATGAAACAAGTGAGGAAAATATAGGAAGGTCACTCTGTTTTCTTGACTGTTCAGCAAAAATTTCACTTGGATATCTCCCAGGGCTGCACAAGTCACAAACTTCATTAATGAGCCAACAATTAGAATACTTTCATTTTATAGAGCATAATAGCCCAGTTGTATGGCACTTCAAGAAGTGGGAGATTATTGTATGTTCTAAATGTGCTTTAAGAGGAAAAGGTTAATGTTGAGTCATTTCTGCTTGTTAAATCTTTTGGTTTCTTAAACTTTTTTTTTCCTCTCAGGATCTCTTCCCTCTTTTGAAAATCATGGAGGATTCCAAAAGAACTTTTGTCTGAATGGGTTATATTTATCAATCTTTACTATATTAAGAATTAAAATTGACATTCTCGCTTCTCATGATTGTTGATGGGATTTTAATATTATATTATTTCTTAATCTAGGCAGGCAAATTATTTTGATTTTATAAACTTGAGACCCTCTGGATCACACTTTAATAAATTCTGCTATAGAAGAACTAAGAAAATTTTTATATGATGCTTCATGCCATGCTTGCATCAGGACAACACTCTATAATTTTACATTATAATTTTTGTTAGGTAGCTGAGCCAATAGATATCCAGCTCAGCTGCAGCTCAAGAGGATTCCCTAGTTTTCTACTTTTCAGCAAATTACATTAGATTTTGGGGACAGACTGTGTTCTTATTGGTGGGAACTCTCACCTCACATATTTCCATAACTCCTAAGCTGCCATAGCACTATCATGTCCTTCTGCCAGGCTTTAGTGTTGTAGAAATGTGGCTTTGCAGCTCCGGCTATAAAGGCCTTGCATTCTTGTCCATGTTTTCTCACAGTCTCTCTCTTTTTATGCTTTTTCTAGAAAAAGAAAGTATGGAAGAAAATTGAGGGGATGTTATTTTTGGCACTTCCCTGTTGGTCCATTAGAAAGAAAATTAATCAGCTCATGAGGGGTTTTCGGCAGCTAAAATTAGGATTATAACAGGTTGATGCCAGAATAATTCTGAGTTCATAGAATGGCAACAGTGGTTGTGTGGAGATGCCCTCATAGTTGTGAATCACCCGGAGCCTACTTGTCATCTATTAGCAATAGTTTGCTGTTATGTTTCTTTTTTTCAAATAAGAAGCAATGCATTTGGTTATAATGGTATAGCTATGAAGAAAAGCATGAAATAAACAGAATGACCAAAAAAATGGATCACCAAATAATCAGGGAAATTAAACTACATTTACAAATCTATAAGTTTTCTCTCTTAATACTGTAATGTTTTATAACTGAAGTGAATTCTCTAGAACATTACTAAATATTAATTAAACATCACTTGAAACAAAGCACCAATGTTTCCATGTAGAATTGAGTAAAAACGTATCACTTTCTTCTTCCTTCTTCTTGGCTGATCATATCAAGTTAGTCACCATGAAATACACACGCATGCACACACACCATCACAGCCTCCACAAAACCTCAGGAGAGCAGGGGCATACTGTGCAGAGCAAGTTTGGGGAACAGAGGTCAAAGGACAGTCCACCATGCAAACAGAAATCTTCTACAACATCATTCATAGTACAATAATCTTCTCACCCAAATGATTTAATAGTGACTTCTATAAATACATTTTTCAATATGTTACGCTAAAATCCTTTGCACAGCTATGTAGAAATATAATAGGATATAGTTCTGAGTTCCTGAGTTCAGACTGCATTGTGTGTTTCTGTCCTATCAACAATCCCAGCCTACTGTCATGAAAAGACAATAGGGCTAAAATCCCTGGCTATACAAAATTTGTTTCTGAATAGATCTGTATTCATTTGTAGTGCCATCTTCCCCAAAATTATGCTTACCTAGCTCTTTTATATGTATTATTTTCATATAAAAGAGTAATAAAACCATCATAATTAAAATGGGAAAATTGTAATTAGTCTCACTGGAGTATGGATTCCATTCTAATCACTTTCTTATCTAAATGGCAATACTGTTAGTAGCAAATAAGGTACTGTATTTTAACTATAGTAATAAATGTCAGTTATGGCCTGTTTTGATTTGTTTCATTAGCTTTTGTCAAAAAATAAGCACTCTATTCTACTGAAATCAGTGGTGTTGATTTGATAAAGATTGAGAAGCATGATCTAGAAGGTGAGTAATAACGCATGCACCTCTCTATAATTACGATTCCGTGTTAGCAGCTTGTATTCCATTCATGTGAAACTTCAGCTGCCAGGTTACAATGCATGGCACTTACCCCTTGCTGATCTGTATTGTTTCAAGTGTTAAGATAAACTAGCTCAGGGGATATCTGTATCACTACTAAAAGGGCACCATGTTGTGTTTTGGTACTATTATAGCAAACCTTTGTATTTAACTATGAATTGAGTAAATTCAATTTCTTGTCTTCTCTGTTTAGAAACTTGATAATGCACCTGGGTTTCATAATGTAAGAAACTTTTAGAGTGCCTTTTTATATTTGTGTATGCTGGATATCTATTGTGAACATGTCTTTCCTTCATATGAGTCATACTGAAGCAATATAATACCTATATGTTTTCATTTCAAAGCTTTACAGCTTTGTCTTTTTTAAAAAAAATCTATTTGTGTTGACATAAAATTAATATGCTAAATTTGTATAGGAATTTATACATTTTCTTATTACACAAAGCAAAACTTAAGTCAGTGTTATTGGGAAGGATGTTTTAAAATGGTGACAATCTTGAGTGTGTATTAAATGCAGCTATCTGTGTTTGTAATGCAGTGACATACATTTTAAAAAGCCAATATCTAATGTTTTGTAGTTTTGTCTGTATATTTTATGCTTTTAGCATGTGCAATATATCTTTACAAACCATGGTGTCATGAATCTGGTGCCAGTGTTACATTTTGTATGAAATATTTGTAATAAACAGTATGAAATATTGTTGGTTTGTTGCTAATTTTTAAAAAATGTAAACTGAATTTTAATTATCCAAAGTGTTAAATTACATGGTTGTAAAAATGGATATGAAATATTATTTTGAACCATATACTAGGTGCATTCACGTTTAATATCCTTTCGACTACTGAATGCTGTATTAATTGTAATGGGCACTTTTAACTGCAAATTACAGTAATATTAAAATGCATTCAGATGGATTTTTTTACAAATAAATGATACAAATACCATACTCCAAATTCATTCATCTGTACTTTTACATACATTCAGGTTTCTGAATACCTGTAAACAAAAAGAAATACATAACTGTAGAAAAAATACTAGTCAGTACAGCTTTCTGATATAGTGCTTATATTAGAATAATATTATATTATATAATATTCATCCAGGTATTAAAATAAAAATGTGTTCTTCTATAGCAGTTGTGGCGAACCTATGGCATGGGTGCCAGAGGCGGCACTTAGAGCCCTCTCTGTGGGCATGTGCGCCGTCGCCCAGTCCTAGGCCTTTAGCTGGGTTTTATAAAACCTTTTTGCTTTAGGCCTCTGCCGCCATGTGCAAAAAAAAAGGTCCAATCAATCAGTCAATTTCAACTTCTTGCAGGAAAAAAAAGATCTTGCAAAGTTGGAATTGATTGAACTTTTTACTCCCACCCAGTCTGCCGTTACCACCGCAGCCACACCCAGCCAATGGGAACCACACCCACCCAATTGACCACGCCCAGCCAATGGGCCACACCCAGCCAATAGGCCATACCCACCCGGCACCTGACGATGCATAAGTGGGTTTTGGGTTGCAGTTTGGGCACTCAGTTTCTAAAAGGTTCGATATCACTGTTCTATAGCATGGGTATAACAAATATGCCTCTGGAGATCTTGAAAAACAGCATTTTCTATAAACTTCTATCAATTATCATACTAAGTTCAGTTGATTGGAAGTGTATGGTAAAATTTGGAAGGCCCTGTTGCTTATTCTTGAAGGAGCAGGCATGAATGGAGAAACGACTTTTAGAGAAGAACCAAATATGATTCCTTAGATGGCTCTCTTCTGCATTAAGATTCTTCCAGTTTAAATTATTTGCACTTCAGAGCTGTAACAGTTTTACTGCTAGCAATTAGAGCAACATGTGATGGTTGAATCTGTGACAATTGGGAAACAAATTAATTGCCTATTAATTGAAGAAGTGTGCCTATGTAAGCAGCCTTCATCCATCATTAAACTATAGAGTTGCATGAAACAGCTTTGGTAAATTTCATTCATAACATGTTTTTTTTTTCTCCATTCTATTAGAGAAAGGCATTTGTATGGATGTGGCCTATTACTTATTTCCATGTCCAATAACTGCATAGGTAGTAAACTGTACAGAAACCAGAGTTGAGTATTGCAGTGTTCTCAAAATCAGTTATCCAGAAATAAGTCCCAAGTAAAAAGATTAACCACTGACGGTTATAAATCATTGTAGAAGAAGGCTGTAGGCGGGCCATCCATTATAAAACTTATTGCCTAAGGGTGAGACAGCATTATATACAATGGATCTTTTGGATCATTGCCAGATGGTTTCCAAAATCAAAGGATTTATCCAGCTGCTCATCTGTTTATCTGTTTGATTTATATCCCATATTTTGTATAGGAACTCAGTGTGACTTACTGAGTCTTACTATATAGACTCCTTTCTGTTTTTTCCCCACAGCCATCACCTTGGGAATTGGGCTGGCCTAAAGTCCCCTAGTGACCTTCTAGGCCTGAAAGTGGAATAGAATCTGGGTCTCCACTCTCACTCCTAGTCCAACTCCAGAGCCACTCTACCACACTGGATGGGAGATGCTATCTAACTGAGGCAACAACTACTTTAGATGTACCCTCCTCATCTTCCTAATGTCTTCTCACTTCTGCTGCCAATAAGTCCGCCAATTTACAACTGTAATTGAACCCAGAATTGCTGTGGTAACTCATTGTGATCATAAATTGAGGTATCATACAACCAGATTCAAAGTTGTAACTGCTTTTTTTTATATATTAAGATCAGCACTTTAAATTACACCCAAAATCTGATAGGCCAGTGCAAAACCTTCAGGACAGGTGTGACAAGTATCTATAAACACCCATGAGCACTGAGGTCATTGCATTTTGTACAAATTGATTCTTCAGTCTGGTACTTAAAGGCAGCCCAATGTGGACCAAATTGCAGTAGTCGAAATGTTACAACATCCCAAAAAACAGAACTAATATGCCCATATAAATTGCAGGAAATAAAAAAGATAGCCCACATACTACTTTGAGTCAATTTTATACAGGTCTTTGAAATAATTTAATAAAATTACTCATTGCTGTAATCAGAGAAAGTCAGAGATTAAAAATAGCAAATCTATCTTTTGGTTGCTAGGAGTCAAAAATGTCTTGAAGGCCCATAATCAATTATTGGATTGTTAATTTCAATATGTAAGAAAGGAAATCACAGCTATCATTTCCAAACAAGAATAAATTGCTGGAAAAAATTCTTATTTTGTTTTGCAATTGTTCTTTCTTTCAAATCATCTGTTGAAATTTGATTTCTATTTTTAAGAACCATAATTAAAAATTGTTTGATTGAAACCCTTGTAAACCTGGTCAGAAAGTACTTTTTTGACTGAGTTTGCCTCATCTTTATTTACTGGAGGTGGGGAAAACATACTGTAAATAATAGGGAAACTGTTTGGAAACTTCCAGAAGACATCAGGCTGACTGCTGCTGGAACCATAGTGCTGGATGGTTTGCTTTACCTCCCAAATTGTTTGGTATATAATTGTGTAAAAAGTTATTGTTTGTAGGAAGCGATTTTATATGTTCTCTAAGCTTCTCAACTGGAAATTTATGTATTAAATTTATGTATTAAGATTAATTTTCCAACATTCTAATTGCCTGATTTCTTCATTTCTTCCTGCAAATGTGAAGCATGGATATTTGTTCCATGATTTTCACAACAAAATAATTCAATGAAAATCATTTAGCAATAGCATTTAGATTATATACCTCCCCATAGTACTTTACAGCACTCTCTGAGTGGTTTAGAGTCACCATGTTGCCCCCAGCAATCTGTGGACAAAGTTAGCCTTCAATACTGCATTCTAAGCATAGTGCCACCAGGGCTCCTTTAGACAGAGCATTTTCACTTAGTAGTTCTATACTGGTTTTAGGAAAAAAAAGTCAAACCACTGTAATTTTATTTATTTTATTATTTATTTATTTATTTATTAATAAAATTTATATGCCGCCCAATCCCTAGGGACTCAGGGCCATGAGGTTGGCTCATACAGAGACTAAACCAATTTATTTCTAAATCACAAATATCTGAATCTTCAGTACAACAGTGATCTTTTGGTAGGAAAAACACAATAGCTCTATGACATTTTCTTAATTACAAAATCTTCTGCCTCACCCTGATTCCTGAATTTTTATATATTTCAAAGAGAAAGGACGCGTTCCCTTCTGGAGGCATTTTGCACACAGTATAAATAAAGAACATGAGCAGAGAATATGTGTTTCATTAAACATTTATTTATCAAGCAGGCGTAACTTTAACTAAGGGCTGGGCATAGATGTTTGCACCTTACATTTCAAGTTTGGCAGGTTTCAAAATAATTGTGGAATATCTTTATCTTTTTAGAAAAAAGGGACCAGAATTCAAGTAGAAGCATATACATAATTTCCTTTTAATCTAATGAAACTTAACCAGTTCTTACTTTGAGTGCATTTAGAGCAGTGGTTCTGAACCTTTTTAATGCCGCGACCCCCAACCGGTCGTAAGTCGAGGACTACTCAACTGGTGCAGCACCGTTTGCAGAATGGGACTTTTGGTGGGCTCAGCAGGGCAGAGACAGCCTGGACAATTCCTATTGGCTTTTGAAAGCCAATAGAATTAGACTCTATTCAAGAGAGTCTATTCTATTGGCTTTCAAAAGCCAATAGAATAAAAGGGAGTAGCACAGCTAAGGAAAAGGGGGAAAAAATGGCGGACTGCGTTGTTTGGCGACCCCCGTGAAATGGTCGTTTGACTCCAAATGGGGTCCCGACCCACAGGTTGAGAACCACTGATTTAGAGTAATGTTTTTATTGGTCTTATTTATTGTTATCCAGCATAGTATAAACAGAGGTATATTTATGGTGCAAATGAAATCTGATTATGCATTGCATTAAGGTATCATATGCTTTGTTTTGATTTTTCCTGTTCCATAAATTTGTAGATGTCAATCATGATTTAAAGCATAGGACAGTATGTTATGCAAACCCAGTCAATTGTGGCTTAGTCAATAGAATACAAGTAGTCGTCGACTTGCAACCATTTGCTTAGCAACTACTCAGTTACAACAGCACTGAAAAAAGTGCCTTATGACCAATTTTCACACTTATGCCGTTGCAGCATTCCCATAGTCATATGATCAAAACTAGGACACTTGGGACAACTGTCATTTATGACTGTTACAGTGTCCTGGGGTCATATGATCACTTTTTGAGACCCTCTGATAAGCAAAGTCAATGGGGAAGCTAGATTCACTTAACAACTGTGTTATTAACTTAATAAGTACAGGGATTCACAACAACTGTGGAAAGAAATATAAAATGGGGCAAAGTTCACTAAACTGTTTTGCTTAGCAATAGAAATGTTGGACTCATTTGCAAACAGGGTTAATTTGGATTAAACTCCACTAAATATAATTTCTACCCAACATGCGGGTTTATATAGTCAGGTGAAGGATTGGCCAGTAAGAGATTAGACAGAAAGTGGGGTGGATGAATCCAGCCGATCAGGAGATGACAGCAAGAAGTTGGGAGCTTGATAACTCCAGCAGGTTGTCCGGATTTTTTTCAGACCGGATCTAGCAGCCACAAAGCAAATAACTTCGCTCAGGGGTGACGTTCAAGAGTCATTCTTTGGTACGTGCTTATTATTTTATTATTAAATAAATGTTACGATTCAACAATGCATGTTTTATTCAACAACCCACTCACGTCATCTTTTAAAGATGTGACTTAATTTCCCAACGATAGTCGGAACTCTTCCTCCTCCTGGTTTTCATGTTTGCGCTCATTTGTAATTCGGGCTTAAATCGATAGCAGATGCAAGCCTCCGCAGCTGCTAACTGGGCTTCCCAACCTCCGATTCCCCGTTAGCCACGGCCGCAAAATCCTGCCCGCGGAAAGCCGCCCGAGGCTTAACAACCTTAACAGCCCGCTCGCCCCGCCCACCCAGTCCGAGTGACCCTCCCAACATGGCGGAAGGAGCGCGTCCGAGAATTCTGAGGCGGTTGTCGACCTTCCAAACATGGCGGAGGCAGCTTGGCCCCGCCCATCAAGGGAGGCGCTCGAGGCGGTCCTCGGCCTCCTGGCGGGTGTGGCCCGCCGGCGAAAGGGCAGAGTCGGCCCTGGCGGCAAGGAGAGCTGGGCAGCCGCCGCCGAAAGCGACATGTGGACGGCGGAAAGGGTGACCGGAATTTTATTTCACGGGGTTTTGGCGGCTCTGGTGCTGCTGGGCGCCCGGGACGTGTTCTTCCAGTATGAGGAGAACCAGTGCAGCATGACCTACATGTTCGACTACCCCGAGTACCTGGTGAGTGGCTGGGCGGACAGGCGGCGGCATTTGCTCCAGGGTGTCCCGTTTTGCTTCCCCCCCGCCGAGTTCTCCCTGAAAGGCTGGCTCCGTCCGTCCCCCCCTTCCTTGGCGGGCGATCGCAGACCTGCTCTCTCTCAGGGAGTTCCTGAGAAACTTGGTCGAGACCCCATGAAGGCTGCTCACTCTCCGCAACTGCCTGTGCATCACCCTGGTCTCGGAGGGTGATGCACAGGCTCCTCCGGAGGAAGGGCGCCTTTGCTTTGTGCCCTTAACCCGCGCTTAGGAACGGTCCCTTTTCAGCCCCTGCCTCTTCGGGTGGTTGGCTTCATCTCACTGCACCGGCGCCCGTCTGTCTGATGATGGGTGTGGGTCTCCCCTCTGATTCAATGTGGGACTCTCCCGGGGTTCAATCACCTATATCAGGTGCCCTAGAGCAGCGGTTCTCCAAGTGTGGCCTGGGCCCCCCGAAACCCTTTTTGGGGGTCCGTGTAAGTGGGGAAAAATATTTTAAAATGTATCAGTTTTGATTCCTAGTGCAGTGAATATTGATAGACATAACTACATAAACCAAAACTCCCACTCCTTTTTAAAAATGTAAAGAGGGTGTGGAGACCAGTTTGAGATCCACTGCCTTAAGAAGAATAAAATCTTCAGTAAATTGCTTCTGGGCCTTAATTATGAAAAGGCAGCCCAGTTCACCTTTGTGGGGAACATGCTTTTTGAAGTTGGCTTGGAACTTGGATCTAAGGAGTCAGGGTTTGCATTTCCATGCAATCAAGCAAAAGTCAAAGCTGCATTGGCCCTTTTTAACCTGCTAGAAAGTTGCCAGTTCATTTACTGCTTGATAATGAGTACTGATTCATCTTGTGGTTTTCTAGTTCTCAAAATGTTGTCCTATCATTATCATTTTCTGATGATAACTGTGATGAAAAAAAATGCACTAGTGTTCAGTCTTTTCAAAAGCAGAATAAGTCAATTTTATCCTGAAAAGATTTCTGCTGGACCCTTTCCCCTTCTGTCAGCTTTTCCCATGTTCCTTTTAAAAATGGCTATAATGTCAGCAGTTTTACCATCATGGATAATGCCATGCGCTATTTACAGACCAAAACCAAGGTAGACATGTATCACAAGTAATGGGATGATATGATAGGAAAGCAAAAGCAGACGTTCCTGCAATTCTTTTTTTTAAATATCATTCTCTTTTCATGTGGTTATTTTAGGCATGGGAAGTGAAGCAATTAACTTGTCTTATAATTATAATAAGTGTTATTCAGAAATTATTTTTGTCTACCTTGAAGTGAAACACAATTCCTTATATAGCATATTCAGCAAGCAAATAGCTGGAGGTGTTTTTTGTTTGCAAATTGTTTGTTTAAATTATCCCTCATCCTCAAAGAATGATTTTAATGTAGGGAATAAAAGTATGATGAATATTTTTAAATAGAGTAAAATATTAAACCAAATAACTTTGTAATAAATTCTAATTTGAGAATGCAGGGTCACTCCTAATACTGTAATACTTTCCCCAGAAGAACATAGATTTGACTCCCAGAAATGTGCCTTGGATAGCATTCTGATTTTATAATTATTTTTTCTTGCTAAAGGATCTGAGAAATGGCCCTTATCCAGTGTTCATAATAAATGGGAAGGTTGATGTGAGAAGAAGTGCTATATAAGGTCTTTGGTCCTCACTGAGCTACAACAGAATATACAGTGTTGCCTTTCTGAAAGCATGTTCTTTCTGAGATGCCTTAAAGTTACTTAGTTTTAAAGTGCAGGTTACTTTGTATTTGATGCCTCACATGCTATTTGTTGCTGAGGTCTCTAATGGACAAGGACCTTGGGACATATGCTCCAGTAATAAAACTATTAACACTTTTGTTTTTTTTGGGGGGGGGGGAATGAAATTTTTGTGGACAGCATTCTGAAATATGTTATCTACAGAGTAATACATGGGACTGTTACCACAATTTTGACCAGGACTCAATTTGTTTGATTCAATTTGTCAAAAAAAGTTTGGTTAACAAAGTAAATATATAGGAAACAGTTGCACAGTGTTAAACTAGTCAATAGTAATAGTTTCAATGAGGTTTATTCCCGGCAAATGGATATAAGTCTATAGGCCCTTGCCATATTCGTATATATAAAATTGTCACTTTTGGTAATCATATAGTTGTTTTCTTGTTACGCTTTTTTTCTTTGTTTATTTTATTGCTCTGTTACCTTACTTCTATTTACATTCTTTTCATTTCTTTCTTTTTATTATTGTAAGCCACCTAGAGTAGTCCCAAAGCAAGATTGGTGGCAAATAAATTTAGCAAATAAATACATGATATACCTTATGGTACAGCTTCCTGGTAATATATATCTACAGTTATTACCTAATAACTGTTATTACCTAAAACAACAGTTTTTTTTAAAAAAACAGTACAATGAATTGGAGAATATTAAAAGACTTTAGAGAAGAGTTCTGCAGATGTTGTACACATGACTTAAATCAGTATTTGGAAGCTGCTGTGGGCTAAATTTGTTAAGTATAATAATAGCTAGTTTAACGCATGGTGGGTGTTGGAATGTCAGTATAACTACTAGGGCTTTTGCAGCAAATTCAATAGGAAAGACAAGTACTGGTTATCTTTATGATTTATTTATTTTGATTTCTATCAGCTTAAAAAACTATTGTGTTTTTAAAATGTTTTGGATGAAATTAAATAAAAGGCACGACATTTAAATATTAAGAGTTAATAGATGCAGCAGTGCAGATTTGAAGAGGAAAATTGCTAAGAAAATTGCCAGAACTCTTTTTCTATAAGCCTTGTATGGTATGGAATCCCAAGACATCCTCTCCAGCGGAACAAACCATTTTATTTGCTGTTTTTGTATGTATTTTCAGATTGGTTCTATACCAATTCTTATGATCTCATTTCTGACTGGTATAAAAATTGTTCAGTTATAACAGCAAACATGTGACTGTAGAATAGTAGAATAGATAACATGCAAGTTACAACTTAAGCTAAAGTGGAAAAAGAAAACCAGACAGTTTCCAGTATATAATCTTGAGCATATGCCCACCATTTTCAAGGAGAGTATAAAGAATTGCTTTGAAATCCTGAGCCCCATTAATGAGGAACCAAAAGAATTATGGAATGAAATCAAATAAATTGTTAAGCATGAATGTCAAAAGGCACTTACAAAGATCAAGAAAGAGAAGAAAGCTAATGGATTGTGAAAATAAATGTTGGAAATTGCCAAAAATGCAAGAGAAGCCAATCAGGATTTCAGGAAGAAACTTAACAAAGAATTGTTAATAATTCTTAACAATATCCTTGCTAGAATTAAGAGAAACAATATTATATTATGATATTGAAATTGAAAACAAACATGGGAATATAGGGAAAAACTTTGAAAGATCGCCAAACTCAGGAAATACCAACCTCATGTTGGTATGGAAAAGGATATCAATGGATAGTTAATAACCAGTTCCAAGAAATCCAACAAAGATGGAAGGAGAATTCTGAAATTTGGTATAGCAGAGATGTCAACATGCAAGATACAGTAGCTTAGAAAGGTCCTGCCACTTAACAAGAACATCTAATATTAGAAGATGAAATTAGATCAGCATTATGATCATTACCAAGTCAGAAAGTTACAAAGAATTGATGAAATATCTACAAAAATATGGCAAGGAACTGAAGAAGAATAAAGGTTTTAACCAAACTAAGCTTAAAACTAACATCAAGTACAAAAACATTACAAAATTTAATTAAAAGTATTGCAATATTAAATTAAAGTCTTTCATAAGTCATCTTTATTTTATGCTGGATTGATAAAACAAAAGACACTAGTTGTAATAGTTAAGGGTGAGACTTGGTAAAACTATGTAATCTACTTGATACCCAAGTTGGAATAGGTAGTTTGTGTACCTCCAGAGAGTAAATTCCCATTAATCCACAATGCAAGCAATAATTTTTATAAAGAATTGTTCTTTTCCCATGAATATCTTGATCATATTTTACATAGAGCATATGATATTTATATGATTGTATACAAAGATGTATACTGTATTTTTCCATGTATAAGATGCACCCTTGTATAAGACGCTCTGGCATGCGAGTTCCAAGTTTACAGCAAACAAAGTCAGTGCTGGGAGCAATCGCCTCCCAATGCTCTAAATAGATGCCTCCCGGTCAGCCCCACCCACCTAACCAGCATCCGGCACAATGAGCATGCATAGTCAGTTCACAGCAGCAGCCTTCCGACCCTGGTAAACAAACCGGCGTGAGCACTGGCATGACAGCAAGGCAAGGGAAGTGAAGGCAGGTTTTAAACTCCCCGCCGTTTTTCCGTGCCAATCAGCTGTTCAGCAGAGCGCTGAACAGCTGAGCTGGCAAATCTGGAAGTTCAGCCGGCCGCTATTATCGAGCAGGACGGCCTCGCAGCTGCATTTCATGGGGTCCCCAGCCAGCATACAGGTATGAGGGAGGGAAAGGGCTGTCACTGCCATCCATGCTGCTGGTCCCATCCGCTGCCTCCGGACGCCACCATCTGATGATCTTGCCCCCTCCCCCCTCCCTTTAGTGGCAAGCCCACAGGCGCCTGACACCTGCACCAAGCAGCATGGCAGTGGCATGTAAAGAACCCACACAGGCATGCCCTGGGCTGCGGGGGTTACCATTATTTTTTCGTGTATAAGACGCTGCACTTGTAAAAGACGCACCTGATTTTTGTACAGAGTGTTTGCAGGAAAAAATAGCATCTTATACACGGAAAAATATGGTACCTCCTAGTACTTGAAGTTTTACAGTGGCATACCCATTGGCTCTATAACTGAGTTCATCCACTTTCATGCTGGTTATCATCTTTTTTCTCTTTGCCATTAAAAAAAGTGCTTTTTTTGTAAAAAAAAAAAAAAAAAGTGGCAGAACTCACACACGTCATACAACCCACCTTGCCTACCCTACAAGGTTCCATCCAAAAAAGGTGCCGGAACTCCGGGGCGTTCTATGACAAAAAAAGCCCTGAGTATATAATTCAAATAGTTTCTGTCAGTTTTTTGGGATGATTTTACTGTCTTTTGGGATTTCAGCTTCCTGTTTATTTTACGTTTTGTATATTTCTACTCTGTATTTCTAAAGGCACTTTCAAAATAGATTAGAATCATAACATAATAACAGAGCTATTAAATATTGTACAATGTATAGCTTGCACATAAAAGCTAATTAAGAATCCCACAAATCAAGTCTTAATCAACTGGAATAGTTATTATTATCATTATTATTAAACTTGTGTAATGGAGTGTCTAACAGACTCTGGGGAACCAAAAAAGGAAGAGGAACCACTGTAGAAAAAATTACACACCATCAGGAAAGAGGGAGAGGTAAATGGGATTCATAGTAACTTGTCTTATATTGACTACAGTTGGATCTGGAAAACTGCTTTGGCAGGCAGAGTCTGTTACCCCAGCCTACTAGCAATAAGGATCATTCCAGCAATTCAAGTATTTCTTGATTCCTGACTCTTGATAGCTTTGAAGAGTTTGGCATTTCTGTTTTTGCTATGCATGTAAGGACAAGTGAAAAGCCAAAATACAAGTAATCCTTGACTTACAGTTGTTCATTCAGTGATCGTCCAAAGTTACAAAGGGATTGAAAAAAGTAATTTATGACCATTTTTCACCACCATTGCAGCATCCCCATGGTGATAGGATCAAAATTCAACCAGTTGGTAACTGATATGCATTTATGACAATTGCACTGTTTCAGATTCACGTGATCATCATTTGTAACCTTCCCAGCTGGCTCTCCGACATGTAAGGCCAGTAGCAAGGGCCAGATTCACTTAACAACCACATGATTTAATTAACAACTGCAGTGATTCACTCAATGCTGGGGAAAAAGTCATAAAATGGGGCTCAACTCACTTAACAACTGTCTTGCTTAGCAACAGAAATTTTGGATTCAATTGTCTTAAGTTGAGGACTATCTTTACATTTCTTTTGCTTTAATAATCTGCAAGTAGGCTTCATCTGCCTACTTTTAATAGCATGATTTCTAACAGCAGAAAATAGTATATAAAAGCACTGGATCTGTATAAGTATTAGGGCAGCTTTCACTGCTAAGGTTTGTATTACACATTCCATTATTTCTGGCTGTTCAGCATGGGTCTATGACAATTCGCCATGGCCAGCTCACCACAGCCAACTTGCTACAATCAACTTGCCACAGCCAACTTGCCACAACTAACTTGCCACAGGACAGCTTGCCATAGCCAACATGCCGCAGGACAAGAGGTACACTAATATCAAAGAAATGGTAGAATAGAATCATTAAAGAAAAAAGATGCAAAAAGAGGGACAAAATAAAATATGAATGACAAAAAATTAAAATATTTTTAATTAATTTTAAATAATTCAATTGAATGGTTAGATTGCCCTGCAGTGAGTTGTCCCGTGGCGAGTTGACCATGACAAGTTGTCCCATGATGAGTTGGCCACAGAGAGTTGGCTGTGGCGAGTTTGCCCATTCTGGTTCAACATGGTGTCTGTAGCTAATGAGTATTGGTAAAAAATATTAACTTGGGGAAGGCTGAACTATATGTTTAAATCTGTTGGATGTGGAAAATAAAAGTTACACTTTCCCCTGCTAGTGCCATAAAGTTTATATACATACTTGCATGGTTACCTTTGTAAACAAAGGTAAGTTTTGATTCTCCATTTCAGGATCTTCTCCAAAGTTACTGTCAGAAGGAAGAAGAATGCAAATATTTTCAGATTTGCAGTTCTTTAATTACATAAAGAAAATAGTGAAATATTCAAAAAGCTGTCATATTGTTTCAAGCTTTTTAAAAATACCTCTGCTTCCTATTAATAGCACAGTATATTTTATTGTGTAAATTTTATTTACATTACATTTGGTTAGATTCTTCCTGTTAATAAAAAATGTTACCTTTCTTCTGCTGAAATACATGTTTTGTTTCAGAAAATAAAATTACCTAAGAAAATATCTAGACGTTACCCAGCCTATGAGCTATATCTCTACGGGGAAGGAATTTCTGCAGAAGAAAATAGAAATCTAATCTTAACAGGGATTCCTATCCTTTTTCTTCCTGGCAATGCTGGAAGTTTTAAGCAAGGTAAGCTATCTCTGAAGGAATAGCAGTATTTCTGTAGAATACCTAAAGAGGGAATAGCATGGGAATAATAATCTTTACATGAATCTATGTTTACCTGGATAATAAATAGTTTGCATTTACAGTACTTTATTATATTTATTAGTTACATTTTAAACTGCCACAATTAAAACAATAAAAATGCAGGAAAAAATGAAGTAACAAAGCCAAGCTATGACCATACCAAGATGGAATGAAGGACCAAATGGCAACAAAAAGAGCTCACTTTTGAAATATTTCCAGGTGGGAGCCAGATGAGTAGTCCACTGGAACCATTCTGAAAGCAGTGCTAAGGAGCCTCGCTACCACTACTTCCTTCAAGTAGAGCTCCATATGTATTTTCTCCTGGACAGTTTGAGTTATCAGAGCAAATTCCATTGAGAAAATGCACTCCTGCAAATAACTTGGAGCCAAGCTACATACATTATATAAGTTACCAGAAGCCCTGTAAATTGCACTGGGAAATCTGTCTGTAACTAGTGTAGCTCCCATAGCACTGATGTAATGTGCTCCCTCTAGCAATTTCTGGTTAGCAGATGGGCTGCTGCATTGTGAATGAACTGAAGCATCTGAGTAGTCTTCAAAAGATCCCCATATAGAGGTCTTTGCAGTAATGTAAATGGATGGTAGCAAGGTCCTTATAGTAAGTTCCTCCTTTTCAAGGTAGGGTCCAAAATTGGCACACCAACCAAAACTGGGAGAAGCCCCACTGACTGCAGTTTTCACCTTCTGTTTTAAATGGAGCCAGTTACAGGCTTGTTCTTTAGTGCTAATCCCTGTCAAGAGACTACTGGAGCAGACAAATATCTCTGTTGGACAAGTATCTTGTTAGGATTTTCAATTTAAGCGCACAGGGATCAGGATAGAACTTCAATACATCCTGAGTCTGAAGTATCAATATAAAGCTGTGAATCATTAATGATACCCAAGTGCAAACTATTAGATGACCTTTTTCCAGAGGCTACATGTATAGGTTAAATAGGAATGAGAGAAGACTGGTTTCTGATTTCCACAAAGTAGTAGTCATCAAGTCAGTCGTTCCTTCCCTGTCCTCCCTTCCCTTCTCTGATTGCAATATATCACTGCAATATATCACCCCCCAATCTCTCACAGGCAATCCAAAAGTATGCCATGGATGACAATATTGAAGGCCATGGAGAGATCTAATATGGCATAGATAGGTATACTATCTTCATCTTGGGCCTGACAAAGATAAACCACTACTATCATTGCTGTCTCTGTTCCACAGCCAGATCTGAATTCTGACTAAAAGGGTCAGTTAATCCATTTTCTTTGGAATACCATACATTGATCCCCCACCATTGTGTCAATCACCTTTCTCTGGTGTTAATTGGTCTCTGAATCCATGGAGGACAAGAGCTCACTAAAATTGCTGAAAGTATTTCAACCTTTCTAAGGTTCCATTTGAAAAATAATATTGTTATCAAGTTACAATGCATATTGAGTGTGGATTTTTGGAATTTGGAGTTTGAAGACATAAAATTAGAATGAGGTTATGTTTTTTTTAATCCTCATAGTTTTGTTTTCTGCCTTCCCCCTGCTTCTTTTAAGGATCTACTTCATCATCCAAATTCAGGATTTTAATTATCTCTGCTTCTAATATATGCTTTTTTCAGTACGTTCTCTTGGATCAATAGCACTGAGAAAGGCAGAAGATATTGATTTCAAATATCATTTTGATGTCTTCAGTGTGAATTTCAACGAGGAACTTGTTGCACTATATGGTGGAAGTCTACAAAGGCAGACGAGATTTGTGCATGAGTGTATTAAAATAATTCTTAAATTATACAAGGTATGGGGATAAACACAATATATATAAACTTGTTACTGTTTTGTGCCATTATCCCCGTAAGGATATGCCTCAACTAGATCTCCCAAGGAAGCAGAACCCTTGAAACAGGTATTGTCTCAAAAGGAACTTTTTTGAGAGTTAGTGATGGCAAGAGAGCAAAGCAAGGTCTGAGATTTGGCGCGTAAAGGATTACATCAAAAAGGCAATTCACAACTCCTCCCAGTGTCCAACCATCCAGTTGAAATCATCCCAATCCGTAGGTGCCACCATGTTATGAGAAGCTGGAGATTTAGCATGTTTCTCAAGGTCTCTCTGGGTTTCGTTTTCCAACAGTCCCAGGCTCTGTTGTCTGGAGATAAGGCAGATGTTTTCAGGTCACATTCCTCTCGACCAGAAGGAGGGCTTCTCCCACAGTGTAGAACAAAGCAGACAATATTCCATCTGCAAGTACCCTCCCCCAATAATATGGCAAGCCCCGAAAATACAGCAAGAGAGGGAAAAAGGAAAGGTTTAAAGGCAAATATAATTGAGGGGTTCTGACATTCGCCCCCCCCCCTAATAGAAAGACAAATCCACCTGGAAAAAAACAGGAAGGGAAAAAAGAACATAAAAAAACACATTAATCAGGTTTATCTGGATAGTGAGCATGAAAGCATTTGAGCAATCTAGGGACCCTAACATGCTTAGCAGGTCTGTGAAGCAGGCAGGTCTTTCCAGGCCACTAAATACTGTGTGGAGAATCTAAAATATCCTTAATTTCAAAGTATTGCTCACCCTCAATCATAATAGGTTGAAGAACCAGAGCGGTCACAGTTTGTAATTTGGAGGTGACCTCAGGTTTCAGTAAGCTACAAAGGAAGACTGGGTAGATTTGTCTCAAACTCTTAGGGAGTTCCAAATCCACTGTAACAGGACTGATAATCCGTTTAATAGGGAACGGACCAATAAATTTTGGGCCCAGCTTCTTTGACGGTTGCAATGATTGTAAAAATCTCTCCAACATGGAAAGTTTTAGGTTCCATTCTTTTCTTGTCAGCCTGTGCTTTGTAAGCTTCTGTAGCCTCATCCAGGGCTTTTCTAACTACTGGCCAGATATTTTGCAATTGATGAACCCACTCTTTTAGAGAAGGAATAGCAGGTTCGGTGGCAGGTAGTTCAGGCATAGGAAGGAAACTCTGGCCATTTGCCACTTGGAAAGGAGTGAACCCAGTGCTGGAGTGTACTGCATTGTTGTAAGCCACTTCAGCAAATGGCAGCAGATCAATCCAGTAGTCCTGCTCATAATTAATAAAACTATGGAGATATTGTTCCAGAACAGAGTTTGTTCATTCTGTCCCTCCCATTCGTTTGAGGATGATAACTAGATGACAGGCACTGAACCAAACCCAGAAGGTCCAAAAGGCTTTGCAGAATTTAGAGGTGAATTGGACATCTCTATCAGATATTATATGTTTTGGAGTGCCTTGAAAGTGATAGATGTGTTGCACAAACAGCTTAGCCAAAGTCTTTGCGGTCGGGATCTTCTGACATGGGACAAAATGGACTCAAGCTGCATTTCTGGGCAGCTTGACAATAAAATCCATAGAGATCTCTCTCCAGGGTGCTGAAGAGCTCACTACTGGTTGCAGGAGGCCAGGTGCTTTTCCCTGCCTACATTTAGTGGCAGCACAAACAGGGCAGCTAGCCACAAAACTTTCAATGTCCTTCTTCAAGCAAGGCCACCAAAATTGCCTCTTGAGGTAAAGTATCCTGCCATTTTTGAATTGTGACAGGCCTGCATGATTCTCAGTCTCTGATTTGTAGGCACATTCCTCTCGACCAGAGGGAGGGCGTCTCACACAGAGTAGAACGAAGCAGATAATATTCCCCCTGCAAGCACCTTCCCCCAATAGTTTGACTAGCCCCAAAAATGCATAGGCAAAAGCAAGGGAGTGAAAAAGGAAAGGTTTAAAGGCAAATATAATTGAGGGGCTCTGACAATCCCCATGATGCAGAGAATATGGAAGATGGCCTTGATGAACAGACAGAAGATCCATTACCATGCAGTGATCAGATACATGTGGCTTAAGCCCATACCAAGAAAGTGATTTAAGAAGATATCTCAGACAGGTCCTCCCCCCAATTCACCTGAAGATAAAAGAGGGACCATGGGAAGGATATTCAAACTTGCAAGATTCAGTTACTATAGCTATTCTAATAAACATAGCTTTAGGCAACATTGTCTGTTCCTTTAGTCTGGTCTACCCTAAAGGACTCACATATTAATTGTTACATGGGAAAGAATTTGTGCTTTTATATGTTTTCATTGTGCCTGATGTGAGATTATTTTTCTTTATTTTTTGAAGGGTCATGAATTTGCTCCCCGCAGTGTTGCAATAGTAGGTCATTCCATGGGTGGTCTTGTTGCAAGAGCACTAGTCATTCTTAAACATTTTAAACCAGAACTTCTCAATATTCTTATTACTCAAGCGACACCCCATGTTGCACCTGTGTTGCCTTTAGATCAATATCTTGCTGGTAAGTACATTCCTAAGAATTTTTGGATTGGTGGGGTTCTATTTTGCCTTCCCCCTCTTTTTTGCTTTTGCCTTTTTACTTTTTTTTTTTTTTTTTATTGAAAATTTTTACATTTTACAAAAACAAATCCCCTTCCCATACCCCCCCCTACCTCACCCCCCCCCCTTCCCAACCTCCCAAACCCTCCCCTGGACTTCCCAGAGCTGAGTACAGGCTTAATTAAAAAAAAAAAAAAACTTAAAACACTTTTAAAACCTAAACAAATTTAAATACAATCATCATTCTATATAAGCTCCCTCCAAAAACACAAATTTAAACATTACTTTCTTTGAATATCTATATCTATAATATAAAATCTAATTTCTCCCTCTTTCTTTATCCTAAAACGAAAAAATAAACATACAAATCTTTGTTATACCATTAAAGCTAAATACTCTTAAAGAACTTAAAAGTAAGTACATATTTCCTTCAATCTTCATAATCTTCTCTCCTATCCAAAAAGAAAAAAAAAAAAAAAAAAAAACTTAAAAAACCTATAAGTCCTAAACAAATCTAAGCACATTTAATTAAACAAATTATTTTGTCTTAAAAATATTAATAATAATATTTAAAAACTAAAAACACTTTTAAATCCTAAACAAATCTAAATACAATCATCACTCTATATAAACTCCCTCCAAAACCACAAATTTTTAAAATTTAAAACATTAGAATCCACTCACTAAAATAAGCAAATTATAATCCCTTCAAAACACAAATTTAAACAATATTATCATTAAAGGTTCAAAACTTAAAACAACAAAGTTAATAAACACATTAAACATTTCAATCTTCACCAATAACTAATTCCATCCGTAAAAAACTACATCCTTATCAATCTCAATTATATTAGTATTATTAATTATTCACATTCCAGTTTTTTCCATTCTCCATTCTTCCATTCTTCCATTTCCCTTCTCCATTCTTGTATCAAACTCGTAAGAAATGCTGCAAGTTCTGCCTTAGGAGACTGCTCCAAAATTCCTGAATCTCCCATCGACTCCGAAGCCAATAAGGGTTCCTTAAATTCCTCCTTGTATTGATCTTTACAATTGTAAGTTGTACAAGTTATCCTCTGCCCGTTCCTCTCTTGTTGATGCCCCTCAGACTGAGATTTCCCAGTTTCCATTTCAGGCAACAATTCCACCCTTAAAGATTGCTCCAAAGACTTTGTAGGTCTAACATCTCCCAGAGATTCAGAAACCACTAAATATGAAACTTCCTTAACCTTCTTCTGTTGCTGCTTTTCTTTGGGATTATATACTGCACAAGTTGTCTTCTGCTCCTCAACCTGGACTTGTTGAGGCCTCTCACACAAAGATTCTCCAGTTTTCATAAATATAGGCTCTTCAAACTGTGATTCTACATTCTTTTCTTCCAAAGCTTTAAACTTAATTGATGGCGATGCACATACCCCCAGGACCGAAGTATAAAAATCTTTTGCTTGAGAAACAGTATTAAGTCTATAACATGTCCCCAGGTAATTCACCACCATTCCAATCGGAACATCCCATCTGAATGAAATTTTTCTCTTTTTAAGTTCATTTGCTAAAAAAGCAAACTCCTTTCTTCTTCTTAAAATTTTAGATGGGATCTCTTTAAAAATTATAACATCTTGTGAAGCAATTTGAAATCTCTTCTTATAATAGGCTTGCACAATTTCATTGCGTAAAGATCTTTTACCAAAGTAAATTACCACATCTCTTGGCAGATTCTTCTGTGCTGCCACCACAGAGTTAACCCTAAATAATTTTTCAATTTCATTAAGTATTCCCTCTTTTTCTTTATTCAAAATCAATGCAAAGTCCTTTGCAACCATCTCCTTCAGATCTCCTTGCAAAGACTCTCCCAGGCCTCTAATTCTTAAGGCATATTCCATTTGTCCATATTGAAGCATAAGAATCTCATTTTCCATTTCTTTTTCCATACTTTCAATTTTCCCCTCCATTATGTCCACTTTTTCAGCTACCTCTTCCACATGGGAGTTCACCTTTTCAAGAACAGAAGCAACACCTTCTAAAGCCAAAACAAAATCTTGTCTCAAGATCTTATTGTTTTCCTCTAAAATCTTTTTCATTTCTGCCCTAATTTGAATTATAACATCTCCCATCATGTCTTGCAAGTCCTTCATAGTTATTAGCTGACCCCCAGAAGAGGGTGAAACTGTTGATTTAGAAACTGTAGAAATCCCTGGACGCTTTGGAGCCATCTTAAAGAAAAACCTTTAGTCCTTCTTAAGAAATTATAAAAATTCCTTCAAAAATCATAACTCCCTCCAAAGAAGGTCATTATAATAAAAAGAAAAAAGGGAAAAAAAGGAAGAGAAAAAGAATTAAAAAAAAGTTTTACTCCTTCTTAAAAATTACAAAAAATTAAACAGAAAAAAAGTCCTTCAAAAAAGGGTCATTACAATAAAAAAAAAGGGAGTTCAAAGGAAAAAAAAAGGGAGAAGAAAAAAAAAATAATAATAATTAAATAAAAAAAGTCCGTTCCAAAAAAAATACTTAGAGATACCAAAAACAACCATTCCAATCATAAGGAAATAAAAAGAGAAAGGGAAAGGAAAGAAAGAAAAACACCAAAAAGCCTGCCGGTCAGCATTCTAACTTCCAGAAAAAAAAACACCGAGGAGTTTGCCGATCGCCATTTTACTTTCCCTTTCAACAAAGAAAAAAAATAAAAAGAGAGAATAAAAATAGAAACAAATCTTAAAACTTAAAATCCAAATAAGTCAAAGAAAGCAAAAACTAAATCCTCTACTCAGCTCTGTCCATTTAAAAAAAAAAAACTCACCAGTTCTCTTTAAGCACGGAGGTGTTTGCGGCGGCTCGTTTTGTCCCTGAGGACAAAAACAGCTGGGAAGCGGAGACAAGTCTGAACTCCGTGGGAGCACTCCTTTCACCCCCCCAAAAAAAAAACTTGGGGGGTGCGAAAGAGGCTCTACCACTATTCAGACACTCTCTACCCCCCCCCTTTGCCCGGGAGGGGGATTTTGAACCGCTGAACAGCTGATATCTGCTGTTCATAGCGGTTCTTACACTTACCCAGGAGGACGGCTACAAAGTAGCCGCCATCACGCACGCAAAATCCACCGGAAGTCGCCTTTTTACTTTTGAGTAACTGAGTAAGCTTCATTCCCACTAATTTAATGAAAAACACTTAGAAATTCCAGAACCGTCCTTGTTATACCTTCTATTTTTTTTTTTATTGAAAGTTTTATAAATTTTACAAAAAAGAAAAAATAATACAAAACAAGAGGCAACATATACAGAAAAATAAAACTAAACAATACATATTAAATAAAAAAAAAAAAACCCCATCCCCCAGCCCTCCCCCCCCAAAAAAAAAAAAAAAAAAAAACCTCCCTTCCCCCCCCCTGAGCTTCCCAGAGCAGAATATAGGCTTAAAAAATAAAAATAAAAATTAAATTAAAAACTTTATATTTATATATATAAAAAAATTATCTATAATATATATGAAAATAAAACTTATGAAAAAACTATATAATATTTTTGTATACCCAATCTAAATTGTATAAATTTTATCCATTTATCCCAAACAGCAAAAAACTTCTCTTGCGTTTGTTGCTTTAAGAAAGCCGAAATCTTTGCCATTTCTGCCAGATAAGCTACTTTAAGAAACCATTCCTGCAATGTAGGCAAAGATTCCTTCTTCCAGTATTGTCCTACTAACAGCCTAGCGGCTGTGATCAAGTTTAACATCAATACAACCTCCTTTGTATCACAATCTGTAACAATACCTAACAAAAATAATTGCGGAGTAAATTTTACCCTCCTTCTAAAAATTCTCTGGATATTCCACCATATTTTAATCCAAAATGCTTTTATCTCTCTGCATGACCACCAAATATGATAATAAGAAGCCTCCTTATAACCACATCTCCAACATTTGGGTTGCACGTCAGGATACATATAAGACATTTTTTGTGGATCAAGGTGCCATCTATAAAACATTTTATAAAAATTCTCCCTTAAGTTCTGTGCTTGAGTAAATTTGACATTTCTCACCCAAATAGTTTCCCAGGTGTCCAATGAAACTGGCTCACCAAAATTCTGCGCCCATCTAATCATACAATCTTTAATTAGTTCCGTTTCTGAGTCCAATTCAACTAAAACCCCATAAATTCTCTTAATGTGGGTTTGTCTTTGATCCTTCAGTTGCTTAATAAGGTTTTCATCTTCTCTAAGAAAACCCACCTTACAATCCATCTTCCATCTATCTAATAATTGCCTATATTGGAACCAAGAATAAGTAAAATTTTCTTGTGCTAACTCTTCCCGTGATTTTAGTTGCCAGTTTTGTCCATCCCATTTAAGTAACTGTCTATAAGACACCATATCCATTTTAACCCCTCTTTTTATTCCTTCTATCGCATGCCAAGGTATAGCCCATAATGGTACTTTAAAATCACTTTTATAATATTTTCTCCAAATCCTAAGTAAAGAAATTCTTAAAATATGAGATTTAAAAGCCCAATCTATTTTTTTATTAAATATTAAATAGGCATGCCACCCATAAAGTAAATCCCATCCCTCTAAGTAAAGTATCTCAGAATTTGTCAAATTTACCCAATCACTAATTAATGTTAAAACCACCGCATCATAATATAATTTCAAATTTGGTACCTTAAGTCCACCCCTCTCACGGAAGTCTTGCATAATTTTAAACTTAACCCTTGGTTTTTTCCCTGCCCAAATAAATTTGTTGAGACCCTTCTGCCACTCATTTAAATTAATCTCATTTTTCAAAATTGGTAACATTTGAAACAAAAAAAGAAACTTGGGTAGAATATTCATTTTTATCACTGCAATTCTTCCCATGAGGGATAATTGCAACTTTTCCCAATTCTTCAAGTCCTTCTGTACCCTGACCCACAACCTTTCATAATTATTTTTAAATAATTTTGCATTAGAAACAGACAGCATCACCCCCAAATATTT